AAAGAAATGGCAATGGGTTTTTCGATGCAAGGCTTTGCTTTGTTACCTGTATCTAGCTTTTATATTTATTTTATTTGTGAACGCTTAAACAGAATGATGTCGTCAAGACAAGAGCTCGAGTGAACAAAGGCACGAGTATAATATATTACATGTACCATAACGATTAAGGGGAAGTAACTCAATTTCAAGACTGAAATGATTCTAAATAAATTACCTTTCTTGATAGCATGTTTTGACCATATTTGAGACAACTGTCTTATGACAGGAGTTCTTCAACAAAAATATTGTCCATAAAATTTGTATTAGAATTGTGTTGGTCATATTTAAAAAAAGGTAAATTTATCATTTTAATTGGCAAATTCGATCCCATTTTCGCATATCTTTAAGTGTAAAGTAAAAAAAAAAAAACATGAAAAGACGCTCATTATATAAGCGAAAGAATGGTGTACATGTAGCCTTCTTCGTTATCATCTCGTTATACTACAAATATAAGGTACCGCAATTCACATTTGAACCGTGTAATGAAAAAGCCAACATAATGGGTTTGTGACAAGCATGGATCAAGACCAGCCTGTGCATCCGCGCAGTCTGATCAAGACCCATGCTGTTCGCTTACAACCCCTATTACAAGTAGAGAAACTGATAGCGAACAACATGGATCCTGATCAGGCTGCGTGGATGCACAGGCTGGTCTGGATCCATGCTGGTCGCAAACCCATTATTTTGGTTTTGTCGTGACGCGGCTCATTTAATTATTGTATGTCTGCTTTTTATTCGTTATTTGTCGAACTACCATTGCTTGCGTTTAAGTGATCGCTTGTATCCATATGAATTGCTTTCATATCGGCTCTGTGATTTTTAGATGACTTGGTCTCATCTATATACATGGCACAATATAATACAACACAAAATATATCATAAAAATGTATATATAGCCATTCTATACAGAATTGAGCCGCGTCACGACAAAACCAACATAGTGCGTTTGCGATCAGCATGGATCTAGACCAGCCTGCGCATCCGTGCAGTCTGACCAGGATCCATGCTGTTCGCTTGCAGACCCTATAACAACTAAAGAAACTGATATCGAATAGCATGGATCCTGATCAGACTGCGCGGATACGCTGGCTGGTCTGGATCCATGCTGGTCGCAAACCCATTATGTTGGGTTTGTCGTGACATGGCTAAATTACAAGAGACTACAAATGTACAAAGCACATAAAATATATAATTTTTGTAACAAACAAATATCTTATGACATTTATATTGCCTTAAATTATTTGGTAAATATCCAATAATTGCCTCATTGGTTTAAGAGGAGATGTTGTATAAAGTTATTGTTGACGACGAACGACGCACGCCGACGAATGACGGGCAGAGGGGATCACAATAGTCCAATAACCACGTTGTGCTAATATGATAATATTACGGTATGGCACGGTATATACTTGTATTACGAGCTGCAACAAATCGTTTAGAAAATAAAAAATATACAAATTAAGTAATTAGTAATATTGAAATTATTCAAGAAACCTTCAACATTAAAGTTAAGTTTTACTGTAAATAGTACATTTTCTAACGATTGAAGTTTTAAAAAGTGATAGAATGGACGAAACTAGATTAAATTTAAATGCCATTAAAGCCTCGAAAAGTTAATATATATAATTTTCAAAAACATTTTTTGTGCACATTACTCATTGACCAGAAAGCTATGCCATCTTTCGCCTGCTTTGTGCTCTAGTAATCAGTGAAGTAATTATGATTTAGTATTTTGTATTAAAGTTCAAATACTAACTTTGTTTATATTTTGCTACTTTTTTCACAAAATGTGTCACATTCAGTTTTTTCATGTGACAAACATCTCACATGTTCTTAATTCAATATTACAAGATAATAAGATAAAGTACATAATCAAAGCACAGAAGGCGCTGAATATGTTTGGGTCTCAGAATGTAAGAAAGGTGCAGGTTGTGAGATTATATGTATAGTGCCACCAATGCTTCTCATCGTTTTAATTGTAGTAAATTGGCTATAAGACTAATTGCAATACTGATATTCGATCCAATGTTTATTTGACTTAAACAATTTGAAAAAATGTGTTATCTTTACTGGGATTTGAACTCCAGACCTCTCGCTTCCTAAGCAAGCCCGAAAACCCTTCAGCCATGGTGAATTTATATGTGAACGGCCTGAAGAAAACCATATTATTCTAAATTAGGGCTTGTAACGACTTTAACTGTTGTTTAACACAGATGTAAATAATCCTGGAGCTTACTAAAAGCATGTATATTTATAAAGAATCAAAGGGCTCCAAGTTATATGGTATTTTCTGTTAGGTGTATGCATTTTCCCGTATAAGTTTATTTTTATGTATTATAATTCATTTTGCAAGGCACCAGAGTTTGATACATACGGAATTCTGCATAACTAGAGTTGCATCAAAAAATCATTTATGTTCATTTTTATACGACAGCCACACTTTATCCTTGCATATCATGGCTATATACTTCCTTAGAAATCTTCGACCATACGGGAATTACTTTGCTTGAAAATTAATGCACCTGTCTTTGACCATCTTTACGCAGTGATCTCCCCTGAATTTTTCGGCGTTAGTGTACATACAAAAGGGAAGTAACCGCTTCAAAAAAAATGGACTACTTTCGGCATTTCCAATTAACAACATTAGACTCTGAAATTTCGCTACCATTATTTGTTTGGTCTGACGACCCAAACAAATAAAAATAGGCTAAAAGGCCCATCATATATGCATCAGAAATGCCAGCATTTTTATTTCTCATCAACGTTTTATTTTTAGTTACTTGTTACAGTTTCCAGTTATCCTGCAATGATTAAATAGAACATAGCAACCTCCAAAATAAGGACCACTTGTCTATGAAGGTCATGTTTGGTCTTTCCTTTGAGTGACCTATGTTAACAAGATTTGAATGTATTGAGATTCTAGTTACTGGAATTTACAGCTCATAACAACATATTAACAATATAGTTCATATTCTGACGACATTTTAAATACGACATTCATTTATTTAGTGAACAGACAAACTGCAACCATTTGATAAAACATGACTGAATATAGAACAGAAAGTGATAACATGTGTCTGAATATAGAACAAAAAGTGATAACATGTGGCTGAATATAGAACAAAAAGTTATAACACGTGGCTGAATATAAAACAGAAAGTGACAACACGTGGCTGAATGTAGAACAGAAAGTGATAACACGTGGCTGAATGTAGAACAAAAAGTGATTATAGCTGGTTGAATATAGAGCATAAAGTGATAACACGTTGCTGAATGAAGAATAAAAAGTGATAACACGTGACTGAATGAAGAACAAAAAGTAATAACACGTGACTGAATATAGAACAGAAAGTGATAACATGTGGCTGAATATAGAACAAAAAATGATAACACGTGGCTGAATGAAGAAAAAAAGTGATAACACGTAAATGAATAGTGATAACACGTGGCTGAATATAGAACAGAAAGTGATAACACGTGGCTGAATATAGAACAAAAAGTAATAGCATGTAGAATGATATAGGAGAAAGAGTGATCACATGTGGATTAATATAATCTCTTGATCCCTCGGTTGATGGTAGACACATTAAATGAAGGTAAAGTTGAATAGTATTCGGATAAGTGTTTAAATTTCGGCTATAAGCAAATAATTAATGAGTAAATAATACAGAATAGATATTTCTAAATGTTCAAAAGGAGATCGGTTCAAAAGAATAAGAGGTCGTTTAGACAACATCACATAAAGGATTTCTCCAAGCATTAGTACGACAGCATTGATGAGAATTCTGCGCGCGTTACCCCACCCACTTGTGGTATATAGTGACGAAAGTGCGTCGAGACTTGATTACTGGCAGACAACTGGGCAAAGAAGTTTAAAATGATATATTTTAAAAGTGTGGAATAAAAAAAACAAAATTAATATCCAAGAAATGATCCGAATTTCATTATATTCTTTGTAAATTTCTGAATACTTGCTTACTGTTCGGGTATTTTAGTCGAGTGAAAAAAATAATATGACCCTAGATATGTTTTTAAAAGATATTCAGTATCATTTACTTAATATAACATCAAAAGAAAAATAAATTTTTATTACAACATGTTTTTGTTGTATATTTGACAATACATTTAGTATAACACTGATATTTCTTAAGAAAGCGTGGTAATTTTGACAGTTGGCATATGCGGTAATCATGGAAACTGCCCGTTTACAAAAACTAACACGTCAACCTATATATTTTATTTCTTTTTTTTTTTTGAATCCACCATCAAATGTTACTTGATATATAAATAATGTAGAAAATTCTATGAAAGAAATTTCTTTTTAGCTTTAATTTTTTACAGAATTCATGTTTATTTTTCTCATTTTTTGTTTAGTTAAAAAGTATAAAAACTCATTTTTTAAAGAAATATGTTCAAATTATCGTTTGTTTTATACAGAACCCTAAGATAAAGCAAGCTTTGTATAAAATTATGTCTATTGTGAGTGTAATAAGCTATTTCATACATTATTATAACATAGTTTGGCTATTTTGACAATTTTGAGATATACGGTTACCATGGAAACTGCCATTTTTCAAAAAATCCAACACGCCAACATATATTTTTCTTTTTCTTTTTGAATTTGTCATTAAATTTTACACAACATACAAAAAAATTAGAAAATCCTATGAAACACTTTTTCAATATCTCTAATTATTCTGAGAAATCATGTTCATTTTTCTCATTTTTTGTTCGGTTGAGGAACATGGAAAACTCATTTTTTAAAGAAATATGTTTTAATTATCATTTGTTTCATACAGAATCATTAGATAAGGTTATCTTTGCATAAAACAATGCTCGTTGTGTGTTTTAAGCTATCTTATACATTTTCTATTTGTTATAACACAGTTCGAATTCTTGAAGTCGCCCGAGGAGTTCCGATTGCTAATCCTGCTGTAAGGGGAGATCACTGTGCGAGGAGATTGGACAGCGGAAACACACGAGCAATAACGACAACAAGCGAATGTGCCATGTGACTCGGGGTAAATAAGGAAAGAAAACAGCTGACGTTTGATGTAAATAAACACAGAAAGGAACCATTTTTTCGATTTCTTTCTCCCCTTCTTCTGTTGCATAATGTCTCAGAAAGCTTCACCTCAAAAGACAATGACAGGAAGGGAAATACCAAATCGTAGGATTGCAGATATTTCGAATTTGCCAGCGGATTACTCGACGACCCCTGGTGGATCTATCTTTTCTACAACGCCAGGAGGTAATTTATAAAGGCATATCGTAAAGTAGTAATGCATATTGTTAAACATTGTTACTTATATGTTTTAGCTGCATTCTTTCATGATAATGTCATTTCGTGTCGCAAATGTTATCCCTGTTGTCAGTTACATTTTTTGTGGAGACCATGTAAAATATTCAAGATGGCTGCTTAGCAATCCCCCATAAGTTTAATTATATATATGTTTTATACAATTATAGTTCTACACTAAAAGTACGGAATGAGGTTAAATTAGATTATAGGTTTAAACAATTGGGTAAAATCCAGAATATAGCATTCAGAATTTGTTGACAATTAAAACATGTGGCTATATCCCAGGTCTAGTCTAGACCAACTGTTTAAATACTACGCATAGATTTTGAGTATGGGCAATATCTCAGTGCCTATTCTAGGACGCGCGATTGCGCGATTCACGCTAGTATTTCACAGATCGCGCACAGTTCAAAATCATGTGCGTGAAAATCGCGCATCTATATAGAAAAAGTAAATAAAATCAAAAAACTTCCATTTGGTTGTTTTGTTTACATGTACAACGGGAACCGAAGGGAGGTAACTGTAAGCTAATTATAATAATTTACTACCGTATGGTAGTGGTTACGGGAGTTGACGGAAATTAACGGAATGTTCCGTACTGACCGGAACTAGTGTGCTAGGTCTGACAGTTGGGCGCCATTTTAGTGTAGAATATAATCTAGAATAATTAGGCAATTCTTAGCTTGGCTACGATCCAGACGTGAAAGGTAGGTCGAATGTTTGTATTGTCAATCCCTTTATAATCAATTGCGGCAGTTCTATAATAATTTGTTTTCGTTTAAAAATTAAGGGGGGACAACTTCTGCTTCCTTAAATGAATATTTTCGTTTCAATTATTTCATCGGTTGAACGCCGCTGTGTAAACTAAATGCAGACGATATGTCTAAGAAAAGAATAACAGATTTTTTTGGTAAAACATGCGCTGAAAAAGCATCATCAACAGTTACTAACGATGCACAATCCGATTGTACAATTGTCCCCAGCCTCAAATCGAATGAAAATGAGACCGCTGATGAACCTGGTCCTTCAAAAAAATTCAAGCCCTCTACTTTCCAAAGTTCTTGGAAAAAAGATCGACCCTGGCTCGATGTCAATGAAAAGGGTGAAATGATTTGCAATTATTGTATTGACAATAAAATGACCAACACATTTACAACTGGCTGCACTAATTTCCGTACATCCACACTAACTCGACACGTTGCAACTACTGACCACAAGCTTTCAGTTCTTGCCAAAACCGAGAGTAAATCTCTAGAAAAAACTGTTCAAAACGTTGTTTCTCAACAGGAAGGAGCTGTCACATCAGCAATTGACACAGTTTACTGGTTAGCCAAGGAGAATATTGCCACAGAGAAATATTCATCTTTGTTAGAACTTTTAGAGAAAGAAGGCTGTAGCAATGTAAAAAATTTGAATGTTGGTGGAAATGCATCTTACAGGTCCACTACAATTGCACAGGAAATTCAACAAGCTATTGCAGACACACTTATGGCTGATATCATAAATGAAATGAAAGGTTCATTTTGTGCTGCTATCCTGACAGATGAGAGTACAGATATATCAGTGACTGGTAAGCTAATAGTGTATGTGCGATTTGTAACTAAAGATTTTGAGTTGAAATCACACTTCCTAGGGAATTTTAACATTGGTGAAAAAGATGCAACTACTATCACTGACAAATTGGTAACCATTTTAACTGAAAGGGGCATACCTGCTGAAAAAATACTTTGCCTTGGCTCTGATGGAGCCAGTGTGATGACTGGAGTGAAAAATGGAGTTGCAGCGCAGTTGAAAAGATTGTCACCATTTCTTATTAATATACATTGTGTTGCACACAGGTTAGCTCTCTGCACCAGCCAGGCAGCTTCTAAGCTAGATATTATGCAGCAGTACAAGTCTACACTTACTAGTCTGTACTATTACTTTAAGGGATCATCTGTTCGCAGCAGTAGGCTAGCTAAGATACAGGACTTATTTGAACAACCCCAGATAAAAATGAGAGAAATGCATGACATAAGATGGTTTTCTTTCTATAATGTGCTAGAAGGTATATATAAGTCTTGGAGTGCTCTCATCATTTATTTTGACTCAACTGAACTGTCAAAGGACCCAAAAGCAACTGGCCTCCGAAAGTCTCTCTTACAATATAAATTTCCTGCTATGACCTGGTTTCTTATGGACATTATACCTATCATTACAGCTCTTAACCTGGTCTTTCAGAAGGATTCACTTGATGTTGCAGTAATTAAACCTATTGTGTCCAGCACAATCTCTAAGCTTGAGTACTTGAAATGTAATGAGGGACATTACAAACAGGAATTTAAAAGACTGTTGAATGATGGGAATAAACTTTTTGACCATGAGCTAAGTTACAAAATACAACAAGAACAAATGGTTGAATTTGCAATGGAAAACTTTATTGATAAATTGATTGAAAACATGAAAAAGAGATTTCCAGATGACAGTGTATCTGTTATTTCAGCCTTTGATGTACTGGCAATGAGGGACCTATCATTTGTGCCTCCTTCAGAAGTAGATATCTATGGATTAGAGAAGCTTGATGTTTTGCTTGGTCATTACAGCCAACCAAGAGGTGACCCTGAAGTACCTGGCATTGTAGATGAACAGGCCACCAGAAATGAATATTCTTTATTGAAGCCATTAGTACTGCAACAGAAGTATCCAAGGGATCAGCTTGCTGTTCTGTGGAAAATAATCTTTGAATGCCACAGAGACCAATTCCCAAACCTGTTAAAACTTGCATCAATTGCCTTGACTTTGCCTGTGCAGACAGCTATTTAAGAACGTGGCTTTTCATGTCAGAATAACATCAAAACTGCCCAGAGAAACAGGCTGAGTGAATCATCCCTGCATACCCTGATGACAATTAGCATTGAGGGACCACCTCTACGATGTTTTAATGCTTCAAGGGTTCTCCAGGAATTCAAAACCAAGAAGCAAAGAAGAATTTTTCAAAAACTGTCATTTAATGCTGGCATGTAAAAGAAAAACATGTAAAAGCAATAAAATGTAAAAGGTAAAACAATAAAACATGTAAATTGATTAAAATTGGTAGTTTATATTGGCACCCCTAGATTTTCAAAATCCCCCCCTTTTTTGAAATAGAGGGGGGAAAATCACCCCTATTTTTGAATTCCTAGAATAGACACTGATATCTCCTACGCATATAACATAAAAGTCTGCGAAATGTGGCGCTCATTAAAGGTTTGAGACATGTTAAATCCATGTCGAACATGCAACAGAGATTTTCTTTCCTTATACTGTTATAAATATAAGTGGTAGACTGGTACTGAATAACGGACCTATTCACGATCAGGAACAGCCCTTCAAAATGTTCAGATTAGATCTGACAGACCTTTTCACAATTTTAAAGTTTAATAGCTTCCAAATTCAATTTGATTGAATCACAGCTTCATTAGTATATGCCAAATCGGAAAAAATATATGCTAAACCAGGGTCTTTCGATTTTATAAAACCCTGGCTTGATAGTAATTTTGCAACAGTATTTTTGATGACTTCTTACTTTGTGGAAACAAAAATGAAGCTGAGTGTATATAGAACAGTAGGCACATGTCTGACACTGACAGTTACGCCGAATACAGTAGGTAATTTTGTCATCAGACTGGTCAAATTACTGAGAACATATTCATATTCTGCATGGGTTTACAGTTCAGGCATTTACTCCATTAGACTGTAAAATCTGAGAATCAAATTGGAAGCAATTCAACTTTTGATTTGAACATCAGCACTACAACAGTGTAAACACAATGTAAATTTTGAACAACACAATGGTGAAATGAGATTTTGATAATTGTTAAAAGAAAAAAAAATCAGGAAAAGACATAATTCAAAGCCTAATTGATGTACTTTGTGAATTTTTTGCAGAATTGTGACCAGGTCCGTCAGACCCATTCAGAAAATTGTGAAGGACCGGTCTTTTCTGTGGATGGGTTATTTATTCGGCACTTGTATTTATAAGAAAAAAGTTGCTGTAATGAAATACGTTTGTACATGTAATGGTTTACCCTTTATCCCTTTACTTTATATAGACATGTTTTGATGGCTTTTCACCCCCTCCTTTTTGAGGCCTCAAAAATAGTGAAAAAAATGTCTTATTTAGGTTATCAAAAAAAGTGATCACTTTTTTGGCACCGCCCCTATCAAAAAGGTAGGATGTGCTCCCTTTTGTTTTGGACTTGTCAGGGGCTAAAAATGGCCTCGGGGTAAATCTTAAGGTAACATGTAACCAATGCTGAAAAGCCTTTGACTTTTATCTCAATCCATTTAGAAGTTGCAGCACTTAAAAATCAGTTTTGATGGGTTAAAAACAACGCAACATATTAATTTTTGGTAATTTTGAAACTTTGCCATGGTAACACATGGCTTGAGCTTGGCGGTGACTAGGGTGAAGAAGTCGCCTTTGAATGAGTAACTCCGCTTAAAACAAACTTCAAAGCCATTTCGAAGTCGCCCGATTTTTAGCTCACCTGTCACAAAGTGACATGGTGAGCTTTTTTGATCAATTTTCGTCCGGCAGACCTGCATCCATCTATTAACTTTCACTTTAAACGACATCTCCTGATAAACCGCAAATCCAATTTCATCCAAACTTCACAGGAATGTTCCTTTGGTAGTCAACTTTAAAAATTGTTCAAAGAATTTAAGGTGACAACAGACACTTTCCGTAGTAATCACATAAATGTCATTTAAACCAACTTGTTTTAGTAATAATTGTTATTTATTTAATCTTTGTGTATTAAATGTCGTTGATCATCATAAAAAATAACATATTTGAAAAAAATGCCTTTGTAAATGATTGATTTTTAATAAAAATCCTAAAATTTTAAATCGTCATATCAAAGTCATTTTTTATTTTTTTGTCATCAAACTTTTGGAAAATAAACATACTTATAATATCTGGGGAACAGTGTCTCAAATTTTTTCTATCTTTTCTCAAAAAAATATTACGTAACGTCAAACATTTTATGCGACTTTTTTCACCATACATATTATGTAATTAAAAATAATTAAGTCGCTGATTGAGCAAACAAAAATCCCTGACACTGTTCCCTCCGTAAATGAATTCCCTTTCATGTGCTTTAAACCACATGTTAATTGCTTGATTATTAAAAAAGTTATGCCGATTCAAAGTTAATCCGACCCGCATCAAATGAAGTGTCATAAATCGGCTGTTCTCTCTCGGACCCCTACGTTTCAAGCTAAATAATTGCATAATGCACAAATATCGCACCAGAGAGGGTCACAAGTTGCGGTAACATACTCTTAACATTTTATGACCCAGTGACATCTGACCAATTAAAAAGTTGCTGATTAATATCAATTTATAACAGAAATTTCTTCAAATCTTAACGTGATTTACCGTCGGTCTTGTATCGGTCGCACATGTCACGTGACTTTCGGTAAAATTTGAGGCACTCGGTGGGGGGAAATGGAACGTATTTGTGCACCGCTAGCGGGGTATTTAATTGTTTCACATTTGAAGTTTATTATTATTATCATCAGCATTATTATTATATTATACCAGTGTCACTCTATCTGTGTATTTGTGTATGAAATTCCGTTAAAATATAATTTAAAATAACAAAAAAACTGAGCTTCTGACAGTCTTTTAAAGTCCATGGTAGATGTACAAATAAGAACGGGATATTATATATTTTTTTCTCCAAATTGATATAAATGCTTCACATATTTTAATAGAAATAAAAGGTATCACTCGATCATTATGATCTGACCTTCTTGACTTCTATTATCATGAAAATCATCTATGCACGGCATAGAGATCCAGTTTCTACTGCGATATACAATAAATTCCAAATTTTGTCCCAGGTTTATTAGTACTTTGTTCGATTTACTAGCGAACAATTTATTCAAAGCATTCACTGATAATTTATTTTATTATCTTTTTATTGATTCATAGAGAAATAATCATCCTTAGACAACCTAAAATGGTTTAGAAATTTGTCAGGGACACCTTACCACAAGTCATATAGGCGCTCACATAAAAAATGTCTGTTTTTGTTGTTGTTTCACTTGACATTGTTAGAAAACGAGGTTGAATGTAAAGCAAGCCCTTGAATCCGTACAAAAGTCCATAAACTCAATGTAATATCTATCAGATTAACGGGACAGACAAATTATTTTCACACATTATGCATATTTTAGCAACTATATTTTTAATCAACCCCGTGGTTGTGTGATTTGTCGCTATGCTTAATTATTTATGTTTCATACATTATGTTACATACATTGGCCGACAATTTATTTTATAAAAAAGGCTAAATAAAAGGTAGATGATATTCATAAAAGATGTACGGTATTTGCACGATACATGAATTACGAATAGTATGGACCAGTATGGACCGGTAATTCACGCATATATGGAACTACCGATTTCCCTCATTGATGGCTCAACAGGGGGCTGAGCGTTATCGATAATTGACAGGTTACGCGATAGCAGATAAAAATGGTACAGGTACCGTTTTAAAACGTTTGGAAACACATTTTTTGGACTAACTGCTTCCAAAATTAAATCACGAATGTGTTCAGAAAAGGTTGATAAATCTACTAAGCAAAAAATCTCATTTTAGGTATTTTCAGTGATAATTGACTCCGTTGTCACCTTAATTCCAAGCAGAACTCTGGTTGCCATGGCAACCGAAAGAAAAAACTTAAAATATATTCTTTTAGAAAACCAAAAAGAGCTTAAATATTTGGCATGAAACATCATATACTTTGATATAGTCAGTGTCTACTAAGTTTGTTCAAATAAATGCCCTGGGGTCAAAAATGGCCCCACCCAGGGGGTCATTGATTTTCATTATTTGTTTATAGTAAAAACTTAAAAAATCTTCTTTTAAAAAACCCAAATAGCTAGAGCTTAGATATTAAGCATGAAACATCCTCTAGTGATACTCTACCAAGTTTGTTCAAATAAAAACCCAGGGGTCAATTTAAATTTGTAAATAAAATATTATTATTGAAATTTCTGGCTTTGGTTTTCTTTAAATTAAGTTGGCACGCTGACAAGTGACATAAATTATACAAAATTAAATGTCACCAACATCATTGATTGTGGGCAAATCACCCAATCCTTCATCTGACGAAAATTACATCACTCCATGTATATATGTAAATATTGTGTTTGATATTGGTATACAAAAAAACAGGAAATTTAAGATTTGGCGTGCTGTTACAAAGGCTATGGTTCAGTCAACATTTGTGCCAAGTTTGATCAGTAAGGGGTTAATGGAGTTAATCAATGATTTTTAAGTCAGATCCATAGGGAAATGATAAAAGGAAAGTATTTAGTGGTGTTTTACCTATTATATATATCTGAGTAATCCATATGGTATAAAATGATACAAAAATACTTAGTCCTTAGATAAGGGAAGCACAACTTTATATTGTCTGCTCAAGAAGGTGGTTGCTTACTGTTGATGATAGCCCATGACCTGTTTATCCTTTAAAGTAACTAAAAACCAACATTATATATCCTCATTTTTATGCAAAAGATGAGCATACTACATTTCATAATTATTTTCAACCTTTTGAATAATAAAAACGCTAAAACGTGCCGTGATTTTGCACAAGAAACAAATAGGCAAAAACAAAAGTTATCACAAGAACTCTAGGACATCTTCAGATAGGGCTTTATGTTTGCAATTTTGCATTATAGTTAAGTAATTATGTATGGCAAGGATGAAGACCAGAAACAAGCTGGTCAATATGTGCGCATTGGCAATTAATTTGGAAATTTTACTGAAAACGACCAGATTTTAAACAAGAGGCAATGAAAAATGACCTATGAATTAGTTTTTGATATATAATACAAGATGTTAGTCAAGCTTAAAATCATTAAAGTTTAATTTAGCACTAAAACTCACTTTTTTAAGATGAAAATTTTCATTTTTGATGAGTGCTTTTGTAGTATATACAAAAGTTTTCCGATGAACTCTGTGACAGTAATAACAAGATGTCCTAAGAATTCCATACTTCGTGTAACAGTTCCTCCCCTTGCACCCAAACCTTACTGGAATGGAGCTTTAATTATGGGCTCTATTTCATTGGACCCTACTAGGCTACCTTGGAAGACATTTCCCCAGTTCCAACTTTAACCATTGTCCAGTCACTTGCATACAAAAACTGGTTCACAAATATGAACTCCAGGGAGAAAACAGATTAAACAAATTGCTGTTTTCATATGGCTAAGGTCAACGAGGTTAATCAAATTCTGTTTCTGTGTTAGTGTAAAATATATATTATGTTTATATTATCAGTCCTATTGTTATATTGGAAAATGCTTTTGAAAGTAGCAGTGATATTTTTAAAGCACTCAAAAACTGCATTAACTGCATCTGAAACAAGGCAATATCCTGTAAGTGAAAATAAACTCAGATTGCTTCACTCTCATGTTAATCTTCACTTCAATATTTTACTATTTTGATGTGATGAATCCCTCACATTTAAATTAAACGAGTTTCGAAACCCTGTTACTGTATAAAGTGTATATAGTAAAATTTAAAGAATATATTTTGCAAGAAGTATGGTTTAGTGACCAACATTGTCAGATTCTTGTGATAAACACTAGCTTTCACTGCTTTCACACAAATAACAGTCTGTCCTTAGGTGAGCGCTTCGGGGGCCAATGTTTTCTAATATTGTACATCTACTATAAGGGAAAGTCAAATTGAGGGCTTCTTGATGTTCTATAAAATATTTTACCAAACTACCATGATGGGGAAAACAATTAAATTAAATTATAGGTGCAACAACTCTTACATTTCAACTATATTTTCACAGAACTATCATCACCAAGAAAGTTATTTTGAGAATGCTATATGTAAAATTGATGAACAGATACAGTGTTAGTGTTTAATAGTAAGGAAAAATATAAAATCATAATCTGCTAATGTTTATAAAAGTTATTATTTTCATTTTAGGTACTAGAATATTTTATGAAAGGTCATTCCTGATGAAATGTAGAGAATCTCCTTTGGCAAAAACACCTCCAGCAAATATGGCAAATATTCCAGGAGTAACCTCCCCTGGCAATGTTGATGCAAAAGAGAATGGTGTTCAAGATCCAAAGCCTACAATAGGTATTTTTTGATATCAGTTTTAGCTTTTAGAGCTTTAAAGGAACACATAAAGTAATTGAACCATAGGTCCCAGCAAGTTAATTTCATGGTTCACAAAGTACTCAGGAGGTGAACTTTTGTCATAATGTCACTTAAACAATGACATTTAGTATAAAAACAGATATGAATATTGAAGCCATCTGGTTAGCTTAAAAGGTGAAACATTTTTTTACAATCTTCTTCTTTAAAAAACATACAATCATGTACTGGTACCTGTCAAGAAATTTTGCTTTTTAAAATTGTATATTCTGGTTACAACCAGGAAGACTTAAAGATTTGCCATTTGTCCGTCCCTAAAATTGTTTCATATGATCACTTTTAAACAACTTGGAACTATTCCAACAACTTTATTTAAAATAACATAAGTTATACATATTAGATTTAATTTAGAATAACATAAGTTATACATACTAGATTTAATTTAAAATAACATAAGTTATACATATTAGATTTAATTTAAAATAACATAAGTTATACATATCAGATATAGTTACGGGTAAGTATGTCAAGTCCAGGTGTGCCATTCTAAACATTTGCTTGTATTCAGTAAAATTCACATTTTCTAGTCATTATCTAGACTACATATATGCAATTTGCAAAAGGTTCACACTGAACAGTTTCAGGGCCTTGAAATTGGAATGAAAAAATGGTTTGTGTAAACAAATTTGGTACTTAATATTATTATAACATTTGAAATTTTGGCTGCTCATTTAGAAATTCAGTATATAGGTGAGGGTTAATATTCTGTTTTGATCTTTTTCAGTTGAGAAGGTCAGTGAAGAAAATCCACAATTTGAAATGGACATTTAGAAAACCCAGCTTGCCTTACAGCGTGTTTATAGTAACATTATTAATCTTCAGGTACAGAGCTGGAGTAACTATTTCCTTAGAGATTACTGACTGAACATGTATGAACATCAGCAGCTTGACTACACTAAGTACCGGATGATCTGTCTTGTTTACTATGTTACTCTAAAGGATTTACTTTAATCTTCATACAGTTGCTCCTCCTCATCATCAACATATACATGACAATGGTTATTAACTTGGGTTCCTATATACAAGAATGATTGATTCCCACATTTAGAATCACATTTATAGAAATTGTTGACTATTAACAATATGTCATTAATCAAGGATTTTACTTCAGATTTAAGATAAGTCTTTCCTTATCAAACATATTACAAAGGTTAGGGGTTCATTTCTCTGGCACCTTATTTCAAAAATTCTCTGTCATTGAATTTTGAAATTCATTTAAAGAGTATTTTTACCAAGTCTTTTTAATTCCTTCAGGGGTTTACTTCAAAATGCTTTCATTATATATTGGAAAAAAGCACATATATTTTGATATCAAAATTGATGTGCATGAGATTGTATTTTTACATGTATATTATTGTTTATTATACCCCCACCACAAAATGTGGGGGGGGCTATAATGGATTCGCTTTGTCGCGTCGGTCGGTCGGTCGGTCGGTCCGTCCGTCCGTCGGTCGGTCCGTCTCCATTTTCATGTCCGCTCTATAACTCCTATACCAATTGAAGGATTTTCTTCAAACTTGGCTCAAATGTTCATCTCAACAAGGGGATGTGCAGAACCCATATTGCCCATGTGTCAGCTCAAGGTCAAGGTCACAATTGAAGGTCAAATATCAAACACTATCAAATATTACACAGTATGTCGTGTCCGCTCTGTAAGTCTTACACTAGTTGAAAGATTTTCTTCAAACTTGGCTCAAATGTTCACCTCAACCAGGGGATGTGCAGAACCCATGTCGCCCATGTGTCAGCTCAAGGTCAAGGTCACAATTGAAGGTCAAATATCAAACAATCAAATATTACACAGTATGTCGTGTCCGCTCTGTAAGTCCTACACTACTTGAAAGATTTTCTTCAAACTTGGCTCAAATGTTCACCTCAACAAGAGGATGTGCAGAACCCATGTGGTCCATGTGCCAGCTCAAGGTCAAGGTCACAATTGAAGGTCAAATATCAAACAATCAAATATAACACAGTATGTTGTGTCCGCTCTGTAAGTCCTACACTGATTGAAAGATTTTCTTCAAATTTGGCTCAAATGTTCACTTCAACAAGGGGATGTGCAGAATCCATGTTGCCCATGTGTCAGTTCAAGGTCATGGTCACAATTGAAGGTCAAATATCAAACAATCTAATATTACACAGTATGTCATGTCCGCTCTGTAAGTCCTACACTACTTGAAAGATTTTCTTCAAACTTGGCTCAAATGTTCACCTCAACCAGGGGATGTGCAGAACCCATGTCGCCCATGTGTCAGCTCAAGGTCAAGGTCACAATTGAAGGTCAAATATCAAACAATTAAATATTACACAGTATGTCGTGTCCGCTCTGTAAGTCCTACACTACTTGAAAGATTTTCTTCAAACTTGGCTCAAATGTTCACCTCAACAAGGGGATGTGCAGAACCCATGTTGCCCATGTGCCAGCTCAAGGTCAAGGTCACAATTGAAGGTCAAATATCAAACAATCAAATATTACACAGTATGTTGTGTCCGCTCTGTAAGTCCTACACTAATTGAAAGATTTTCTTCAAACTTGGCTCAAATATTCACCTCAACCAGGGGATGTGCAGAACTTATGTCACTCTTTTGCTTGCTTAAGGTCAAGGTTACACTTTAAGGTCAAAAATTGACTTACAAAATATTCTTAAATTTTACGTTTATTTGAATATTTCTAAATCTAGAAAAGGTATTTGCTTGAAACTTAAAATATTTTTGAAGGGTCACAATTCTGATATGCTGTTCGTTCAAGTTTCATAACTCTGTATTGCATTTTGACAAAGTTATGCCCCTTTTTAAGTCTTCAAATTTACATACAACCAATACTAGACAATATATTGTGTCTACTCTATAAATTCTATACTAATGGAAGGATTTTCTTCAAACTTTACTCAAATGTTCAACCAAACTGGGTGATGTGCAAAACCCATCTTACCCTTGTGCCAAATTAAGGTCAAGACCACACTTGAAGGTCAAAAATTGACTTGAAAATAAAATGTTTAGTACATAGGGAAAATGAAAGGTTTTTTGTAACTGTTTCGAACATAATTTGATAATAAATTTATACTATTACCTGTACTATTAGTCTTTTTTTCACCAGAGATAATTTCTTTTTATGTATTTGTGCCAAATAAGTTATTCCCTTAACCACCTTTCCAAGTGGTCTTCTGTCAAGGACATTTGTGGGGGTATGAATCGCATTCAGCGATAGTTCTAGTTGATTTTTCTTATATGGACTGCTAAAATGAGTTAACGGAATTAGCTCAGTTTGTATATCTATGGAATTTCTTTACTAAACATTTATAGTAGAAAATGAATTTTTTTCATACAAACAAACTGTACATTAATTAATAATTTACCAGTAGTGATGTATAGTTTTGAATTTTATTTTAACTGTAAACATTTACAATCAAATATTATTGAATCTTGAGAATTTAAAGATAGACTAGTTTATTTTACTGGATAGCATCATTGTTTTATTGTTTTATTTTCTTGGTGATTTCTTATTGTCAAGTATATTGTCATAACTGCCTACTTTTTTATCTGTGATTATAGAGGTAAAAAAATGCTCTTTCTGAAAATAGCCTTCAATATGAACACAATATGTTTACCAGAGATACAACTAGTATAAACACCATATTTTATGCTTGTTGAGTAGGGCTGTTTTCCAAGTATTATTGTGATAATAAAATTTTGTTCATTTAAGCCCTTCACTTATTTTACGATGCAATATTGTAGCCAGATTTTGACCAGCACCCTACTAGCATTTACTTAAGCTGTGAGAAAAAATAAAGTCACAAGTCGACAGGTCAGGGCTATATGAAGGATTTATAAAACATCAAGCTTGGAATTTCTCAAAAACTCATGTACTGTGACAGATGTATCATGACACCATGTTATCATGCAGCAATTTCATGAAGCAGATGCTAGTGGCAAATCTGAATTTCTGATGGAAATCAGGAAAATGTGTATAAATAATTTTCTGTAGAACTTTCTGTCACAAAACCAACCATTGAGAAGTAGTATTTAAAAAGAACAGAGCATCATGAATCAAAGAAATACCAGGAAAAATGTAAATAACATGCAAGTTTTGAGGTCTCTGGATGGATCCAGGAATTCCGGAAAGCATATTGCAAAATTACTGGGCAAGAAACTCAAATTACTTGACTTAATATAGGAAGGGGAGTCATTGTTAGTAATGTGCTAAATGGATATCCTGGATGCATATAATACCAGGCTGAACATTATAAAATGGCTTTTTATAGAACCTGCATATCTAAATATAGTCATTATATGACATTTTAACTGTGTTTATAAAATAAATAATGATAAAAAAATAGACATGTTAAGCTTTACTCACATTCTTTGAATTCATAGTTTATGCAAAGTCTTTCAGAGAATTAATCCTTAGTCCATTGCTGTTGGTATAAGAATTTTTGATAAACTTTTCCTTAATTTATCACTTTGGCTTTTAACTTTTCGGTGAATGATATGAACCTGGTTTGTCCAACTGTCTGTTAGCAGTTTTTGTGTCCGATCTATCATTTGATCCGGTGGAAGGATATTGAAACTCAAATTACTTGACTTAATATTGGGCTTCCTGAGATCATAATTGGCCCTGCCCATGGGATAACTTGATTTATATAGGAAAGGACATGTAAGTTTCATTGTGTGAAACTACAATGCCTAGAGCTTAGATATTTAGTATGTGGCATTCCATTATTGACTTTTACAAAACTGATATGATTCACACCCTTGGTTCAATATTGGCCCAGCTACAGGGGTCACTTGATTTATATAGACATAAATGGAAAAACACATGTGAGACTTATTGTGTGATACAAAGAGGCACAAAGCATAGATATTTGGCATTTAATATCACTTTGTGGACCACAAGATAACTGGTATTAATCTTGCCCCTTGGGTCAGTTAATATTGTGTTGTAAAGGAAAACACATTTAGGTCTTACTTTGATAAAACTACATAGCCTAAGTTAAGATATTAGACTTTTAGCATTACCTTATTAGTCTCTACAAAACTTATTAATCATGCCCCTTGGGTCAATTTTTGCCCCACCCTTGTGGTCAGTTACTTTATATAGTCTTGTATGAAAAAACACATTTCAGTCTTATTTTGACAAAGCCAAGAGATCAGATATTTAGCATGTAGAATAACCTTGTGAACCTCTGCAAAACTGATATTAATCATGCCCAGGGATCAATATTGGCAAACCCCAAGGTCACTTGATTTATATAAACTTATAGGAAAACACATTAAGGTTTTATTGTGTGAAACTACAAGTCCCAGAACTTAGATAGTCCCAGAACTTAGATATTTGACATGTAGCATCAATTCATAGATTTTTACAGAATTTATATTAATCATGACCTTTAGGTCAAAATGGGCCCTGCCCTGGGAGTCACTTGCTTTATATGACTAAGATATAGGAAAAAACTATATTTGGCATGTAGTATTGCCTTAGTAGACTGTTAAAAAAGTTTTATGAATTGTAAACAGTCCCTCCACCTTTGAGGTTGTATCATATGCTGATTAAGATACAACATTATTCAGACAAGGTTCTTGATTGGGTCTCTACTCTTATTAAAAGATTATTCTGATTACTCAAACAAATTTACGTTAAGCGTATTTTCCAGCCTTTGTTGTTTTCTTGTTTAAAGAATTCATCCTATGGAAATGTTTAAACAAAGAAAAGTAATTTTGTATGTTTTACATTGCCTTTTTTTGGTGTGTGTCTTTTTTTTTTTTCATTTTATACATATCCAAATTATAGAACATCCGAAATTGCATACAGTTTTGCACGTACAATTGATGATTTTAAGCATTTATAGTGTTCATTTTAATCAGTTTAAATGTCTAAATAATTTATCACTTAAATCAAAGTCTTAATACCTTGAAAGTGAATAAGGTCAGATATCATGAAATGTTTTCATTGAAGTGTTTTGATAATAAAAATACTTGACAGTAATATTTCAATCTAGCTAGTGTGTGTGTAATAATATCAGCACAATATTGCATGAGAATCAAGTGTATCATTTACCTTGACACCGATCAAAAGGTAAAAGTTTACACACTGTCGAAAACATAATTATTTTGTAGTTGCATTAAAAAGTTAAATCATATTGCAGATGGTCAGTCAAAATGTATTATTTCCTTTGTTAGCTCACAAGATTAGCTACTGTCAAGGCTCACTGGCCCTCACCTCTTCGTCCACATTTCTTTGAACATCATCTTTAAAACCACTGTGTTAATATCAAAACTTTCTATAAATGGTCCTTGGATGATCATCTTCTTTTAAAGTTGTTCATAAAGTTTCAATGTCTGCAGAAGTCTGGTTGTCATAGCAATAAAAAAAAAAGAAAAATATAAAAAATCATCCCTCTGAAACCATGAAGACAAGAGCTTAGATAATTAGCATGAAACACCATGTATTTGATTTCTTCTAAGTTTGTTTAAATAGTAGCCTTGGGTTAAAATATTGGTCCTGTCCTGGAATGTGGGGGGTGGTTATTGGGTTTTCCTTTTATGTATTATGTAAAATCTTGAAAAATCATCTCCTCTAAAACATTAAAGACAAGAGCTTAGATTTGAAATACATAACTATTTCCTGGTGTAGTTTATTGGATCAGCTTGCATGATCACAGACATGGAGCCAGATGGTTTTTTGTCTTGCAAATCATGTAGGATTAGTCAGTCACTTGCCGATAAATTGGTTAGTTATCCAGGCAAGCCGATAATGTGGACAGACTGCCAAGATATGACCAAAATTGTATTACAGTCTGCATAAAAACCAAGTATAAAAACACACAAAACAGACAGAAATTAGCAATAAAGTAATTTGCATGTTCCTTTTGTAATGAACTTTACACTTTCCCTCCCTTTTGAGGCATTTTTGAAATCCAGTTATATTGAATATTGGAATGGCATTGTTCATCTGTCCTTTTGTCTAAATCTAAAAATGAGCCTAAGTCTCATCTTGAAATTAATGACAATACATTATGTAGAAATAATGTTTTAATTTCATTTTATCTTCAAAGGCTGACCTGAAAAGTCATGTTCAAAGAAGTTTAAGCAGGTTCTTTGTATCATACAGTGATGGATAGCAATTTACTAATTTGTTTTCCCCTTTCAAATTTACTCCACACTTTCTGCCTTTTTGAGGCATTTCTGAAATCCAGTTATATTGAATATTAAAATGGCATTGTTTCCAGATGTCTGATTTTAAAGAAACATTTTTTTGGAAGGAAGTTATTATTATAGTCCTGTGGGTGTACCTTTTGTCTGCAAAGTTTAACATTGATCATAACCTTTATTTTTTTGGTGTATTGTCTTCATACTTGGCTACAACAACCCTTGAGATAAAACCTTCAAGTACACCAGACTAATCTTGACCTTTATACATAAATGACCTTGACCTTGAAGGTCCAATTATTGAAACTTTCTTATTTTGCTGCAACTGGCTATAACTTTGTTATTAATGAATAGACTGGCTGTATATTTAGAATGAACATTCATTAGGATTTGACCTTCATGTATTATCAAACTAAAATTGACCATCTGTACCTTGAAGATTAAATTATTGAATTTTCACTGATTTTGCTATAATTGACTGTAACTTTGTAACTTCAAACTTGGACAAAACAACTTTTTGGATAAGACCAACTAAAAGTTTGAACTGACCTTAACCTTGAGCTTTAAATGACCTTGACCGTCCATGTCAAATTATTGAATTTTACTTAAACTGTCATAATTTTGTTATGTCTACAGATTTGATTTATAATTTGACTTGTGACCAAACAAACATATTGAATTATTTAGATGTGAACTTAACCTTAAATTGACCTTGAAATCAATAAAATTATCTTGTTTTTTCCTATAGATATGGAATTTGGACCATGTGCACAGTATTAGATGTAATTTGAACTTTGGTATCAGTTGACCTTAGATTTAACTTAGTGACCATATTTCTTGTCCTTTGATGTACAGCTATAAAAATTGGACCATTTGCACAGTTTTAGTTGTAAAATAGAACTTTGATATCAAGTGACCTTGATTTTGATGACATGACTTACTTTCTTGTCCTTTGATGTGCAGCTAATAAATTTGAACCATGTGCACAGATTAAGATGTAAAGTGAACTTTGATATCAGCTGGCCTAGATTTGACAAAGTGTCTTACTGTGTTGTCCTTTGAGGTACAGTCACGGAATTTTGGCCATGTGAAATGTGACCTTCACCACCAAATTCACTAGACTTAACTGCATTGATAGATTCCTACTCTGATCTTTTATTTGAATAACAATAGATTTAACCACTAATCTGATAAGAATTAGATAGGACAGTGATCTACTTCAATTGTATTGAAAAAAAAAAAATTCTGTTCCTACATTACTATTTGAGTGTTGTATTAATGTGATGGCACATAATTTTTATATGCCCAAAAAAATTTCGGGTATAATATGTTAAACCCCCCTGGCGTACGTCCATTAGTCTGTCTTTCTTTTGTGTGGCTAAAAAGAACAATAGAGAGAACAAAAGAGTAGCCACATTATTACTGTCCCGTTGGAACGTCCGTCTGTTAGCAATTTGGTTTCCGGAGCATAAGTTCCATTTGGCCCACATTGTGTAGAAGACCCCTATTGTTTTTGGGATCCCAAGGTCAAAGGTCAGGGTCACTATTACCTTACCTGTAAACAGTTTCTGGAGCATAACTTTAGTTCCATTTGGCCCACAATATTCAAACTTCATAGGATGGTTGTCCATATTGGGTAGAAGATCCCTATTGATTTTGGGATAACAAGGTCAAAGGTCAAGGTCACTATAACCTTAACTGTAAACAGTTTTCGGAGCATAACTCAAGTTCCATTCGGCCCACAATATTCAAATTTCATTGGATGGTTGTCCATATTGGGTAGAAGACCCCTATTGATTTTGAGGTCAAAGGTCAAGGTCACTATTACCTTAAAACTGAAAACAGTTTCCGGAGCATAACTTAAGTTCCATTTTGCCCACAATATTCAAACTTTATAGGATGATTGTCCATATTGGGTAGAAGACCCATATTGATTTTGGGAATCACAAGGTCAAAGGTCACTTTTGCCATAAAACTGAAAACAGGTTCCGCTCAATAACTTAAGTATTAATCAACTTACAGCTATTGCATTTTGAAGGAGGTAATACTTTATTTAATTCCCATGTCTTACAAATGCTTCATCCTTGCTTAAAAAAACACTTTCGGGCATATAATGCTCCACCTAGCTGTGCTCTTGTTCACAAATGCAATCTTGTTTTCTTTAGGGATATAAATTGAGCACTGGGCTTCAGTGGGCCATGGTTAGGGGTACCAAAAATAGATTTCTAAACATTTGCTTATACATGTATAGCTTTTATTAGCTCACCTGAGCTAGCTCAGGGTGAGTTTTTAGGATTGTTGAATGTCCGTCGTCTGTCGTCCGTCCACACTTGTTCGTTAACACTCTAGCGGTCATATTTTTGTCTCCATCATTATCAAACTTTGTCAGGATGCTTATCTAGGTAATAGTTCGAATGAGTTCAAACATGGGTGATGTCCGATGAAAAACTAGGTCACAAGAGCTAAAAATAGAAAAACCTTGTTAACACTCTAGCGGTCATATTTTTGCCTCAATCATCATCAAACTGTGTCGGGATGCTTGTCTAGGTTACAGCTCGTATGAGTTCGAACATGGGTCATCTCGGGTGAAAAACTAGGTCACAGGAGCTAAAAATAGAAAAACCTTGTTAACACTCTAGTGGTCACATTTTTGATGCAATTATCATCAAACTTGGTCAGGATGCTTGTCTAGGTAATTGCTTGGATGAGTTTGAACATGGGTCATCTCGGATGAAAAACTAGGAGCTAAAAATAGAAAAATCTTGTTAACACATGTGGCTACTGTTCTGATCCAAATATCCTGGAAATTGGTCTGAAAGTTTTTGATGATTTCTAGGTCAAGATCTAATATGGGTCACCTGGGGTCAAAATCTAGGTCACACTGCTCAGATATGGATAATCCTTGTTAACACTAGTGGTCACTTTTTAGCTCGACTTTTCTATGAAAAGGGGAGCTATCCTACTCGCCCCGGCGTCGGCGTCGGCGTTAGCGTTAGCGTCGGCGTTGGCGTCACACCTTGGTTAAGTTTTTCGTACCACCCCACTTTATTTCAGAAGTATTACAAGTATGGCTTTGAAACTTACCATACTTGTTCACCATCATAACCTCCATCTACAGACAGGAGTACATAACTGTGTCAAGGTTTTTGACAGAATTATGGCCCTTTTTTGACTTAGAAAGTGTATTGAGCTTGGTTAAGTTTTTTGTACCACCTCACTTTATTTCAAAACCATTGGAGGTATTGCTTTGAAACTGACCATACTTGTTTACCATCACGACCTTCATCAACAGACAAGAGGACATAACTCTGTCAAGGCTTTTGACAGAATTATGCCCCTTTTTGACTTAGAAAATACATTGAATATGGGTAAAATCCACTTATTGCCTTAACCCTTTGAGATATTGCTTTGAAACTTTTAATGCTATTTCACATCATTACCCCCATCTGTACGCAAGAGAAGGTAACTCTGTCAGGGATTTGTTTTAAAAAATTAGGCCTTTTATCGACTTAGAATCTTGGTTAACTTTTTTGTACCAGTCAACTTTTTGACTGAACTGGTTGAGATATTAAATTGAAAGTTGGAATACTTGTTTACCATCATGGTCCCAAAACATGGGCAGGAGAAGGTAATTCTGTTAAGGATTTTATTTGAATTATGGCCCTTTTTGACTTAGAAACTCAGTTAAAATTTTCATTCTTGTCCACTTGTTGACTTAACCATTTGAGATATTACTTTGGAAGTTGGAGTTCTTATGTGCCATCATGAGACCTATCTGTAAGCAAGAGAAGATAACTCTGTGAAAATGTTTCTTGATTTGTACTTAGAAATTCCTAGTTAAAGTCTTGTGTGCCCTTAACTGTCAAAGTTTTGTTTTATAGGCAAGCACTAAAAAAGTCGAGCGCGCTGTCCTTCTGACAGCTCTTGTTTACTCACCTGTCATGAAACTTGGTCAGAATGCTTGTCTAGGTAATTGTTTGGATGAGTTCAATAGGTCAGGTGAGCGATCTAGGGTCATCATGGCCCTCTTGTTTATTGATGGTATTCTTCATATTTGGAAGGAACATACCTCAGATGTTCCAGTGTTGGGAATCACAAGGTCAAGGTCACCTGTGCTAACAATAGACTTTTTACACTCTTTCAAACACAGTCTTTGTATTTTTATACCATATTTAGATGGAACATACCTCAGTTTGTCCTTTAAGTTTTGTGTAGTTTGGGTCACTTGGTTTAGGGTCACTTGGTTCAAGGTCAAGGTCTTGCGTTTATATATATTTGATAAATTTTTGTAAGTTGAATATTTTTCAACTCCATCACATTGCAGTGAAATGCCAACTTATACTTTACACAATGACACACCATCATGATGACTCTTGTCGAGTTATGTAATTGTTTTTACATTCTTTAAGCAATTTTTCTGTCCATAACTTGAGTGATTGGGTAAACTTTTTTGAAAAATTGTAACTGATGGGAATCTGGGTTGGGGGCATTTGTGTTTACCAAAGATGTTTATGTTTACTTGTTGTAATGAGACTAAGCATAAATGTATATTTAAAGGAAATGCTACAAATGAACTGCAATCAAAATATAAACATGCTGAAGTTATGTCACTTGTTACTTGAAAATAAGTAGTTTTCCTCCATTTGTTATTGAGATGCTAAATGTTGACATGAACTTATATGTACCAAAATATGAAAGTTTTCATAAAGTGTAAAGCAGCAGTAGATAGGTATTTTGGTGTGTTTTGTGATTTTATTTCTGATGAATTGACAAATTTACTGAAGGAGTAAGTGGTGATACTTCATAGAAATATGTTTCTCAAGAGTTTGCAATGATCCTTATTTTGTAAGTGGTGCAGTTTTATTTTTGATGTCATTATGTGAGTTCACCTGGCACAAAGTGTCATTGTGAGCTTTAAAGATCGCTCACTGTCAGTAGCATGATGTATATCTGTTTAATTCTGTTATAGGCATCTTCTGGTATACCACTGGGTCAGTGTTTATGAAACTTGCCAGGAATTGCATCTTGCTTGAGACTATATCAAAGTTGCTCATATAATTACACATGGACTATTTCATTATGTAATAAGAAATAGTGAATGTAATGACTGTTAGGGTAATCTTAGACCGTTTTTTTCTTTGAAATTCTAGAAAGTATTGAAGGGATTTGATAAAACTTCCCTCACTATCTATTCACTTTAATGGTCTTCTGTATTGAAGAAATAATAACTTCATTAGCAAGAAATCTCAGGTGTGCAAATTAGGTTCTTTGTGTCCCTCTTATATCCACATGCTCATTACTACATAAAACTATTCTGTGTTTGTTACTGTTTGTTAACATGGATATATTAAACTTATTTTATCACCTCTTTGTATTTATTTTTTATTTTAGTATTTTAGAAATAAGTAATTCAATTTTGTTAATTAATGATAAGAATTTCAAATATTTGACATTTCTTATATTTTTGGATATTTGGGAATAGATTTAAGATAATGGTATATGAAAAGTTTATTTTATCACTATTGATTGATATTAAAAGAATGCATAGTTTTTAGGCTTTGTTTTTTTTTTAAATTTCACCTTAATTAACCTTCATTGTTGCACTGATAGTATACAGTGGTATTGAAAATTATTTTTTAGTCAATATGCATCATTTGTATATTCTGGGAAAAAATCGGAGTAGATCTATAATATGCACCTGGCAGTCTGTCTGTTAGCAGATTTGTTTCCGCTCTGTATCTTTTTAACCAGTTGAAGGGTTGAAACTACTTAGCAGAAAAATTAAACATGAGACGATGTGCCAGGTGCAGGTGAAAATAATGATCATTATTATAACAATGTTCTATTTCAAATAGAAATTGTTTAGTGTTAGAGGGACTAATATAAGTTGTGTCAAAAAGCTGTCGAAGCCTATTAAATATGCTACTTTAGTGGACTACTCTGTATGATAACTCTGTCACTAATAATTCCTTTATTTCTGTAGGTACACCAGTTTAGTCACTAACAGGAAAAACGTCCACAATTTACTTATTTTAATAATTGTTTTTAAGCTGGTAATTTAAATAAATTCAAATGTCAATAAAATAACTGGATCGCATATAAGATCAAAACATGCATTATATTATATATAAATTATGCAAGATAATTTAGTCCTAAATATCTTATGAACTTTGCTCTGCGGCTGCTGATTCTTTTTTAACAAGTTCTTATCAGTTATTTCATGTTTGATTAAAACAAAATAAAAATAAATAGAATTGCCGTTCAGAAGAAAATGTCAATAATGTAGACTAACCCGAAAGTTAACTGAAACCTGATTATGTTGATCATTTTCTGGCCTATTTAAACCTAATCTGAGGGGGGAAATGTTAAAATTGTGCGTTTTGGTCAGTGGAGATAAGATAATTTAACCCTCAAATCGTCCCCAACGGACATAACATGATCACAAAACATTATATTGACATAAATAAATAAACAACAGAACAATTTAGTTATTAAATAATGTTTAATGTGTTGCAAGCGACTTGGTTATAGCTGACTGTACATGAAATGAACCAACAGATATATGTACAAATATTTCCTCATTTGCAAGAAACATACATTAATTTTTATTAGTCCCCTACCGGTTTACCGGAGGGAACTTTAGGTTTACCCTCCGTCCGTCTGTCTGTCAGTCTGTCCGTCCACAAAACTGGATCCGGTGATAACTTGAAAAGTACTGAAAATATTTTTATGAAACTTGATATATGGATAGATGGCAGTATGGAGATTATGCACGTCTTTTTCTTTTCTTCCTATGTTGAAAATTCTGGTTGCTATGGCAACAAATAGACTGAAAATATGGCAAATTTTACACATAAAACGGGATCCAGTGTTAACGCAAAAAGTCATAGAAATATTTTTATGAAACTTGTAATATGGGTAGATGATGGCAGTCTGGAGATTATGCACGTCTTTTTCTTTTCTTCCTATTTTTATTCTGGTTGCTATGGCAACACATAGACTGAAAATATGGCAAATTTTACACATAAACTGAATCCAGTGATAACTCAAAAAGTTCTGGAAATATTTTTATGAAACTTGACATATGGGTAGATGGCAGTCTTGAGATTATGCATGTCTTATCTGTTCTTCCTATTTCGAAAATATATTGGTTGCCTTGGCAACAAATAGGCTTAAAACATGGCAAATATATCAATATTTGTGATTAGTCAAAAAGAGCTGAAAATTTTTATGAAATTGCATCTTTAATTCAAGAGTTATCTCCTCTTTAAGAATTTTGCTTTTAAAAATGTTATATTTTGGTAACAGGGATGTTTCAAATATTAACTTTAGAGTGTCCTTCAGTCCATCTATCTGTCTGTTCATAAAAACTGTTTCCTGTGATCACTTTTAAAGAACTTTTCCAACAAATTAACTTAAAATAGAGAAAAATTGAAACATTAGTGAATGGCCAATGGCCCTTCAGAATGTTGATGGGGTTCTAACCGGTAGGGGACTTATGGATTGCTTGCAATACTATGATAATTGCTTGTTGTTTAATAAATAACATTTAAATAAATTCAGTCAAAGTACAAGACAATTTGGTAGAAAGTATGAAACAGGTACATCTATTATTTAATTCCTTTAACAAAACTTATAATGAAATCTTAAGTTTCTTAATTTCTCGGACATGTTGACAGTCAGTTATGCTATTTCGAAAATCATTATCAGATTAGTGGATACTATATAAGAACTTCACTAAACTTATAATTCACTGCTTTCCATCCAATCATCGCCTAGAGATTTTCACATTTTTGCTCTACTTACTGTACCTGTATATTTTGTCATAGTGCACAATGTCTGTTAAGTAAAATCATTAAAATCTGTTTTCTGACAAATCAAGACGATCGATATGCAAACAAATAATCTGTATAAAAATTAGATTGAGAATCAATTGTTCATTTATGATAAAAGCTGTATATAAATTAATATAAACAAGCAAATTCGTTGAATTTATATCCCCCACCGAGTACTGGTTATTATTAACACAACAACTGAAGACATAAGGCTTTATTTATATATTAATCATGGCATAAACAGTAATATTCTTTGAACTTGATAAATATTCAGGGCAATAACAGAGCCATAACTTTGTTTTAAATAGTAAAATCTGGAAATGCCAATGAGATGTATGCATACTACATGACTAATCAAGGGCCATAAATCTGAGTTATAAGTATCTGACTGGAACAAGGCGACTATATGCACATCTCCTCTTAGTATCCCATAAAGTTTTATTGAATTCCAGCCAGTAGTAGCAGAGAAATAGCGAGGAAACAAATATTTTTCTATATGGATACTACATAACTAATCAAGGGCCATAACTCTGAGTTAAAGTGTCTGACCAGAACAAGCCGACGATATGCGCATCTCCTCTTGGTATTGAAGGTTCCCATAAAGTTTCGTTGAATTCCAGCCAGTAGTTGCAGAGAAGTAGTGCGGAAATGATTTTTACTCTATATGCATACTTCATAACTAATCAAGGGCCATAACTCTGAGTTAAAGTGTCTGACCGGAACAAGCCGACGATATGCGCATCTCCTCTTGGTATTGAAGGTTCCCATAAAGTTTCGTTGAATTCCAGCCAGTAGTTGCAGAGAAGTAGCGCGGAAACGATTTTTACTCCATATGCATACTGCATAACTAATCAAGGGCCATAACTCTGAGTTAAAGTGTCTGACCGGAACAAGCCGACGATATGCGCATCTCCTCTTGGTATTGAAGGTTCCCATAAAGTTTCGTTGAATTCCAGCCAGTAGTTGCAGAGAAGTAGCGCGGAAACGATTTTTACTCCATATGCATACTGCATAACTAATCAAGGGCCATAACTCTGAGTTAAAGTGTCTGACCGGAACAAGCCGACGATATGCGCATCTCCTCTTGGTATTGATGATTCCCATAAAGTTTCGTTGAATTCCAGCCAGTAGTTGCAGAGAAGTAGTGCGGAAACGATTTTTACTCTATATGCATACTACATAAACTAATCAAGGGCCATAACTCTGAGTTAAAGTGTCTGACCGGAACAAGCCGACGATATGCGCATCTCCTCTTGATATTGATGATTCCCATAAAGTTTCGTTGAATTCCAGCCAGTAGTTGCAGAGAACTACTCCGGAAACGATTTTACTCTATATGCATACTACATAACTAATCAAGGGCCATAACTCTGAGTTAAATGGTCGGACAAGAACAAGCCGACGATATGTGCATCTCTTGATATTGATGATTCCCAAAAAGTTTCGTTGAATTCCAGCCAGTAGTTGCAGAGAACTACTCCGGAAACGAAATTCGGACGGACAGATGGACGGACGGACGGAAGGACGGACGTTCTCACAGGACAGTAATTTTGTGGCTACTCTATTGTTCTCTCTATTGTTCTTTTTAGCCACACAAAAGAAAATAGCCACATAATAGCATTACGGAATGAATGACATCAAAGAGAAAGAACAGTTACCTATTGTCCCTCTAGCCACATAATTACTCTCCTGTGAGTGCGGACGGACGGACAACGCCAAAACTATATCCCCCTCCCGATTCCATCGGCAGGGGATAATAATTAAGCACATATGGGTAAAATAATTGACTACAAGCAATTACCACAAAATGATACAAGAGACTAGAATGAAACAATAAGCAAAAATTTTAAAAAAGAGATCAGCCATGGTTCAGTACAAAGACCATCCCAAAGAACAGCAGGTATCAGTAGCAGCAATCTGATATATACACTCAACCATAAAATTAAGAATATAAAATGACATATGCAACAATATGAAGTTTGAAATGTTTGTATGGCAATAACTGGACTTGACATGGGCTTAAAACTGCAATAAGATGATGTGAGGTAAGGTTATGAGTAAACATAAAACATGCAAGACATTAAAAACCGTTTAAAACGTGGTTAACCCCAAATTAAATTTGAGAAGAGCTGAACAGCAGCTACCCAATAGAGAAAAAACAAAGACACAAATAACATGGCAGGACCTACTGCAGCTGGATCTGTAATCTTCATTCTAGGGATCCTAATTTCAATCAGAACACCTCCCCGGCAACAACGAGTGCCCCCGAGGTGCCGGGGTCACTCCCTATCCCCTTCAAGCCCAAAATAATACTACTAGTAAAAGGGCTAGAGGCAAGAAGTATCCCTGATCCCATCATTTAATTTGAGGAAGGGTATATACACACTCGTCTCTAATTGCCCTACTTGTGGAGGTGGGGACCCAGCTCCTGTTTAAATACATGTACATAACAACGATAAGCACTTAAGAAACAAGAGGACCATGATGGGCCTTATATCGCTCACCTGATTATGAAGGCTTAATCCTGTAGCCGCTAGAGACTTCGTTAGAGTGTTAACAAGGTTTTTTTTCATATTTGGGCAGTGAGACCTAGTTTTTGATCCCAGGTGACCCATTTTCGAACTTGACCTAGAAATCATTAAACAATTTCTCTGACCAAATTCAAGTAGTTGGATCAAAGCAGTAGCCTCTAGAGTGTTAACAAGGTTTTGCCATATTTGGGCTGTGTGACCTAGTTTTTAAACCCAAGTGACCCATATTGGAATTTGACCTAGAAGCCATCAAAACAATCTTTCTAACCAATTTTCAGGATATTTGGAATGGTACAGTAGCCTCTAGAGTGTTAACAAGGTTTTTTTTTCATATTTGGGCTGTGAGACCTAGTTTTTTATCTCACGTCACCAATATTCTAACTTGACCTAGAGATCATTAAACAAACTTTCTGAGCAATTTCCACGATATTTGGATCAAAGCAGTAGCCTCTAGAGTGTTAACAAGGTTTTTCCAAAGTTGGGCTATGTGACCTAGTTTTTGACCCAATGTGACCCATATTCGAACCTAATCTTTATATTATCGAAACAAACTTTCTGACCAATTTGCAGGAAAGTTGGGTCAAAACAGTAGCCTCTAGAGTGTTTATAAGGATTTTGCTATATTTGGGCTGTGACCTAGTTTTTAAACCCAGGTGACCCATATATTCGAACTTGACCTAGAAATCATTAAACAATTTCTCTGACCAATTTCAATGATATTTGGATCAAAGCAGTAACAAGTTTTTTTTCCAAAGGGCTGTGTGACCTAGTTTTTACCCAATGTGATCCATATTGGAACATGATCTAGATATTATTAAACAATCTTTCTGACCAATTTCCAGTTAGGTCAAAGCAGTAGCCTCTAAAGTGTTAACAAGGTTTTTACAAATTTTGGCTGTGTGACCTAGTTTTTCGAACCTGATCTAGATATCATCGAAATAATCTTTCTGACCAATTTCGAGTATATTTGGAAGGGAACAGTAGCCCCTAGAGTGTTTACAAGGTTTTTCTATATTTTGGCTGTGTGACCAAGTTTGATGACAACTTAGGCAAAAATGTGACCACTAGAGTGTTAATGATCTAAATGTGAACGTGTGTTGCACACTTGATTCAAGCGAGAAAAGTGATTGCAAACTTGACAAAGTGGCTACCGAGTCATGAATATTACAAACGCTAGCAGGTATTTTCTTCAGGTAAGTGGGTTTGTATGCTATTTTGAAATTCTTTAATATGTTTATGGCACACTCGGTTTAAGGTTTCAGCTTCCTAGCTTCTGATATGACGAAGTTATTGAAGATATAAATTGGTTATGTACATATTTTGAGATTTAACAAGTGCCTTAAATACAGACATAATTCATCAGCAATTCTCTCTTCCCATGGGAGTGGTCCTAAAATGTAACAGCTAGGGGCGACGAGGAAAGTGTGCTAATTAAGGTACGTGAGCCTCTAGCACAGAGTGATGGCTTGACAGGCAGGCCCTTTGCTGGCATAACAGTCCCTTTCAGGGCTACCTCCTCTTTTCATATTGTCTCAGGTTACTGTACATTAAGGATTTCATTGCCAGCCGAACTGTGACCTTCTTTTGGCTCAAAATTCATATCTTTGGCGAATTGATACTCCGTAGAATTTGCATGGAGGTACATTGTAAATTATCACCACTTGGGCCTTAAGGGCTTAACTGTCCCAAATATTAAATTGTTATGTCATTTTATTAGTCTTTAATTAAACTGTTTTATATAATTTTATTTTAAAGATACACTGAATCTACACACCATCCAAAAATATTGTTTGGAGAGGTGACAAAGATAACACTGACGCTTGTTGTATTTTGTTTTTATTTATTTATTTATTTATATAACTTTTTTGTTTGAATAAACAGGCACATGGTCACCTAGTAATAAAAGAGCGACAATTTTAAATTTGGTAAACTTTTAAATGTGGAACCTTATTTTTACTTTAAATGTTGGCTTTAACTACTGCCCTGTGGTAAAATTAATTAAAGACCATGTTTTGTATACATCAATCATTGTTTAGGTGCTTCCAAATTTAAAATATACACAAAGTAAAAACATGTACTGGACAAAATATGTGACTGGGTGCCGGAGTTATCCCTCCAACTAGTAGACATTAATTAATAAACTATTCGTCTTAGAGAATTTACTTATTGGCTGACTTATTTTAAGTCCCAGATAAATCAATTACTTTTTTCATTTATAATTTTTTCAGGTCATATCAATTTAGTTCATTAATGATCAAGAGACCGTCGATTTGTTTAGTACATGTAACCGACAGTCTTTAAAGCAGTTGACTCGAAAGACCGGCAGAGACCGTCGATTATATAAATTTGCGGAGACTGTCGATTAGTAGTGAATTCAAGTCAATCGCTGTTTCTTAAATATTGTTAAAGAATGCTTATAAACTGTTTAACTGTGATGTTGTGATGAGAAGTTTATTTCAATCAAGTTATCTAACGTATCGAGTTTAATGTCCACTTTAATAACGGAAAAGTCCGAGAAGATGCGATTGTTCGGATGTCAATCTTATTTTTGACCTTGACAAGTCACGTGATACTAGAAGGGTTCGTATTTATTTTGATCAACACGTGTTAATGAAGGAAATAGTACATGTACAGAAAAGTTGATAGAGTGGACTTAAGGCGGAGGTAAAATATAATTGTATACGAGATTTATCACTTCTACAAACGTAATCTATGAATTGTTATTTTTTTAAAGCTGTTTTATGTGGCGATCTCCTTGATTACACCCCTATCCATGTATATTTCAGGACCAAACGTGTATAATATCGAATCGATGTATATAAACTAAAGAAAATGGAATGAACCTTATATACTCCTGGTTAGAACCCCGTAATATATTACAGCATTTTCCTGGATACAGCCTTATACATATAGGCCTAATATGTTTGGTAGAATGACAATGTCAAGGTCATAAAAGTACGTTATATGCTGCTTAGGTTAATTTATAAAGTCAACAGGTCAAGGTTTGATCCATTTATTTGTTTATCACTGTTACTCACTTGTGAGAAAGAAGTTGTGTCCCCACACCCTGTCCGATATGTAAAACATTTTCTCCACTGTAGACATCTGCTCATCCCATTCGCCAAAATTGAAATAGGTGACGTGATAGCCCGGTCTGCTCATCCCATTCGCCAAAATTGAAATAGGTGACATGATAGCCCACTTGCTGTCTTTTCAGGCCTGAGGTCCCGGGTTGGATCCTGGGTAACACCCTTGGGATTTTTAAGAACACTAACTGTGTTTCCCACCTAACTTAGAGGTGTACTGGTAAGAAAAGAGGTGTACTGGTAAAAAAATCCAGGTATTCCTCGCATGTATCAGTGTAATACACTGGGCATTTAAAAGAACCAAGGGGTAGAGCTAGGGACTGGTTCCCAGATTCCCTTGTATCTCATAGTTGTCTCTGAAGTGACTAGTCAAGAGTCATGTCTACTTCCCTGCGAGGGGTTTGACATTACTAGTCAAGAGTCATGTCTATGTCCCTGCGAGGGCTTTGACATTACTAGTCAAGAGTCATGTCTACATGTATGTCACTGCGAGAGGTTTGACATTACTAGTCAAGAGTCATGTCTACTATGTCCCTGCGAGGGCTTTGACATTACTAGTCAAGAGTCATGTCTATGTCACTGCGAGAGGTTTGACATTACTAGTCAAGAGTCATGTCTATGTCACTGCAAGGGGTTTGACATCACAAGTCAAGAGTCATGTCTATGTCCCTGCGAGGGGTTTGACATTACTAGTCAAGAGTCATGTCTATGTCACTGTGAGGGGTTTGACATTACTAGTCACATCATGGAACTTGACTGATTACACCTGACTGTTGGTACCACACAATCTGACAAAGTCTTCATTCAACCTTCATTAACTTTATCCAGACAATTATGTTAAAATGATTAAAACTTGGTTTTGTTGTCAACAATTGAACAGTAAAATGTAAAACAGTATCACATGACCATTACAAAAGTATGGTAGAAAGAAAAGGATGCAGTGTATTTGTGTTGTCCAATTCTGTTGCCAGACCTAAACCTCTGCCATAACATGAAAATCAAAAAAATGCAATTTAAAAAACACACACTCTTAGACGTAAAACAGATAAATGGGCATATTTGTTCCCATACGCCTGAACAAATTTTGGTGTCAAATGTTATGCACCTCAGGTGGTCTGACTGTCTGTCTGAAGGAAATTGAAACCACTTGGCAGAAATGTTTACAATAATGAGACCAGGTTTCACCTTCCTCAGGTCAAAGTCACTCTAAGTCATTTTGTATCAATTTCAAAATTTCTTGTTAGCTCTTTTTCTGACATGACAAGCGTGTTATATTAATACTGATTGTGCATGCTTTGGTACAATTGTTTTATGATTTAATGCATTTTTGTACACATCTTCCAAAATTAAAATACATGTATAAATGTTAAACCCAAGAGGTGAGCTGTTGTGATAGCAATGTATCAGTTGTTTGTCAATTGAGTTTGTCCACAATTATTTGGGACCAAGATGGCTTTCTACAAGACTTAAATAAATATGTTCATAAGTAATTCACAACTGACAATTGAGCTACAAAGGGGTTTAAAAGTGAAATTTTTAAAATCTTTCTCTCAGAAACTAAAATGCCTAAATGCATATAATTACCGGGGTAGATATTTTGGCATGTAGCATAACCGTCTGGTCCTCTACAAAAGTTATAAAATCATGCCCCACTGATCAAACATAGGCTCACATGGTGTCACTTAGTTTATAAAGACTATACATTCTGTAGACTAAAACACATATAAGTCTTGTTGTGTGAAGAACACTGCATCTAACATTTCCTAGCAAATGCTTACAAATATTTTATAAATTATGGGGTACAAAATAAGACAACAAATGTGAACTAATTACTTACTTTCTATTTAAGAATTCAGACCTTTTCTAGCAATGTATTTCAGGTCAGCAAAGCAGGGCCATTATGACCCTCTTGTTGCAAACACAAATGTTAAATAATAGGGAATTTAAATCTGATTTATTTAAGAATATAATATAATTGGGTTACTTCCCCTGAATTATCATGGATTTTTTTTAGCATTTCAGAAAGTATATTCAAACCAAGTTCGATAAGGTTACAATAATTTCTTTTAAGGTGCATAAATGACAGTTTGTGGTTAACATGATTTTCACTTTGCAATATTTAAAATTGAAGTTGTTTAAATGCAGTGCTCACCTGAACAACTTTGGCAATAACTTGTAGCAGTGTATGAAGAGCTATTCTAATTACATTGTATGTCAACATCCACGTCCAGATTTAAATTAAAGTTTTTGTGCACTGAAATATGTTTTACAATAACTTTTTCATTTCTTAAGGTATCAACTTCAAACTTTAAATATTCCTTATTTTCCTTATCAGCATCCATATCTTATATGACAAGGTTCATAACTATAGAAGCAATCTCCCCATTGAACTTAGAATTTTCCTTAAAAAATACATTTTTTTACTCTTACTTCTTTCTTTCTTAAGGGATCAACTTCAAACTTTAAATAATCATCAGCCATATCAAATGCGACAATGTTTTAAACTCTTGGCACCAATTTTTCAAGAATTATTTCCTCATGAACTTAGATTTTTTTAAATAAATGTCATTTTTTACTATATAATATGTTCTTCATTTCTTTGTGCACTGTTTTAGATGTAAAATTAAACTGTGATATTAGCTGACCTAGATAATTTGATGAAGTGACCTACTTTCTGTAATAGTTATAGTATATGAATTGAGTTAGTTACGAGGAGATAACACTGACTGGGGCGACATCAAGGGGTGTTTCTGCTAAAAAATGTCGAGGCCATTTAGGCCAAGACAATTTTTTTGCAGAAGCATCCCGAGATGTCCCCCCAGCCAGTATTATAAATGCTCATTGAAAGTGTACTGAGTATAATGGGTTAGTAAGAACACAGAAAAAGTTCCAAACCATGCGATAATGTCCTTTGATGTACAGCTATGTAATTTGAACCATGTTACATATGTCAAATTTAACTGTGATATCAGCTGTCCTAGATTTTGATGAAGTGACCTTCTTTCTTGTCCTTTGATGTATAGCTATGAAATTTGAATATGTACACAGTTTCAGATGTAAAATAGAACATTGAACATTATGGAAATGATTCATACTTGGACATCTTAGCATTTGTACGAGCGTATATATAATAATTAATATTGTTTTAAACGTCAAATAAACACGTTTCCCGGATATCAAAGTAAGAAAAGGGTTGTACTCAATAGAAAAGTGCATAACGTCGAGTTAAACACTCAAAATATACATAAATGGTATCGAACCCACCACCTTCTGCGTAAAAATCATTTTTTGTAATTTATTCTATAAACAGGCAATAATAATTTTCCAAATTTCCAAAATATGGTTATTTTGTAACAGTATTATTCATACGATGTAATGCCGTGATTATGGGGTCGTTTTGCAAACATTTGTACGTGTTTTAACCAAAATTAGGCAAAAGTGGCGTCAAACTGTACATTAGTGTTTGCATAAACGGCAATGAACTGCACAGAGTGAGTGTAATAAGTTGGAAGAGTACATATGTGGGCTCCAGTCTCACTAAGTATTTCCAGTAAAACATAAAACAAAATTCAGTCATATACATGTACTTACTGACAACAGCAAACCGCCATATTTTATCCACAGCTTCTGTGATAAATACTCCTCTGCCACTGTGATGGACCCACCGCTTCTGCGAAAGCTATGGCCAGTGTGAAAATTGGATCTTTTGATTATCTGTTGTATAATCATTATTTCTCTGTTAGGCAGGGAAACTTAGCACATTTATATACTGGTACAGATGAATCCTAAGATTTACATAAGAATTCAAAAAGTTCATTCATGTCTTGCACAATGGCATAATTTAAAGGCCATTGCCCTTCAGAATGTTGCTGTTGAGTTCTTACCAGTAGGGGACTTCTGTATTGCTTTCAAAACTCTGATAATTGCTAGTTTAATTTTAAAATTTGATGAGCTTGACATTTTTATTCTGAGACATAGTTATTTGTTATATATAAAGTATAGAGACAGTTTAAAATATGATGTTAATTTTTGTATCTCCAGGTGGCGTGTGTATGTTTATTGTATACATACATAGAGTGTTTGATATGACATTATGACATTTGGAGGCAGTAACTGTAAAGTGTTACATCATTCACACTGGGATTAATGAATCATGCAGAACTGTCAAATATCAACTTTGCTTTTCAGTAAGTACATTTGTACATTCTTTTAAAGGTTTAAGTGAAATTTAATTTTAAGTAATAAATTGACAAGTTTATAATTAATGAATACATATAAAGATTGTTTTTGTTGCAGTTTTCATTTGTTGCTTTTTTTCTATTTTTTAATTATGATTTTTTTTTCAAGATCACAATGGCCTTCAACCACTAAAATCTTGCCCAACACATGACTATAGAGGTGAATGCTTTGATGGCAATAACCCCCTTGTTTCAAAGTAGGAATCCATTAGTAAATTTATGACAATTAAAGCAAAATTAAATAACTTTACCATGAAAGTTAAAGTTGCTGAATAGAAACATGCCTCCAGATTCATGCTTATTTTCATGAAAAGTTTTAATATATATCAAAAAGTGAAATAAAGTTACAAGTGAATAAAGAAAGTACTTTCACATTGCAAACGGCATTTCCATTTTAAAAAAAAAAACACAAAAAAAAACCAAGTAATGGTCAGAATATGCACCAAAGAAATGCAATTTTTTTACTTACGCAGTAGAACAGTAGAAAATTAATATGGTGATTAAAACAGCACACCTCAAGATTTATCCTAATTTTCATGAAAATTTTGAACATGTATTTAAAAGTAAAATATTGTAAAGTGAACAAAGATTGTTATTGACACATTGCAATCGGCACTTATAATCCATGTAAATTTCCAAAATAAGGTCAAAATATGCAAAAAAGCCCCTACTTCGTAACTATCGCAGTAGAAATTTAAAAAATTAGTCATTAATTGCTCACAAGATATAAATTATCACTTGAATCTTTAATATTTTTACTTTTCTTAAAAGCTTAGTACATAATTAGCTTGAAATATTTTGGCTCGTCTGGAGGCATGCAGCTTTAATACTGCAAACTCAGTCATTCATTCCATAAAATGCTTACTTTATTAATTGAATTGTGAATAATTTTTTTTAAATCTTATATTATTTTAGCAATGCAGTTATGTTGCTTCTGTAAAACTTGGGAGCTTACAGCTGTGAAGCATTATGATTATTATTATCAATGTTTATTTCAGTAGTTGTTGCAGTGAGTTGTTTTCCATCCAATGAAATGATTGACGTTGACGAAAACAAGATAAGAGCAGATGAAGGGTTGCCACATAATTATGAACATTTGGACTACTGTAATCATCATAAATCTGTCACCTCTCATGAAGGTCAGTCTAATCAATGATTAATGTTAACTGTATTTATAACATCATACTACTAGGTAGGATATATGTTTGTTTTTATGCCTCCTGGAGTAATTGTCCATCTGTCCATACAAGGTTAACATAAACTGCTAAATCAGATTTATTTAAGTTCTACCTGTTCCAATGGCTTAATAATTAACACACTAAGTCATCAATACAAAGTACATGATCTGCGCAAGTTATATAACTATGGCTTCCATTTTGTCAAAGTTATTGCCCTTTTTATCACTATGAAAATCGGTTCTTGTATGGTTAACATATTACTGCAAGATGGATTTTTCTTAAATTTTTCTTTATTACTTCATTCATTTAATGATATCCTTCATATTTAGTAGTTGGATTTATCTTAAATTTTTCTTTATTACTTCATTCATTTAATGATATCCTCCATATTTAGTAGTTGGATACCTTCAATGGTCCTACAACAACAATTTGATGTCAACCTTCTCAAAATAGATATAAACCTTTAATCATTTAAGGCAGTTGAAGGGGACTAAATAGCATGGCATAATTAATTACTTATAGAAGAAACGTGCATTTATTGTTGGTAAACAAAGCTCCTGATTGATCAACTGCCAGTCTGATCAAAGGATACAACTTAATCTAGCTATTTCTGTCCAGATATGATGCTGGTTCAAACCAGTAAACTATTACCTTGGTAGCCATTTTGATATTATATTACACACATTTTCTATTTCAGGTACAATATTTGCTGGTTACAGCCTGAAACAGGTTCATATTGTGCTGTCTCCAGGTCACAGTGATGCTTCATTTAAAGTCAAAGTTGAAAATCAAAGTTTTCCACCTCTGCCATGTGATCTCAAATTATTTACTACCTTGAAGGATTTTAAGACAGTAACAGATATGTTTAAAGATATCAATCATAATCCTCATTTTCATGAATTTCATCCAACATTCCCAAAGGTTTGTGCCAATGATCACCTCACTTCTCTGGGATTTGAACAGCTAATATCGTTGGGTCAGTTATTTAATGCTTCCTACTTTAGTCACGGAGTTCATAAAAAGTTAAAGGCAAAGTATTCCTCATTACATGTTGAATCCATTCCTACTGAGAAATCTTATCAGAGTGTTCTTGGTTTCCTATATGGTTTATTAGAGAGAAAACAACTGTTGAAAACCAAGATTTATAGAGTGAACAGGAACTTTTGCGAGTTTATTGAATCAAATATATCATCATGCAGCTGTCCAAAAACACAAGAACTAGCTCCTCATGTATCTCAGGCACTCACTAAAGGAACATTTTTATTCAAGCCTTCATATCCAAATAGAGAAAATATATCTAATATGTTTCATTCCAAGATTAAGAGCAAAACATCGGGACTTGAACTCTTCAATGCACTAATGCAATATAAGTGTGATAGCTATTTGCTTGAGCCTTGTGCTGCAGATAGACAATGTAAACTGTTCTCAAATGATAAACTAGCACAGTTACACAGTATTCTTGCAAATGATCATCACTTTATGAAGATGGATTCAGTATTTCGCACATATTCAGAGCTAAGAGTATACCCTTTCCTGCAGCAAGTTCTCATTAGAGCAAAGAAAAGTGATCACCAGTCTACAAATATTTATATGGGACACAGTCATTTTATACAGCTCCTTACAACAAGTCTTGGAGTGTTCAGAAAACAGATTACTCCTCTTGCTTCAAGGTAATATGTTTTTTTAATGAAAAATAGACAAGATTGATATTTTGTTCAACTTACCACACAGTGCTTATATGAGCTTTTAGGATTGAATTAAGGTATTAGTCCAAAGGACACAGAATAAAGGACCATTGCACTCTATACAAACAAAGAAAATAGTGGAAGTATTACCAATATGCCGGTTACTGTGGTATCAACTTTTCAGTAGCATCGAAAAATTTGAACTGGAAATGATTAGTCTTTACCACCAATATAGAGACAGAACTGTCTGCACAACAATGCAGTTTGACCTGGCTCTATACTGATGGTAGCTCAATATTTGTAGTCAGCTCATCTTAGCTTAACATGCTTATGGTGAGCTTTTGTAACTAAGGCTCCCATGTTTTTAAATTTTTGGTAAACGTTGAAACGATTGTTAAAAATCAAAATGATACCATTTCAACCGTTATACGTCTGCCTGCTATAGAATCCACTACTCTACATGTACGAGTATAAGGAAAACAAAACATGAAATAACCTCTTTACCTTTGAACATGAAAGCGAAAATTAACTGTAACACCAGTCACTTTTATTGTCGAGCACACTCTATGTCACAGCAGCTTTTTAAATGTCCATGCATTGAATATCAGTGACTTCTTTGATGTTCTTTGACTTGAGTTGCACCGATAAAGATTAGAAGTTCATTTGAATTTGAAGATAACAATACATTTTTTTTATGTGACAAAAGCATGTCAAACTCATCTTTTTTAGCAAAAATAATCATAAACGTTTATGGAGATTACATGTACATTTAAATATTTTAATGTCGGGACTTCAATTGTGAACCCTCTCCATTTATCATTGTGTGTCATTCATCATTCGTTATCAACAGTTTCTTAAAACAATATGAGCCGCGTCACGACAAAAGCAACATAGTGCGTTTGCGACCAGCATGGATCCAGACCAGCCTGCGCATCCACGCAGTCTGATCAGGATCCATGCTGTTCGCTTACCAACCCTTTTACAAGTAGAGAAAATAATAGCGAACAGCATGGATCCTGATCAGACTGCGCGGATGCGCAGGCTGGTCTGGATCCATGCTGGTCGCAAACGCACTATGTTGGTTTTGTTGTGACACGGTTCATATCTCTTCTGTAACCAATGAGTGGAAACTAAACTACACAGGATTATATCTATTATGGTACTTTATCAATGTTGTTCAAATGGTTTCGGTCAGTTGTATAAAGTACACTGTAGGTGACAGGGGCAAAAAGCACTTTTGAAAATGCAAATTTCAACAGTCAAGTGGTTTTATTTTTATTTAATGTTGATGTTATATGTATTAATTGACAAAAGTCCAATATGAGTGAATTTTCCTTTGTAAATAAAATATTAAAAATTGTAGTGTTCTTCATAACAATTAAAAAAAAAATTGAAACAGGGCCAATTTAAATACATTATTGGCTTGATAATGATTTTATGATTTTTGTATTTTGGAAAAGAAAATTGTAATACCGTTTACTATGTGAAGTAAATTTATATATGAATAATTAGAAGTTAAAACTAACCATGAGGTTATTGATTTAGTGGTGTATTACTGAGTAGTTCTTACTTTGTGCTGATCATACACATGAATTAGCTAGCATTAATTCCCTTGTATAAATAATCAGATGATAACATTAAGAAAAGACAAGAAGACTTCATACTTATTAATTAGATATTCATTAGACACAGAACAAAGGTATGAACAAGTCTGCTGTAAAAAAATGTTGTTTTGATTGATCTTAAATCCTTGTACTAGTCTATGTTTATCTCACCATTTCATTTTCTCGCTTTTTCTAGCTCACCTGAGCTGGCTCAGGGTGAGCTTTTAGGATCATTGAATGATGGTCGTCTGTCTGTCCACATTTTGTTTATTACTACTCTAGTGGTCACATTTTTGCCAAAATTGTCACCAAACTTGGTCAGGATGTTTGTCTTAGTAATTGCACAGATGAGTCATCTAGGATTTCTATACATAAAATACAAGGTCATGTAAATTTGATTAATATATATTTGTTGCTTTGTAATAGAAATTGTTTTTGCACATATATTAAGGTAGATATTATTAAATAACTTTGCTCCTGTAAGCTCCTGTAAAGTCATGATACTGAAGCATATAAACTAGTGTTATATGAGCAGTGCCATTAATTTCCTTTCTGTTACATATATTAGGTTGGTGATAGAGATATATAGAAAGAATGGTGGTCAGTTGGATGCAGGTGGTTTGTATTTAAGGTTTCTCTACAATGGTGCTGATGTCACAACTGAGGTCAGCGGGTGCTCACTTCACATGATTGACAACTTCTGCAAAATAGAAGGATTGACAGATTTGGTGGCAGCCCTAAGAAAACAATATCTGGAGCAGTGTTAGAATAGATTTACAACCTGTTGAGTAAAGTAAGTACATTCTCTGCTTTCTAATATGGCAATATTCTCCATTTAGATAATTACAGTCCTTTCACTACCTTAATTGTTAATATTAATGTCGCAGCTAAAACAAAACAAAGGGGCCCATCAACTCTGCTGTGAGTTCTGGACCTGGGTTAAAGGGGTCAGTAAAAGACAAGTATGGGCTACTGAAAATATTTATTGTTCTTTCCAACAAAACCGTGACCTGTTTCTCAATTCAGGTGTGCATGCATTGTGCAGATTAGCGGGGAAATTGAAAAATTAGCGAGAAATGATTATTGATGAGGTTGAAAAGGTTATAAAGTACTATTATGTTTAGGTTACTGCTATTGGATATGAGCTAGGAGTGTAAGAATTAATGATAAAACATAATTTTATAGAGACAAACATGAACACGAAGATAACACAAAAAATACAGCACTTGGCAATATGGGCAGTGTATTCTTGACCCTGTGACATTAATGTGAACTCTGCTTATGATGGCCCTTTGTTTAAGGAATAAAAGCTGTTAAACTTTGCATTTATTATCTTCAGTGATAATACTAGTTTTCAATGCTCCACTTCACAGAAATGGTGATATATTGCTTTGCACAGCCTCTTGTCAGTCTGTTGACCACAACTTTTCCAACCAATAAAAAGATTGGATTTCTGTCCTCTGATTTGGTTTTGAAACTGGTCATGCCTAGAAGCAGAGATGTAGATATGTTATCTATGTCTCTGCTACAAGATAGCCCATGTTGTGAGTATATTGAAATAATTCTATCTTTCTTAATAAAGTCATTGGGGCCAGAAATAACAATGCTGGTCATTAAATTCAAGTGTATATTGAATAAATGCCATTTACCTAGGAACCTGAAACTTTGAACAATTTGCTGTTCAAATGGTCAAGTCAATGAGAATTTTAAATCATATTATATCATTGTTAAGGTCATTTGCTTCCATATTCATGTGCCAACTTTAACATCTTATCAAGTAGAACAAACTTACATAAGTTTATTAAGTAAAATTATTGGTTAATTGCTTTAGTATAACCTTACAAAGTCTGATCTATCCAGCCCAGGGGGTCACTTAGTTTATATAGTTTTGCATAGGAAACTACATGTGAAACTACAATGCCTAGAGTTTAAATATTTTTCATGTAGTGTTGCCTTGTTGACCTCTTCAAAATTAATATAAATGATTTTAATCATGGCCTTAGGATCAATATTGGCCCAAACTCAGAAGTCACATATTTATACCTCCACCAAACATAGTTTATGCGGTGGGGCTATATAGGAATCACTTTGTCACATCCTGCCCCGTCCATTGTCAGGAACTGGTTGAGATATTAACTTGAAACTAGGAATATCAATGCATTATCAGAATGCAACGTCTGTGTCAAGTTTGATAACTTGGTGTGTTAATATATCACTGTTTTTATTGACAAATTTTTGTGGTATTAAATCATTTAAACTTCTTCTGAATGAGGAAATTTATTGGATATTCGTACATATCAAATGCAATTGCACTTTAGAGTAGAGTTAACAATTAAAATCATTACAATAATAAAGATTGTATCTGTAGAGAATTTCTCATTTGATCGTCTTGTGACTTTTAATTATTGCATCTTGTGACTATAAATTACCTGATGAGTGAGCATTTTACTTAAACATGTGACTTGAAAATATGACTTTGTCAGGTGACATCATTGTATTAATGAATTTTTAACAAATGATTAAACTCAGGTAGGTAAAATTTTCAAAATATGCAAAATTTTATTATAAACAAGCATTCAGAATTTAGATTAAAATAAAAAAAGTAAACCAAAATAAGTAGATTATTATAATTACATTGCTAGAAAATATTAACCTTTTGCATTCATTGGTTGATTGTCATATTTTAGCTATATAACTTTAGCATGAAAATTGTCAGTGTCAAAGGGGAAATTTGCTCATTACATTGTATTGAAAATATGCAGGTATCTTTTAACATCATACCAAAAACAAGGCAGAATAGCTCAGGGTGAGCTTTTAGGATGATTGTTTATCATCTTTTCACATTTGGTTTGTTATTACTCTAGTGGTTAATTTTTTGCCTCAATTGTCACCAAACCTGGTCAGGAGTTTTGCCCCAGTAATGATGTAATTTAGCCGTTATGAATGAAGTTGTAAATGAAATTCATACACTACTATAAGAAATAAGTGCTAAACAAAAATATATGTTTTTGTAATTTTCCAAATAATGATCAGTATGTTGAAGTTGTTTGTGTATTGTCTTTAAACCACAACAAGACCTTCAAGTAGACAATACTAAGCCTTCATTCATAAATAAAGTTGACCTTCAAGGTCAAATGTATAAATTTTGCTTGATTTTTGCTGACTTTTGCGCTTAGTGACTATTACTTTGTTATCTTTAAATGATTGTCTTCAATGGTGAACTCAACAATAAGTTAGGATAGTCCTTTAAGTTATTCAGACAGACCTTGACCTTTCTCATAAATGACCTTGACCTTGAAAGTCAAATTATTGAAATTTCTCTTTTTTTGCTGTAACTGGCTATAACTTTGTTATTAATGAAGGGATTGACTTCATATTAATACACAACATTCTTTAAAATAAAACCTTTATGTTTAGTAAACTCAAATTGACCTTGGCTCAATAATGACCTTGAAGGTTAAATTATTGATTTTCATTGATTTTTGTTGGACAAAACAATCTTTTGGACAAAACCTTCTAAAAGGTTGAACTGACCTTGACATTAATGAGCTTTAAATGACATTGACCCTCTAGGTCAAATTATTGAATTTGGTTGAATTGGTACAATTCTGTTATTTATGTATGGGTTTGAATTATACTTGGACAAAACAAGGTTTGCTTCCAAACAAACATATTGAATAGTTTAGATCTGACATTGACCTTTAAGTAACCTTCACAGTAAAGGTTAAATTATGGAATTCTCTTCATTTCTTCCTATAGCAATGAGATTTGGACCATAAGCACAGTTGTAGATGTAAAATTGAACTTTGATGTCAGCTGACCTAGATTTTGACAAATTGACCTTTTGAACTTTCCTATAAGCTGCCCTAGATAATTTTTCTTGTCCTTTGATGTACAGCTTTGTAATTTGAACCATGTGTATAGTTTTAGATTTAAAACTGAACTTTGATATCAACTGACCTAATAAATTTGATGAAGTGACCTATTTTCTTGTCCTTTGATGTACAGCTATGAAACTTTTGCCATGGGCACAGTTCAAGATGGATGTAAAATAGAACATTGAACATTATGGAAATGATTCATTCTTTGACAAAACAACAAGTGTGACATATCAACTAAATTTTTAAAACAAAAAGAAAATCTTTTTTTTTTTCCCTTATTTTTTTTTTTAAAGATTTGTTAAAATCTATTATTTGTTTACTTTTAGAAGAAGTAAAAGAAGTCCAGCATTACCTCTGCCTAGTGATGGCTCTTGTGTTTCATGATACTCAATAGCTGCAAAATGCAATTTGCTATCATCAGGCAACACAAGTGATCTCTGATTGCTCTTGTGTAAGCTATGGTCCTCACTTTGAACATTATACTTATATATATGATATTGAACCTTGACCTCAAATTATTACAATAACAAACATGCTTTCATATTCTTACATCTTGTACATTTTAGTTTGTGAAATCAAAATATGACCTTTGATGTTGAAAGTCACCCAAAGATGTGCAGCTGTAATGAAGAAATTTAGACCTTTTCGAAAATGGATCTCAGGTGAGCCTTCTGGAGCGATCACTGCCCTCTTGTGTTGTTCATCTTGTCAGCTAATTTATGTAACCTAACCTGATTTTTAGGGTATTTTGTTATTGTTACTTATTTTTTGTTCTTACACGTATAGTATTTGAACTGTCTGTTGCTCCATCGGTCTTTTCAAGGTAAACCTGTTCTAGCATCATGGATATGTCTTAAATTTATGGCTTCATAACTTACACATTTACTTACCAATAGAGCAGTATGATATTGGCAATTTGCATTAATTATTTTCCTACTTAATTTCCCTTTATAGCACTTTCAAAATTAATATGGCCAACCAGTTTTCTTTAGGTTAAGATTTATATTTTCAGTATTAACTCAAACTATATGAGTACACTTAACACGAGCACACCAATTTAGTAGGATAGACCTTCAAGTTAACCAGACAAACCTTGACCTTAACTCATAAATGACCTTGACGGTCTAATTATTGAAATATTCTTACTTTGCTAAAATTGGCTATAACCTTGTTATTAAGATATGGATTTAGTTCATATTAGATTTAAGACCTTTAAATTGACATTGGTTCATTAATGACTTTGACCTTAAAGGTTAAATTATTGAATTTTCAGTGATTTTGCTATAATTGACTGTAACTTGGTAATTTTCGTCATACTTGAACAAAACAACCTTTTGGACCAACTCGTGACCTTGAGCTTTAATTGACACTGGCCGTGAAAGTCAAATTATTGAATTTTGGATATATGGTCATATTAATTTTGTTATTTATGTACGGATTTGATTTATACTTGAACAAAACAAGACTTACTATCAAACAAACATTTGAATAAATTTGATGTGACCTTAACTTTCAATTGGTCTTGGCCATCAAGGTCAAATTAATGAATTCTCTGGGTTTTTAAAGTAACTGACTTTGTAATGGATTTATTTCATATTTCTACACAGCATCTTTTAGGTCAGGACCTTGTTGTATATCAAACTCAAAATTACTTTGACTCATGTATGACCTTAACATTGAAGGTCAAATTATTGAATTTATACTGATTATAGCTATAATTGGTTATGACTTGGTAATTCATCCATAGATTATCTTGAAAGACCTTCTAAATGTTGAACAGACCTTGACCTTGAGCCTTAATTGACCTTGACTGTCTAGGTCAATTAATTGAATTTTGGTTAAGTTGTCACAATTTTGTTATTTATGTATGGATTTGATTCATAGGTAAACAAAACAACACTTGTGACCAAATGGACATGTTGACTTATTTAGATATGACATTGACCTTAAATGAGCTTGACTGTCAACTTTGTCATTAATTTATGGAAATGAATTAGACTTGGACAAAACAACAAGTAGACCTATTTAAATTCTTCAATTTTCTTTTTTAAAGATTTGTTTAAACCATTTATTTGTTTGCTTTGTAATGAAAAATATAAAGAAGGTGAGTGTTGCCGAGCCAGACGGTGGCTCTTTTTCTACTTTATTTTGTTTTTAGCCCAACAGAGCACAAAATTCTCATTGTGAGCTGTTGTGGTGTTAACACTTTTACTCAAACATCATAGCCTTCTAAACTGGTAGGCCAATATTCAGGAAGATCCTTTGGTGTTCCTTCTGTAATCCTAATTGGAATTGGTGACTACTTTTGTGTTTTGGCCGAACTATATTAAGACATGTGACATAGACATTAAAAGTGAGATGTGTTGAAAGTAAGTATGTAAATAAATCAGTCACAATTTAGCTTGATACCAAGTATGGCAGCATTTATTTGTTGATGTCATGTTAGAATCAAAATAATATCTCCTCAGCAGTGATTGTATTGCTTTATTTAAGATCATTGTTTATTGTTTGGATGCACATCATTTTATAATTCCTGGGATCCAAACTTCAAACAGTGATTTTATATCTCTGCTGGGGATATATTATTTCTTAAATAATGAAGTATTTTTTTTTAAAGTGAAGCATAATGTATTAAGGTATTTTATTTTCATATGTTAATGATACAGATATTTTTCAATTTTTTTTCAAAGAAAAAAATTGAGATGTTGCTACAGTCATGTTGTCTGTTCCCATTGCCATCCAGAAAACTTTAAAGGGACTCCACTTAGGTTTTTTGACATGACAGGACTGAAAATATCTTTTCAAGATTAATGTTCTATTTGTTGTAGGTTGAGGCTAATAATATGTGTCCAAAACTTCTGGTCATTCACTGATTCTGTTTTTTCAAGGATAGATATTATAATTGTGAAAAATGACCAAAAATTGAAACGGCTTGCAATGCCTTTTACTCAAATCAGGCTAAAAAAAAGCACACAAAAAAAACAATTTTCAATTTATTTCCGAGTATATTTCCTTACTATATTTTGCATTTCTTTCTGTTTAAAATGCCCCAGCTGACCTATGTAAGAAATTTAAAATATAAGTTTTAGGCCTCAGTGGAGTTCCATTGGCCATTATTTCTCAGTGGATTGTTTTCATACTGAAACACATCAACTCTTTGGACAAGACTTTCAAGCAGACCAGACTGAACCTGACCTTGTCTCATAAATGACCTTTTCCTTCAAGGTCAGGTGTTTTTGTTTTATTTTTGCTATTATAAGCTATAAGTTTATTTGTAAATGCATTGCCTTCATACTTGGACATAACAACAAAAGAACATTTATGACAAAACTTGCATGGTGATTATTTCATGTGATCTTGACCTTTGTATGACCCTGACTGTCAATGTCAAATATTTAAGTTATATCATGTACAATAAAAAAATGTTTCTAGGAAAAAATTTTACTACAATATTCCTTTGATGTGTTTAACTTTATAAATAAGAAAAAGTTGAGTGTTACCCCCACTAGGTGGCGGCTCTTGTTAGAGTAACGAATTATATTGTATTTATGAATATGTTGTTACTGATCATTGCTCAAACTTAGAAGGTTTAGAATGACTGTGATAAACTGCCTCCTACTTTCAAACAATTTAGAATTTAGTTATATTTCATATTTTCTGTATATTTTTTGTATGTTTTATTTATTATATTTGGAGTGTTGAATCTGTGTTGAAAAAAAAATGTTTAAGTAATAAACAGGTAAATCTTTATTTAAATCTTATTCTTTTAATCATATTCAAATAATTTTATCAATTTGTAATGTTTAGAAATCCCAAAACAGATTAGTATACAAAATGTATCAGTGTTCCACCAGCCAGCTGCATTATGTTCTTGATTTTACCTTTTTACAATTGACTCTGGCATTTTAGATGTGTTTGTATAGATATTTTGATATATTGACCATCAAGGTCAAAGTAATGAAATTTGCTATAATTGTCATAACCTTATTTTTGATTATAAAGGAAAGATTTGATGCATACTTGGACAAAATAAAACTACACACAAAATTGTTAAGTAATTAATACCTTAATTTGTAAATGACCTTGAGTGTCAAGGTCAAATATGAAACTGAATTATATTTTGTTCATGAAAGTTATATTTTGTACGTGTTTTCTTTATAACTATATTTTTTCTCAGAATGTGTTTGACTTTGATTGCTTGCTGCTTTGGCTCTTGTTTTTTTTTTGTTTTTTTTTCTGCACTGCACTCTTTGCTTGTCTGTGCAAAATCTAGAGAATGCTTTGACATACACTTTTAAGATTTGGTGTACATGTATTTGTGTAATAACTATAATAATATTGGTCGGAGAGATAACTCTGACGCATAGATAACCCTGACACTTGATATAACATTGTTTTTCAACAAACAAGCACATGGTTTTCCTAGTTGTATAGGAGCAGGACAGAATGTGATGATTTTTTATAATTTTGTATACTTTTTAATGTTTTTCAAATAATCTAAACTTTTTGTGGGCAAAAACTGTTTCAAAACATTTATTTTACTAAATTACAATAAGGTAGTTAGAATTGTATTGACCAGAGACCATTGACTTGGGAAATATTCTTGAAAAATTGTTTAAATATTAACAAAAAATAGATAAAACATAAAAGATGTAAAAATAAATTATTGATGCTGATTTTCCTCATACCTCATTCAGGACCTTTAAGAAGTACCAGATTTCATTTTCATACATAATTGTTGTTGTGTAATGTAAAGTCTTTGAACTGAACTTTGATTTAGGTGGTTCAATATTTAAAATATACAGGAAGATAATTAAAATATTGCAAAAAATATGTGATTTAGTGTTGGAGTTATCTCTCCAACCAGTACATTTTTTTTAATATCTTTGTCTTTTTTTTTTAAGATCTTTTAAGATTTAAGTTTTTTGGTGATGTATAGTTATAAAAAAAGTCATACTGGTGTTAAGTTTAAAATTATATTGAATATTTGATGGACATAGTTATTTACACATAACTTTTTTGTTGCAGATAAGTTTATGGACTTTGTTTATTATTGAAATATTTTTACAAAACAAGTTTTGAGTTTTGCTGAAAATACCAGAAGATAATGTGTAATTGCCCAACATAAACCTAGTCAGGAATCAGTTTTGTCAGTTGGTCTAGCAATCAAGGTTTCTTTGTCTGGGGCACTTTAATATTGGAGGTATCACTATACTAAACTAGTAATTGAAAGCATAAATTTGAGACTAATTCATTAGAGATAAGTGCAGTCCCTAAGATCGACCATTACTCTCTTATTTGTTTATTTTTTGCCCTAGCATTATGCTTATATTGTTTTTTATGGCTTTTACATTTAAAATTTTTAAACTGTTAATCATCATGCTAGAAAATTTGCTGTTTGAAGTACCTCTTACCTTTTTAAAAGGCAGCCTATCCCCTTCAGCATGACCTCCTTATGTCCTACCGAGGACAACTTGACCATGTCCTTAACAACTGTGTCCAAGTCCTGCATGCTAAACAGACAGATACTTGTCATTATATTAGGCTCATGACCTCATAAGAGATGAAGTGGTAATCATATTATGCCAGGAGTATAAATACCCCATGTATGAATTACACATGTATGCACTGGTCAAATATGACCTGCCTCATGGTCACTTATTAAATACTACTTGTAAAGGAAAACAACATCAGGAATAGCCTAAAAATAATTCATTTATTATAGCTGAAATATTTGGCATGTTGCATTTTCAAGTGGACATCTATAGAAGTTTTGCTGCAGGGGCACCAATATGATTCCTCATTGACTAATTTACAGCAGTGAATATCAGATGAGTGATGTACCCTCTTTTATTTATTGTTTTACATACATCATACAGAAAATGTTTACAATTTTTAAAAACAGATCAATGTTGTCAATCGGTGAACTTAATATCTTTTAAATTTTTGTTTTAGAATCTCAGAGAGATAGTGTTTTGATTTTATTTTTGTTTGTTTTATAAGTTGATGATTAGTGATGCTTTAATTAGTGATGCGTTGTGTATGTTATACTATTGTATTAGTAGAATAAGAATAGAATGAATTTAATTAAATTAAGAACACCAGGTGCATTGTATTGTCATTTGTCGGGTTGTAAACCAACAAATGATTTCTTACTATTTGTAATAGTTTGTCGGATGAGAAATCCACAAGCTGTTATAATGGTAGACTGTATTAAAGAGGTGTTTAAATCTTTGTATGTCTGTATTATTTATAATTGAGCTGATGATCTTTAATGTGTCTCAGTGATATATCTAGGAAACAGAGTTGCACTCATTATTAATTTCATACAAAACAACACTCATGATCTTTCCTACTTATAAAATGATAGTCACTGTGAAAGGCTAGTCAGTATTAAAGAAAGTATTTTAATATAACTGTTGGCTAACATTGTCTCCCTTGTTTTAGCTCAAGTGAGCACAAAATGCTCTTGGTGAGCTCTTGTGATTCCCCTCAGTCTGTTGTTGTGCTTTATTCATCATCTGTCATTCAACATGAACAATTTCCTGAAACCACACAGAAATTATCATTAGGTTGTCCCCTAAAACGTTGTCGAAATGGCTCTGGTCCATTGCATGAATAGGTTATATATAGGGCCAACAAGGGGTAAGAAAAGCAAATATCAAAAAACTTCTTATCTGAAATTACAAGGCTCTATGATATATACCATAATAAAGTTGTTCAAATTATGTCTGAAGGTTACAAATTATTGCACTTTGGTTTAAATTGGCTGTGCTTTGGTGTTAATCATCATCAAAGGACACAACAACCAAGGTTGTAAAATTATGGCCTGGGGTTTCCTTATATTTCCCTCTGAAAGCCCTTTGCTAGAGCTAGGATATTTGGCATGAAATATTGTTTTGTTGACTAATAATACCAAGATGATCATTCTTAGGTCAGCTTGGCCCTTTCCTAAACGGTCATTGTTTTCTGCATATGTATATGAATATTTAAAAATTAAATACCCTTTTCTCTGTAATATCAAGGGCTAGAGTTTAGATATTTGGCATAAAGCATCCTTTAGTGGACATCTTTGGAGAGGTTTGAATCGCCCTTGGTTCAACTATAACTAGAAAAAGTTATACCATTCTGTCATCAGGTATGCACTAAAGGGCAAAGGTGCACCCCCTCTTTAGCTCACTTAAGCTTGTACAGGGTGACCTATTAGGATCAATGAATGTCCTTTTTCATCCGTCAACACTTAGTTTGTTAACACTATAGTGGTTACATTTTTGCCCCAATTATCATGAAACTTGGTCAGAATATTTGTTATATGACTATTATGTGGTCAGAATATTTGTTATTTGACTATTATGTATCAGATGCAGATATGAATTTTGTTATACCAGTTTTATAGTTAACACATATTAATCTTGTCGTTTAGAGCCTTAATAATCAAATGAGCAATGGCAGGGCCATCAGTGCCCTCTTGTTCAGAATTGAAAGGTTTATTTTTGCTTACTCAAGCAAATTTTGATTTGGACATATATATATATTGCCCAGGTTTTACAATGGTAATGGTATACACATTGAAGTGATTCAGCCACCACTTTAGCTTGTTAATGCTTGTAAGTTTTTCAAAATGTTTTTATGTTCCATGAATGTAGGGAAAAATCTATACAGAACAAAAAGGCAGCCTAGTGATTTTTACATAGGCAGACAGACAAAACTTATTGTTGTCCAGGTTTGAAACCGTACATTGTCTTTTGCAGGCAGACAAAAACTCACCAGTGCCAAACATTTAAGAAGATTAAAACCCCACTTGTTATTTTAGTTGATTTATCAATTGTATTATTTTCATTTAATAGAATTATCAAAAAGAGGGAACTTGAATTATCAGATTCCTCATTTATCTGAGATATTTTTGGTTATCACAAAGGAATATTAAATATCAACTAACTTTAACAGGACAATTAGTCCCTGCTTTGATTTGTTCACTTAGAGATACACTGTAGGATATTTATCTATTGTGACAGGTTAGTTTGTCTGTCTTCAAAATATTGAAGGTTGGTTTTTGCCCACCTATAAAATAACAAGACAGGATTTATGTCTGCCTATATAGAAATTACAGGGTGGATTTTTGTCTATTATAAGCAGATATGACTTTGTGTATTTTAAGATTGTCTTCAAGCTAGATATAATTGTTTATATATTGTTTATTGTTTAGAAATGCTAGTGCCATGTATATGGTATGCTTCCCCAGTGAGGGAACAACTATGTGCAATATTACAATTTGTTCCATTGTTATGTCATGCATTTGTATACAAATCATGATAATTTTTATAATAAACATATCAATAATAAAATGAACATGTTGATGTTGTTGTTTATTTTACTCATCTGTAATTCAAAATTATTAGCATAGTTGCTGCTTTATTGGAAAAATGATGTTGCCTAAGTTAACTTTTGTTGCTAACATCTATCATATGCTGATAGTTACAAGTAAAGGGTACTGTATCAAATTGACCCAAGAAGTCAAATCCACTGTGTATCAATGAAGTCAAATTGAACTGGTAGATAGACAAATCAGCTCAAAGAATGTTAATTCAGTCTCAAAATATTTTTGTTTTTATAGAGCACAAAGCTGAAGTTGAGCTTTTGTGACGCCAATTTGTCCATCGTCCGTCAGTCAGTGCGTCCTCATCACCTTTTTTCAAACGACTTCCTGTGAAACCACAAGGTCAAATTTGATGAAATGATTCTTGCATGAAGCTCTACTAAAATTATCAAAAGGTTCTGCTCCATTGAACGTCTGTGTAGGAAGGGCTAAAAATAGATGTCGAAAATGAAATCTTTAAAAATCTTCTCTGAAAGTGCAAAGCCTAGAGCTTAGATATTTTGTGTGTAACATCATCTAATGGAACTGCCCAACGCCCCGGGAGTTATGCATTTTCCTTATCTATATAAAGTAAAAGCTTAAAAAACTCTGATTCTCTAAAATTATTGAGGCTAAAGCTTAAATTTTGGCATATAACTTTGTCTAGTGGGCCTCTATCAAATTTGTTCAAATTAAAGCTATGGGATCAAAATTAGCCCGCCTCAGTGACCACTTATATAGGAAAAAACACTACAGTGGTGACAAAAGTCTACACTAGTGATATAAGTGTTACCAAGTTTGTAAAATCTTCTTTACAACCTTAGATATAAGGCAAGAAACATGGTCTAGTGGACCTCTTCCAAGTGTGTTCAAATTATAGTCCTAGGGGTGGAAATTGGCCAAACCCAAGGAGTCACTTAGTTATATTGAAAAATATATTTAAGTCTACATTGTCCAGGACTTAGACAGTTGACATGCATGGATCTGTGGATCTTTACCAAGGTTGTGAAAATTATAGCCTAGGGCCAAAATTTGCTCCACCCTTGGGATCATGGATTTTCCATATATGTGAGTGTATATACATGAAGCTAAATATAATATATCTGTGGTATATAGTAACAACTTTAAATGTTTTTTCTCTCTAAAACCACTAGAGCTGAAGCATGGATATTTGTCATGAAATAGTTTCTAGAAAAAGTCTACCAAGTTTGTTTAAATTATAACCCTTTGGACCCCAGAGAGTCATAGATTTCTTTCATAGTAAAAACTTTATAACAAGTTCAGGGGTCTTTTATTACCCCACCTTTGGGTCATAGATTTAAGTATATAGTAAAACTTACAAGAGCTAGAACTAAGATATTTGGCATGAAACATTATATTATTAAACTCTACTAATTTTTGATTAAAGTATAGCCAATGAGGGTTTGGGGTCATGGATTTTTCCTATATGTGTATCAACCAGTGACTTCCATTGCAACCATTGACTTCCTTAGCAACCATTGACTGCATTGCAACCAGTGCCATAGCATACTGTGGCTTGCTTCCATAGCAACCATTGACTTTTCATAGCAACCATTGACCTTCCATAGCAATTAGTGACTTCCCCTAGCAAGCGGTGACTTTCTATAGCAATCACTGACTTCCCATTATATTTCCATAGCAATCCCTTTATAGCAATCATTGACTTCCCAAAGTAGCCTGTTCCAAAATAACATTTGACTTTCTATAGCACCCAGTGACTTCCGTTACAACCGTTGGCGTTCCATAGCAACCATTGACTTCCCTTTGCAAAAACTGACTTTCCATAACAACCATTGATTTCCATAGCAGCCATAAAGTATCCATTTCGAATGTCGTTTTTCCATAGCAACCAGTGATATCCTTAACAACCATTGATTCTCCATAGCAACCATGGACTTTCTATAACAACCAGTTACTTCCATAGCAATTATTAACTTTCCATAGTAACAATTGACTTTCCATAGCAACAAGTGACTTCAATAGCAATCATTGACTTTCTATCGTAACCTGTGACTTCCATAGCACAATAGCAAGCAGTATATAAGTAAGGTGAGCGCTTAAACGGTCATCTTGATCGACTTTTATAATATTTTTGTTCCTTGCCCTTCCTCTATATGGGTTCGAATCCTGCCAGGGAGTTTAGAATCTTTCAGGTAAGGAAGATATCCAGCTTGATTACAGACTATCAATGGTTTTACTTCTAAGGGCACGTGAGATTTTCCTACTCCAGTAAAGCTGGAAATTAATCATAATCATGTCCTCTTATGTGGCCATAAACCCAACCAAAAATAATCTAATTAAAGCATTTGGAATAAGTTTAAAGCTGCTCTCCCATATGCAGAGTTTCACGAAAGATAAAATAACGCCACTGGTTCATATATTTACATGGTTCAAGATGATTTAAACATGTCTTGCTCCTAGAAATACCAATTGATTAATTTAATACTGCTATAATTTTATATCTGTGCAAACTTTATTTTTTATTCCATGCACAAAAAAGTGGTGGGGAATATGGAGATTCTCTTCGTACCATATTTTTACCTAAAAAGAGCACAATTGCTCAAATGGTTCCAGTCCGCTGAACGAGAAGGCGATAAGAGCTAAAACAAGAGCTGTCGGTAGGACAGCAACGCTCGACTATTCTTAGTGCTTGATAGTAAAAAAAAGCCTTGATTAAAAGGTAAAATTTTCTCAGTAAAGAAAAAGGCATTGGAGAGTGTCCTATTATGCCCTCAAAGAAGAGTATAAAATTTCAACATGTTTCAAAGCCTTATGTCAATGAACTTTGAAAATATTTGAGGTATTACAAAAACTTTCACGTAAATTCTAAGTCGAAAAAGGGCATAATTCTGTCAAAATGCTTGATAGAGTTACCTCCTCCTGTTTACAGGTTTGGGTCATGATGGTCAACAAGTACATGCAAAGTTTTAAAGCCATATGTCAATGGACTATGAAAATATTTGAGGTATTACAAAAACTTTAACGTAAATTCTAAGTCGAAAAAGGGGCATAATTCTGTCAAAATGCTTGATAGAGTTACCTCCTCCTGTCTACAGGTTGGGGTCACAATGGTGAACAAGTGTGCAAAGTTTCAAAGCCATATGTCAATGGACTTTTGAAAATATTTGAGGTATTACAAAAACTTTAACGTAAATTCTAAGTCGAAAAAGGGGCATAATTCTGTCAAAATGCTTGATAGAGTTACTTCCTCTTGTTTACAGGTTGGGGTCATGATGGTCAACAAGTACATGCAAAGTTTTAAAGCCATATGTCAATGGACTTTGAAAATAATTGAGGTATTACAAAAACTTTTACGTAAATTCTTAGTAAAAAAAAAGGGGCATAATTCTGTCAAAATGCTTGATAAATTTACCTCCTCATGTCTACAGGTTGGGGTCATGATGGTGTACAAGTGTGCAAAGTTTCAAAGCCATATGTCAATGGACTTTGAAAATATTTGAGGTATTACAAAACTTTAAGGTTAATTCTAAGTCGAAAAAGGGGCATAATTCTGCCAAAATGCTTGATAGAGTTACCTCCTCCTGTCTACCGGTTGGGGTCATAATGGTGAACAAGTATGCAAAGTTTCAAAGCCATATGTCAATGGACTTTGAAAATATTTGAGGTATTACAAAACTTTAACGTAAATTCTAACTCGAAAAAGAGGCATAATTCTGTCAAAATGCTTGATAGAGTTACCTCCTCCTGTCTACAGGTTGGGGTCACGATGGTGAACAAGTGTGCAATGTTTCAAAGCCATATGTCAATGGACTTTTGAAAATATTTGAGGTATTACAAAAACTTTAACGTAAATTCTAAGTCGAAAAAGGGGCATAATTCTGTCAAAATGCTTGATAGTGTTACCTCCTCCTGTTTACAGGTTGGGGTCATGATGGTCAACAAGTACATGCAAAGTTTTAAAGCCATATGTCAATGGACTATGAAAATATTTGAGGTATTACAAAAACTTTTACATAAATTCTAAGTCGAAAAAGGGTCATAATTCTGTCAAAATGCTTGATAGAGTTACCTCCTCCTTTTTACAGGTTTGGGTCATGATGGTCAACAAGTACATGCAAAGTTTTAAAGCCATATGTCAATGGACTATGAAAATATTTGAGGTATTACAAAAACTTTAACATAAATTCTAAGTCGAAAAAGGGGCATAATTCTGTCAAAATGCTTGATAGAGTTACCCCCTCCTGTCTACAGGTTTGGGTCACGATGGTGAACAAGTGTGCAAAGTTTCAAAGCCATATGTCAATGGACTTTTGAAAATATTTGAGGTATTACAAAAACTTTAACGTAAATTCTAAGTCGAAAAAGGGGCATAATTCTGTCAAAATGCTTGATAGAGTTACCTCCTCCTGTGTACAGGTTGGGGTCATGATGGTCAACAAGTACATGCAAAGTTTTAAGGCCATATGTCAATGGACTTTGAAAATTTTTGAGGTATTACAAAAACTTTAACGTAAATTCTTAGTCGAAAAAGGGGCATAATTCTGTCAAAATGCTTGATAGATTTACCTCCTCATGTCTACAGGTTGGGGTCATGATGGTGAACAAGTGTGCAAAGTTTCAAAGCCATATGTCAATGGACTTTGAAAATATTTGAGGTATTACAAAACTTTAACGTAAATTCTAAGTCGAAAAAGGGGCATAATTCTGTCAAAATGCTTGATAGAGTTACCTCCTCCTGTCTACAGGTTGGGGTCATAATGGTGAACAAGTGTGCAAAGTTTCAAAGCCATATGTCAATGGACTTTGAAAATATTTGAGGTATTACAAAAACTTTAACATAAGTGGTTACGCCGACGCCGACGCTCGGGTGACTACAATAGCTCTACTTATTCTTATCGAATAGTCGAGCTAAAAAGGAAACCCTTATGGTAGATTTTGATGAAACTGTGCAGCAATGATCATTTAAAGGTCTTTTAAAAAAGAATTAGATGGAACCAGTCTGTTGAACAGCATTGCCACCGGAACTGGAAATAGAAATAACCTATTTATGTAAATGACATCTTATCCTAAGTCGATGAAACTTTGCAGGAATGATATTTAGGTGTTCCTTTACAAAACTTGCTCAAATGGTTTTTGTCTGCTGAACAAAATGGTCATCGGAGCTTAAAATAGGAAAGTGGGGCCCATGCTTCACTTTTCAGCTCACCTGAGCACACAGTGCTCAAAGGTAAGCTTTTATGGTCACAATTTACCGAGCATCGGTCAGTACGTCCGTGCATCTGTCGTCAACGTTTTAAACAACTTCTCAAAAATCAAGATGTAAACATTGGGAAATGTTGATGTTGTTTTCATGCCCAACCACCTATAGGTAGGGAAAATCGTTCATTTGTCTGTCCGCCTGTCAAACTGTCCTGCTGTACATCAGTAGACTGACAAAACAGTGGAATGTTAATATATCCATGTCCTATTGACTCATTTCTATTTCATTTTGATGTACCAATATTCATGAAATCTTTTCTATAAATTTCAGGTTAGCGTTTCAGGGCCAGCATGGCCCTCTTGCTAAAGTTTTATGTTTTGTCCAAACTTTTTCTCTTATACTACTTATTAATGAGTTTTCCAGTTGATTGTTTTTTAGGTTATGACCCTTGAATAAAAAAGCTTTTCGGCCTGTAAATGGTTTTTGTGTCTCCTATCACACATTCTACAAAGGAGCTGCGACATATAGCAAGGGAACAAACTGGTCAATCACCCTCAATGCAACTACTTAATAACTATAATCAGGAGACATATGTAATCATTGATTGCTCTTGTGTAATATGTATCCACATCAAAATATATACACATCAGGAAAAAAGTGACCCCTCGGAAGCTGAATATCTCAAACCTTCGCTGTACAGATCACATTCACAACGTGATATATAGGTGGTATTCAGGTGCAGATTTAAACGTAGGTACATGTATCAGTTGACTTAGATGTCGACATAAATGCCTGCCGTTCATCCATAGTTATCAATATAATCAGTCCTCATTTATTTTTAGCCTTTATGCACAGGTGAGCATTATAGGGCTACCATGGCCCTCTTGTCCTTGAATGTATGCGTGTGTGGTAAATTTTTTTTTAAAAAATACGACAAACAAAAACTCTGCACATGTTCTTTCATTTGATATGCTGAAATATGACTTGTCCACAATGCAGTATTGCGAAGTTCAATTGCACAGGGAAAAATATTAAATCTGTTCCTACTATGCTTGTTATTTTGCTAAAATATTTACTAAGCGTACAAGAATTATTAGTATATTATATCCGCATAAGAACCCATTTACATGTATATAAAAAAATGTGTTCTTCTTGTAGTTTTAAACTAATGGAAAGAAATTGAAAGGAATGTTATCTATAATAAAACAGCATGATATTTCATGTCCGAAATTCATCTGAGTTTTTTTTAATGATTATACTGATCTCTCTGGTAACAAATTTATGACCGGACAAAAACACTGACCACTGAAATTATAATAAATGTGAGTCCTGAAGAGGTGCCTTACATCGGATAATTGATTAAATACCGGTATTTTCCTGAATAGGTAAATAAACAAATAAATAAATGAAGAAGCATAATGTTGAAGCTTTCCGTCCTACCTTTCAAGCGATTGAAAAACATGCAAAAGCATCGTGATATTTGGAAAACTAGTGACTTTGGAATTTTCATGAGGAAGCTATCAAGCAGGCTTACGTAAAGTTGGTGATTCTACTATTATAAGATGCCCGTTCCCCTTAAATATCAATTCCTCCACCAGTTAAGCTTGACAGTGTCGATCAATCATAGTATTGTTGCTGTTGTTGTTATGGAAGTACGCCGAGTAAGTTGTCGTTGAGTTTGTGACCATGTTACTGTAGGTAGGTGGGTTGGTGAGTAGGTCGGTACCTACGTCGGTCATATGCGGTCTATGCTTATTGAGGGTACATCCATCCGTGAAGGCACAAAATGCAGTCCGGACATGTCAAAAGTCATACGATAAAATAGTTAATTTTGTAGCACACAGCCTGTGCAATTTCCTCCGAATATAAGCCAATTTAAAGAATTGAATTTTGAGCAGAAAGTATGTCTCTGAACAGCGGTTAATGAACACCTAAACGAATAGTTGTCAGTAACAATAATGAAGGAGGCGAATACTGGTAAGAGTTTTTATTTTGTGCCAGTCTCAAACATGTGATAGAGACCTGGTGTTTATTGAATATTGCAATTAAGATAAAACCAGCTCGTCAGCACACAAAAATAGTGCTGGCACGAACATTATCCGTTGCCAGAAAACAAACGATGTCTGCTTCTTTTGGAAACTAGAAAAAGGTGTTTACTTCACTGCAGTTATTTTGATTTGTTTTATGAAAGTTTGCTTCCAAAATATAAATACTTTCTTTACTGCTCACATATATACAATTGGCAAAATAATGAAGTAGGTATTCAAAATACATCTACGTTTCTCCCATTTCCAACTGGATGCCCAGTTTGTTTTCAATTTTCACAATCTAAAGGATCTTTGAGAATCTTATTCTTAAAGGGACTCCACTGAGGTTTAAAAGCCTAAAAACATAACATTTGAATTTCTTACATAAATGAGCTGGACACTTTAAACAGAAATATATGCAAAGATATTTAAGAAATATACTTTGAAATAAATTGAAAATCGTATTTTTATGCTTTTCTTAGCCCGATTTGAGTGAAAAGCGTTTAAACGCTTTTCATTTTGGGTCATTTTTTTACAATTTGAATAATTATTCTGGAAAAACGAAGTGCGCGAATGATCAAAAATTGTGTACATAGATTAGTGGTCTAAACCTACATCAAATGGTACATTTATCCGGAAAAATATTTTCAGTCCAATCATGCAAAAAAAAACCTCAGTGGAGTCCCTTTAGACATACTGCATGAATGATTATTATCTTAGACGGCCTGTAGCATTGCCGGTTTTCCTTTTATTTCATTCATACACAAAATATACTGACTTTTTCTTACCCACACATAATAATTAATCAGTTTACATAACGACCGTTGTCCATTTGTCGGAGCAACGCGTTGACAGCCATTGCCCGAAACTGTAACAAGATACCACAAATAGCTTATAGAAAGTTTTTGAGTAATGAAAATAATAGCATTTCCGAAGCATAATGGACCTATAACGAATGCTCATCCTAGTTTTATTAAGAGTTTGCTATTTTAGTGGTGTAGCATAATAGTTTCGATAATTTTAGACAACTTAAACGAATATTCTGCTAATCAGGCAGTGTGGAAGCTATATACTGAGTAGCTTCATCATGTAAGGAAAACCAAGTTCTGATTTTTTTTCAGAAAGGTCTATCGTGTTTACCTAAGCTACTTCGAAGACATCCGATGCACGGATATTTCTGTTGTACATTAGTGCGGATTCTGATATACGCTTTAATTTAACATACATGCATTTTCTAATGTCAAAGGCGTTGTTTTCTTCACCTTTCACAGGCACGGGTATCATGGTATGAACGTTGTTTTACAGTTAAATGGTAAGGCACATTGTTGCCTTAACAGGTTATGAAACGTTAAGTGCAGGCCTAAAGTGTTGTTTATCAATGTTTGTAAATGCGATGTATTACAAAATGTCGTGTACCTACAGAAAGCATACATAGATATACTTTATTAGAAAAGTAAAATCGGGAAAATAATGCGCAACATCGTACTGTTTGGGGCATAAATGCAGCTATGTGCCTGATTATTATATGGTGACACACAGCCAGCTTGCATGCTTTTTAATTATCGCCAAATTATAATAACACTTTTGTATATTCCATAAATAAAAACAAAAAGACTATAAGTCATTTCACTGATTGGTAACATAACAGTACCAGGTATACTAAGACAATAATAAAAATCAAGAATAGAAAGAGAGAAAGACGAGTAGTTTACTAACCATGATTTAGCACCCCTTTATAACTTTATTCAAATCCTTCCAATTATTCCTATTTTATCAATGACTGTTTTAGTACTGAATAGAAAGTTTACGACGAAGATGGAACGTACACGAGAGTATCTATCTTGATATGTCTGTTAAATTTAGTTTTGCAAGCGAAGGGAGCAAGAAAATTAAAAAACAATAAACTTTGAAATTAACGTTATCGACGTCGAGGACTGCTTGGAAAATGCCCCCCCCCCCCCAAAAAAAAAACAAACAAACAAAAAAACCTGCACCTGCATCATGCATTTTCCCCGCCAAAATATGTATAAATATGTCCTTATTATTATCAAAAATGTCGATTTATATTATGAGCGAGAGGGTCGTTGTAAATAATGTACAGATATACAATGCATATCACTGTTTCTGAACTGGAGCATATTTGTCATAGGTCTGAACGAGAAGCTTATGTATCACACCAACAGATGACGTTGACGCCGCTTTTGAAGAGTGGGGCTTAATCTGACGAGAGGAGTTGGCAACAGAAAAGCTGGATGTACACACCTATAAAACTAACTTACCTGCAGCTCCTCATAAACTTCTGAAAATCGTCAGATGCAGTTGTAAATCTTCTTGTGATAGTAAACGTTGTTCATGTCGAAAATATGGCCTCTATTGTTCTACTTGATGCCGAGTAAGTTGAGGAATAAAATGTTCTAATTCTAACAATGCTGACCGATGAGTAGGAATTGTATGCACTTTAAACTCCCAATATCCAACACTGATTGTGTAAGATGTTGAATATATGCACATTCATTAATTTTTCCTTGATTAATAATTACTTACAAAATAATGAGAGCATCATTTATGTATGTTAATATAGAACTTCGATGGTTGGTCATTTTCCTGTATATTTCACATCATATTTTTTGGGGTCAAACATGTTTATTTTATTTTGATCCAACTTTTAAAGTGCATTTACTATCAGTGGAGATACTTTTCACGTGTGACAGCGCTGGTTGTTTCAATGTTATAAAAATACATAATCTTACAATTAAATATGACAGACATTGTCGTATTGATATAAAAGAATCACTGTATGTACGTAAATTTTACTTGACAAGTCGGTGGTATATTAAGTATTTTTGAGAAACTATTCATTTTGCCACTACTGATTCACCTAGATTTTTTTCATATGTATTAAAGTACGAGTGTATTGATTTAAAATGCAAAACTAAAATTTATTTATCTGATAATGATAACATGGTATTGTTAGAACTGATGTAAATATAATATAAAAGCAATCGATGCTATGCATGTAAATATAGGTGGATGGGGAAAGTCTTTCCACATAAATTAAAATCTACAAAAAACTTCACTAACAATCCGAAGACACATGATCAGTTACTAGTAGTTATTTCTGTTATTAAAACATACAAATGTGAACAACAGTATGTCTACAGCAACAAAATATGCAGTGGCAGATATTTTTCAGAATCGTCATCGAAGAATGCAAATTGTCATGAAAATGCCTTCAGACTTTTTTTCATTTATTTCTCCATAGTATGTAGCTCCCATAAATGAGGTATTTTTTGCAATTAATCTGAGACATGATGGGGTGAGTGTTTTCATTTACTGGACTAATAAATTAGATAGTACACGGAAGTATATAGGTGACATAGCAATCATTACCTCCCCTGGAAGCCATTTTGAGGGTCAGGTGTAATGAGTATTTACAGTTTTACACTATCATTACAGAGACAATGTAACATGTTTCAATCAATTTTAATTCCTTCCTTACAAAACAAAACATTGTACATTGTATGAATCATAATGCCCTTACAATATAACAAGAGCCATGTGTACATATTAAAATGTTTGTCTATCATCTTCTTGTTATCAACGCTATCTAATAGGCATCTGAATCACTACTTATCCAGAATTTACAGTTTTATTTATAACGTACATGTTTCATATTTTTGAATCACTTTGAATTCTGTGACCTGTTGGTATATTTTGACTTTTTATGGTCTTATAAAGCTGCATGTGACACAACATAAAGTGGACGGACGCATACACCCACACACAAGGGCAAATCTAAAGTTAATGATAAATTATTGAACCATAAAATGCTGGCAATATACACAACTTGATACTGGTCAATAATGTAAAGTTTGGTTGAAATTGCACCAGTAGTTTTTGAGGAGTGGTCCACACAAGTTTTGTCACAGACGGACAGACAGATGTGGTTCCTGCTCTGTAGCAGGTGACACAAAAATGTAAAAAATGTAAAATTAACACTCTCAGTGATCCTTTACTCCACAAAAAGTTAGAGGACCATTTCAGTTATCCATCTACGAAATATGGAAGATATCACTAAATAAATGAAGTAATCAGGAGAAATTAGAGCCATTGGCCCCTTACCATATTGTTATGGAATAGGCCCCCTATCCATTTTGATAGTGGAGGGACAGTTCAATAACTATATGCCCGGGGGAGCATATAAATAGTTGATTGAAGCCAAATTAAAACATGACACATATTTAATGTTACATCTTTGTACAAAATATTATTAAAATCCATAATTTCACTTTGGTGGGGTATGACAAATTTATGATAGCTTGGTATTTCATGCCGATTTCAAAGGAATACTTAACACTTATAACATAAACATGTTACAATACTTAGAAGCCATTGTTGGATATTCAATGATTGTTTTGATCAAATAATTTTTCTAGTTGTTATCTTTTTTCCTCAATAAATTTAACCTTCAGATGGCCCTGCTTCCATATCATTTTCCTTTATATCGAGATTTTCTCCCATTTTCTTTTTTGTTCCACGTCGTTTCTTGGATGGTTTTTGAGGTTCATGTTGAGGCATACGAGCACCTGTATGCCCGGCCTCCTGTGCTTTCTTTTGAGCCCGGTGTTGTCGTGTATTTTGTGCTACCGCTCGAACATGTGGGTACAACTTTGAAACAGTACCTATAGCTTTTGTTCGCCCTTCCCGGAAAACCATTCTCATATCAGGCCTTAAATACTCGGGATTCTTTATAAACCTAAATCTAACAATGGCTTTATCACCTGTCCGTAAATGTTCACTTGTCATTGAAATAATTGTTGCTGTTTGCCGTACACTCCCAACATGAACTGTAATAAAAAACACACTTTTATTAAAAAAAATTAACAAGTTTTATACATTATTCAATTAATGAAATACTACCCAAAACTACTATTTTATTACTGACAAAAAAACTAGAAATGTGTCCATAGGACACGGATGCCCCCACACACCACCGTTCTGTCAATCTTATGACTCTAGGTCAAATATTTTTTGGACTACATGTGCAACAAGTTGAAAACTAAAAATCAACAAAGGGCCATAATTTTGTAAAATTTGGTCGCAGCAAAAATTCCTTCCTTCACTACCATCTACACATTAAGGTTGTTAATCCCTGCCCTGGAAGTATAAGCAAAATCTGCCATCCGGTTTAAGAGGAGTTGCGTTCACAAAATTTCTACATAGTATATAATGAAAAAATCAACAAAGGGCCATAATTCTGTTAAATTTGGTTGCAGCAAAAATTCCTTCCTTTACTGCCATCTACACATTAAGGTTGTTCATCCCTGGAAGTTAAAGCAAAATCTGCCATCCGGTTTAAGAGGAGTTGCATTCACAAAATTTCTACATAGTATATAGTGAAAAAATCAACAAAGGGCCATAATTCTGTAAAATTTGGTCGCAGCGAAAATTCCTTCCTTTACTACCATCTACACCTTAAGGTTGTTCATCCCTGTAAGTTTAAGCAAAATCTGCCATCCGGTTTAAGAGGAGTTGCGTTCACAAAATTTCTACATAGTTTATAGTGAAAAAATCAACAAAGGGCCATAATTCTGTTAAATTTGGTCGCAGCAAAAATTCCTTCCTTTACTACCATCAACACATTAAGGTTGTTCATCCCTGTAAGTTTAAGCAAAATCTGCCATCCGGTTTAAGAGGAGTTGCGTTCACAAGATTTCGGGACGGACGGACTGACGGACGGACAAGTGGGGGCATAAAAACAATTACATGTATGCTTTAACAAAAAGCCTTTAATTATGAGATTTAAACTTAAAGAGAATAAAGCTATATCTAATGAAATTTTTTTATAAAATTTAAAAACAGTAAAATCATGATATTCCCTGGAAAGAGTGATTTAACACACATCAATATTGTACATAAAAAGAATAAAACGTTATTCTTCAGTTTTAGGTATGGTATTAACCGTTAAGCAATGACCTCATGCATATACTTTTGGCTCTGAAGGAAAAATACCAATATAGTTCTTTCATAACGGCTATTCTTTTTCAAAATTAAAACACTATTTTTGGAGACTGCAGGTGGCAGATATATATCTTTATACACTTTAAGTTTGAGCAACACATATATAAGCATGAGTGTTGCTTTATTATTATATATAGAGTAACTTCAGGTTAATTTGACAGTCATCTAATTTTGACAAATTTAATTAAGATATTTATGGAACTGTACACTTATAAAGATACCTAGACTCCAGTAATTCAAACCCATTTAGTTGCCTTTTAGTGGCATACAAATAATTTTTAAAGGGTGGCCCAAATTGTTGTGTACCATCTGTGAAATAATATATTCAAAAGACCATAAGTTAACTTCTTATAAAAGGGGAGAAATTAAAATTTGTTTTGAAGGAAGTATACCAACATGCTGGTACAAACAGTTTCAACCTTAACAAGATTGCAAGACAAGACAAATGGGTTAGTGGACAAACTGACTCCAGTATACCCACTTTAAACTTTGTTAGTAGGGGTATATCTATCAACTCAAATTGCTGACATTTTTGTCTATTGATAGTGAATTTTTTAACATCATTGATGATAAGCTTACCCATAGCTTGATACTTGACACTGATTGTGGTTGGATGATGCAACACAAGTATTTCCCCCTCAAACTCCCAGCATGCCTTGGGGTCCAGTTTTGGAGAAACCATTACCATACCTTTACGTATTGATGATCTCTTTATCTGAAAACATAAATATAAAAGTTGCACATGATATGCACATAGTGAACTGGGGAGTTAAAAAAGGGACTTGGCAATTTAAATCCACAGTTATTTATATACCTTTTGTAGAGGAGCACTGCACAATCTAGATGATCTATTTTCTATATAACTCAACATTAACTAAGTGATCCCTAAAGCTGTGCCATTATTGACCACAGACACATGATTAATACTAAAACATGCCACATGCCAAATATCTAAGCTCTGGGCATTACAGTTCTACAAAGGAAGACATCAATGCATTTTCCTATAAAGTCTATAAACAAAGTGACCATTGGGACGGAGTCAATTTTGACCCCAGAGGCATGATTTATATAACTTTTGTTGAGAACCACGAGACGATGCTTAATGCCAAATATCTAAGCTTAGGTTTTGGGCTTTCAAAAATGAAAATTTCCAACACATTTCCATTTCAATATTAGTTTATGTTAACTTAGTGACCAATTTTTGACCCAAGGGGAATGATTAATATAACAATGGTAAAGGACCACTCCTAGGCAATGCTACAATCCAAAATTCTAAGCTCTGGGCATTGACGTTTTGCAAAAGAAGATATCAATACATTTTCCCTATAAACCAAGTGACCAGGGCCAATTTTGACCCAATGGCATGATTTATATAACTTTTGTTGGGGACCACAAGGTGATGCTTAATGTCAAACATCTAAGCTTAAGGTTTTCACTATCAGAGATGAATTGTTTTTAACACATATTAATTACAATATCAGTATACGTTAACTCAGTGATCCATTTTTGACCCCAGGGGGATGACTTTATTTAACTTTGTCCATGATACAGGACTTCTAAGCAGTGCTACAATCCAAAAACATGTATCTTAGCTCTTAAAATTGTAGTTTTTCAAAAGAAGGTGTAAATGCATTTAACTATGTACCTATATAAGTCTATATAAGCTAAGTGACCCCTGGGGCAAAGCCTATTTTGATGCAAAGGGCATGATTTATATAATTTTTGGATCACAAGAAGATTCTTAATTATAAAAAGGATACAACATGCTGACTTTTTTATGTTTGACTTTTAAGAATATCCTTGACCTTTATTGTTATTTATTGTTACCTTTTTGAGAGCAAAAGAAGCAGTTTGTCCACCCCTGACCTCCTTTACTGGCATTCTCTTCCTGTGAATACTTTTTATAACCATTGGCTGAAACTGTCCTAAGGGGTCAGGCCCCAACATTAGTGTATCATTAAGCTTCACATATCCCTGAAGCAGTGTCCCAGAAACAACTGTACCAACTCCTGGTACTGAGAATGTGTCATCAATCTGGAATTCAGCAGGACTTCCAAGATTACACCGTAACCGTGTTGATAATAAATTAAGAAACATTTTTAGTAAGTCCATATTTTCGCCACTAACATTAGAGACCTGGAATATTGGACACATCCTGAAAAGTAATAAATAAACTGAAAGTTTAAAACCAACTTTAGTAAGCATACAACAAACTGTTGCTATAACACATAATTATACCTTTCAAATTGATATATATGTACAGTATAAATTCATCATAATGACATTCGATTTTAATTATATTTACAGCATACTAATATCTTTGTCCAGTCGTATTGTTATTTTTCATATTAACTTTATATAATATTGACCAGACTTTAATAACACCTGAGACATCCAATAGCCACCCATACTTCTATTTCCCATTACAGGGCGACTTTTGAACCCCAAGGCATGATTTTTAAAACTGTTGAAGAGGACCATTAAGTGTTGCTACATGCATAAAATCTAAGCTCTGGACAGAGAAAAAGGTTTTTAAATCATTTTTACTATAAGTAACACAGGGGGCGTGACTACAATCATTTATGTAAATGGCCCCTAGGCAATGCTACATGCCAAATATCTAAGCTATGCATAGCAGTTTTACTAAAGTTACTAAAATCTATCTTCTTATACAAGTTTATATAAACTAAGTGACCCACAGGGTAGTGAACATTTTGACCAGAGGGGCATGATTCATAGAAATGTTGAAGAGGACTACAAAATATCTAAGCTCTACGCATTGTAGTTTCTGAGAAGATTTTTGAATTTTTAGCTCCTGTAACCTACTTATGCATCAGACTGAAACCATTTATATAACTTTGTACAAGGTCATGTTAGGATCATTCCTGTGTAATTTTGTGCAAAATACACTAAGTGGTTAAGGAGGAGATTGTTTGTGCTCAGATGATCTTATAAAAACAATAAACCTTTCTGATGAAAAATTGGTTGCTGAACAAACAACATCATCTTTGTTCAGGACTAGAAGTGGCATTTTCCTGCAGCCAGGGGACTTGAGAATCCTCTGTAACAATTTCAGTGTATCATCTAAGACATTTGCAGGACACATGTCAATCTTTGTTACAACAACAAACACTGGAACCTGAAGTGCAAGAGCTAGACCTAGGTGCTCCTTTGTCATTCCTATAATACCGGCATTAGCACCAATCTGAAAAATAGTTCAGTTATAAATAAGTATATATTATTTACAATTGGCTTTATTAGTATTCATGTATCTTATATAATCCAATTGTCCATTCAAACAAAATTTCCCTGAAGTAGCTGAAGTAGACATATAGGTAAACAAGAGAGCCATCATGGCCCTGATATCTCTCACATGAATGTACATGTAAGTACTCTTAATGATAAGGAACAAGTAAAATTGTTTAATATAAACAAAAGCACATCTTAAACTTATATCACAAAGTTCATATTTGTATCTGAAATAGTGCATGTGTAAAAACATTATTGGTTGCTAAGGGAAAACAAAAGTTACTAAAGAAGTCACTGGATGCTATACAAAATCAATGGTTTCCTTGGTAGACATTGCATAACAGACACAGAGTGTCTCAGGTGAACTAAAAACACAAATCATAACTAAAATAAAAGCTTATAAACATGTCCTACCATAAGCATAGCAAAGTCTGGAGCATGTCCAGTCATTCCAAACACTGTTGTCTTCAAATATTTTTCATGACCAGCCAAATCAATAAATGTTATCACCTGAAATAAAAGAAGGATAAATATAATTATTTCACAAGTAGTGGTTGTCACAAGTACTAAAATGTGTACAGAACTGCTGAAATAAATGTCTTTTCATGAAAAAAGTGGCAGTAATAGAAATATTTTATATATATAGTAGCAATAACATGCCACTGCATATCTAAACAAATTTTGTACAGGGTCAAATCTTAAAATTTTTACCAGATACATTAATTTTTATCAATAATTCATTTCCGCTACTAGTGTTATCACATATACAGACAATAAACAGATGACTGGCAAACAAATTAAGTGCGGTGACAGCGTCTTGATTACAAATTTTAAAATAATTGTACAGAATAATCATAAGCATACCTTGGCAGATTGTTCACAAATTTTCACCCAGTCTAAATGACCATGATCAGATTTGTTGACAACATTTCCTCCAGCATCAAACCCTAGTATATCATTGCCTACACTACTTGTTCTCCCTGACTCCATCTCATGTTTGTGACGGAATAACTTCATTCTAGCAAGACCACGTCCATTGTCAAGTTCCCCATGTGTTAACACACCAAGTAATGTACTCTTGCCAGCATCTACATTTCCAACAACTGCTACCCTAAAGAAGTTGTAAGGCATAAATATATATTTATTTTAGCTTTCTTTACATCATCCTTTATTTAGAAGTAATTCATGACTGCACTGTCTGAAAATTGTTCGAATCGCAATCCAATGCTCCACCTATTGACCTAACCGGACGATGATAACTTGTCTTTTTAATTTGATCTCTATATATGTACCAATCAAAACTATTGTAATTTTAGTGAATAAACATGTTTTATTTTCATCAGTTTAAACAATTATGATCTTAATACAAAAAGACCAAAATTTTAAGTTTGATAAAAAGACATAATAAATAATAATGGGAAATAAACTTGACTCATGGAAGCAAGTTCTTCCCCTCCTCCCCTCTGCACATCATCTCAGTATCATATCAGTGCTATCAATATTTCTGCCAATAAGTTTTAATTTCCTTTAATCTGTTTAAAAGATACATAGCAGACACAAAATCTTAAAACCCATATACCATGAATAAGTGGGACCTTAACAAAATTGCTAACAGAGGGACAGACGGACAACCAGGTGTATATATGTATATATGCAAGAAATTTTTAGGGCGAATGAAAATGTAACTAAAGTAATCATTTAACCTTATTTCCATAAAGTCTTGTATATCTAGTTTTTTCCTCAATAAAAACTCTGTAACAAGCCCTTCTTTTTCATGTCTCTCTCTAAGCTGCACTATTTCATAATTTAGTGAGTCTGCTATACTTTTCAAAGTGGCAATAGATGCTTGCATGTCTTCCACTGTTAAACCAGGAGGGTCTCCTTCTACAACAAAAAAACATTTCAGTATCAAAAAATGTACAGAGAAAAGGGCATGGTAAATAAGTAAACCTAGAACTGTCACCATCCTAGAAAAAATCAATTCATTTTCCCAAAATGCTGTTTGTCACTTTAAAGATGGCAGACTTCAAAGTGGGAAAGATAGGTGTCTCATTTTTTCATCTCTTCTAACATTGTTTCTTGAAAATATCTGGACATATAATAACTACAGAAAAATGAGCATGAAGAACGTAATGGGCCTCATTACCAAATTATAGAAATATTCCATGCAAAATTTTTTATAAGCGAATAAAAATATAGAGTTAAATATCAAAGCTCAAAACTCAAATTTAAACATTCAACAGAATATCCTTCAATATTTTTTGGTCTGACAAAAATTTCAAGCCTATCAGAGCAGACCAGAATTAATTTCTGGCAGAATTTTTTGCCTTTTGCAAAGTCTGATACCTTTAATGGTTAATGACAAATTATGCTGCATAAAAAAACTTTCACTATGTCATACACAAACACAAAAGCTGACATCAAGAAAAGTTAGAAAAGCCCATTTATTTTACTTTGGACAAGCTTTAAAGATAAAGCAACTTACCACCAGTACCAAGTTCATAGATTGTCTCCCCCTGTCCTTCCTCAACTTGTTCCTTTATAGTTTCAAGGATATAGTCATACTCTTCACTGGTTGGACTCACAAGGGCAGTCTGAAATCAACATTTATTCATCTTATATCACGCTTTCTTTGACTTTTAAATTCACTTTGATTAAACTTGTTTTTTTTTTGTTGTTTTTATCACAAGTTATGAAATAACTTAAATTACTATTTCTCAGTAAGACTTGCCAGTAAAACCTTCAAATGTTTATCTTGAGAAAGATGAAACTAGAGCTGTCAGAGGAGACAGTGACGCTCAACTAATTAAATACTGGACGCAGTAAAGGAAGACAAAACTAAAGAAAAAAACAAGAGGTCCCACAGTGATCCCAAAAGCATAGAGTGATCACCTCTGAGCACTTTGTGCTCAGGTGAGCTAACAATGGAAGCAATACTTATGTAACTTGCCCAGATCATGTTCTTCGAATTGATAAGTGTGTAAATTATGAAGCCATTGGTAGAGATAGAAGTTAAAATAAATGCAACTTGCCAGTTTAGGTTAACCTCATACGGACAAACGGACAGATCAACAAATGGATGAACTGTTAAATTACTATATGCATGGGGGCATAAAAAAAGAGGATTTTCTGATTTTTTTTTATATTACCAAGAAATTAGGGTGAGGCAGTTTTGTAAACCAATGAATTCAAAAGTCATGGCCTTATGCTTCCTATATTGTAGGTGGAGATGCATTTACAAATATGTTCTCAAACCTTTTCGTAACATCCGATCTTGCAATAAACAGTGGAGAAATGAAAATTTGTTACACAGGAGGTATATAATAATAGCAACCTGAACAAAAAGCTTTAAAGATCATCTTGTATTGTAGCAAGAGTAACATTCCAGTGGTTGTTGTTTTTTCACTTTGCATGGAGAGGGGAAAATTGCATCACAGAGGGGGAAAAGAGAAATAGGGGAAATTCAGAAACAAATAATACAATCCACTTTATGTCAAATTGTAATAATAAACCATCATTTATTAAAACTACAATGTCCTTCTCTGTTTCACTCCTGTGATAAAATAGATCTACCAAAAATAAACATTACTTTTGGATTGTAACAAATGTATATTTACCCAAATTCGCCTGAAAAAAGCACTGCATTCACAAGATTAAAAGTGTTAACAGAAAAGCAAAGGGACAAACTGACTGTAGTATACCCCTTCAAACTTTGTTTGCAGAGGTATTTAAACTTGAAAGAGCTACATGAAAGGAGCATTCCTACCATCAATATTGGTCTTGTGATATCAGAGAAGATTATTTTAGGGAATTCTTAAAGAAAGTATTATTGAGCATAAGACACCTGACAGTGAGCTAATAGCCCAATTTGGTGAGCTAAAAATACAGTTGTAAATTGTGAAGTTTAATGCATACCTTCATAGTTATATTAGGGACATCCATTTCCACTTCATTGTCTGGGGCGAAGAGATTTCCCCCATTTTCCATTGGTTCATTATCAACTTCCTGATGATACAGTGTATCTACACCATTCTCCAATGCTCCAGCCATTTTTCACAGTTAAAATACCAGAATATCTTCCTTTCATATACTATAACAATATAATTGTTCCATGCAGTATTGTAAAGATAAATAAATAAGACTAATAGTCTTTTCTCTTGTTAATTTTCACAAATAATACTGTCTAGAATCTTCTTAATAGTCAAGTGTCAAAGGTGAAACTTATATGCCCAGCTTGACATAAAGTCCACAAAAATCACATGCTACGTAGGCCTGCAAAATAAAAAATAATAAATCTTAAATAAAGGGTTAATGCATTTCTAGCCTTATTATCTGCAGAGGCAGATGCATTTAATTTAAATAGAGAATAACCGAATCCGTAAAGAAAGTCCAACACAGCAAAATTGACAATGTTGCAGGCTCGGTTTGATTGAGTCTATTCCTGGATGGTACTGGAAAGTGCAAGCTAGCATCCACGTCCTCTAGCACCAGCTAAAGAAGAATTCAACATTTAAACACGTAAATGGTGAAATTTGGAAAAGCCTGAACCTGGACAACAAGGGATTTAATTAGTCTGAGTGCTTCTATAGTTAAACTTAATGCAAGAAAAAAGGTGCATATAAAGCCACATTTTTGCCAAAACAAATCAATTCTGTAATTCGTTATCTACTGGTATTTGTCATATAAATAAGCCATTTTTAAAAACTGTGAGGTTTAAATGGAAGATCGTTTTGGCGAATATGTAGCCTCATTAAAAAAATCCTTTATTATTATTATCATTGAGGTCATTATAGGGTCACTCGCCTAGAAAAATTCTTCGAGGCCTGCATTGCACCTGTTTTGACATGAAATTCTTTACTTTTATAAATAATAAATTACTTTTATATCTTTAATATTCAAGTTATTGTCGATACATACATGTGAACTCTCCCACTTGTCTTACAAAGATTTTTCTTAAAATAAGGGGTATTTTCACAAATTAAAGAAATCTTTCTCTTTTTGATGTCAGAACTTTCTTCTTTGTTCATTGCAAATTCTAAAATCTCCCTCTTTTTGAAAAAAAAATCTCCCACTTGATCAGTGAAAAAAGTTCACATGTACGTTGATACAGTTTGTATATACAGACATCGAAAAATCCACTCATCCACTCGTTACTGTATTTATGATAATTAAGTCTCTGTAAAGTCATAAGAACAGTAAACTATTTTGTTTGAAATGCAGGTGAGTGGTGCCGAGTAAAAGTTAGTAGTCACTCGTCTGCTTTGAAACAAATTTTTTGACCCCTGCTTTTAGACTTTAAAAAAGCATTGATAATATCAAATGGAAAATGTCACAATAATAAAATGGTAAATTAACTGTTTATTTTTCATATCTAATTATTTAGACTAAAGCTAAGCACAGTATCTCAATGTATAGCTACACGATTTCGAGTTTACTCGTCCCGTGGTCAACTCGTCCTGTAGTCAACTCAACTCCTCTTCTGGTCAACGCATTCCATACCTTTGGTCAACTTTTGTCCATAATATAGACAACTTGTCACTATTATAACTGATAAGATCTTTGAATCAGGGTCAGCTTGGCCCTAAAACGTACTCAGCCCCTCCGAGTCAGCTCGGCCCTATTCCAACTCGGCACGGGTCAACTCGGCCCATAATAATATAAAATACTGGTTATGATTACTTTTGTTACTTTTTATATGTTTTCATCATTACTTTCATTGTTTAACATTTACTCGTTTATATACCTCTACTCAAGGATAATGAAAAGTTTTATTGACGCAAGTACCAATTTGTACGTGATTTTGTGGAGAAAGGAAGAATTTACTATTTATATGCATGTTTTGTCTACTTCAGATGTTTTCAGTAAAAAATATTAAAACAGCATTGGTCGTATTTAAGAATAAACAGTGTTATTATACAATAACATTTATTGTCATAAAAATTCAATCCAAAAACTTTATTTATGGATCAATATTTAACATATATTGTACTGTTTTTATATCTCTTCTTAACAAAGATAATTTCATACAATACGTACATGTACACTGCCAACAATTTCAATTTCTGTTTGAATAGTCCAATAGATTAGACGTTACAGGCTTGTTATAGTTTTATGTTGGTCAAGCCTGACGTCTAATAGTTATTGCTCATAAACGCGTAGCATTTTGAAAAATTAAAAAAATGTTTGTTGACTTGCCTTTCAAGCTTTATTCAAAAGCTTATATTCTGTTCTTTCAATTGCATGGTCTATCATTAACAAAAACTTTCAAACAATGTACTTATTAATTAAAAATAAAATATAAATATCAGTCTATTTTGCTCATCGGCCATACTGGTTAAGTAAGGCGTTTTACAGATTGATTCCAATTTTTTGAACGGAAAAATATATTCGAACACACTGACGGTGCATGGGAAATTATTTCGTTGAAAAAATATTCCGTTAGAAACTTCTGGACTCATTTAAACGCTTGCATTTGAATTAGCCAATCAGGTTTCGCGCACTGTATGGCGGCCATTTGTATATCGGCTGTACAAGGAATTTAATTAAATGAGAGGATTTAATCATGACTTTTCGGATGTGACAGTTCAATAATTTTATTAAAAGGTATTCATTTTTTAGTTTTGTTCATAAATAGGTCAAAATTAATGTAAATACACGCTGTTTTAATTGTTTAAATTCATTAGATCTAAATCGATGTCTAATGTCAATTTTTTTGCTACACGATTTTGCAAAGATCTGTTAAGACCTAACGTAACATGGAAAATGAAAAATGTAAAATATCAGATTAATGAATGACAAATATGAAATAGGTTACGTATAGGTCTTATAATTAGGACTACTGTTTGAATTGATCGTACTTCTGAATACTTTAATAATAATTTACTCCTTAAATTTTTATTAACTTTAAGTCTTAACAATCTATATCCTAATATAAGTTTTTAATAGAAGGCCGAGTTGACCTGTGCCGAGTTGATATAGGGCCGAGTTGGCCCTTTATACCAGTTCTTTTAAATTTAAGTAAGACAACGATTTATATCAATATTTCAGAACTTGCTATCGCTACCTACAATGAGTCGGATTATCTGTATCCCTGCATTGGTGATGATACTTTTATCGCTACTAAATTTAACACTAACAGCAGTAATATAACAAAAATAGTTAAAACATACTGACCAGTGGCAGTGTCACTTGGAATCACATTCTTCAGCAGGTTTAGATCGTTCCCATGTCGCGGATAACTAACTATCTAATGCAAAATATGTAGAATTTGACTGCTGATCAATGCTTAAGTATGATGAAATCTGTTGCAAATGCTGACAGAAATCTCAGGACAAAATAAATATTTGAGATTTTCACAACATGTCATCAGTTTACTATACGGGAAGTGACGAATTTCTGCAGGGTTTACTAATCGACGGTCTCCGGTCTTCGACGGTCCCCGGTCTCCAAAAAAAACGTCGATAAGCAGTGTATCCTGGAAAATGTAATTTCTGCAGTTGAAATATATTAAAAATACACCAGGTACCGTTGTGTATATACCAGGTACGTATTAAAGCTGAAATACATGAATAATACCATAGGTACCCTGATAAATGTACAATATGTAATTTTAAATATTCAAATATTTTGCAGATCCCGCAAGTAAGAACTACAACTACTGGTAAAAAATCTTTCAGGTATGCTGCACCTGCTTTATGGAATAGTCTACCCGACAATTTTAGAAAATGTTCAAATTTTGCTCAGTTTAAAAAGTTAATTTCATCTTGGAATGGTAAACAGTGTAAATGTATTGCTTGCAGCTAACTTCTATTTCTTTATTTACTTCACTTTTGTTTCTTTTTCTGGGTATGAACATTTTTGGTCTCATTTATTATTTAGTTTCTTTAGTTTTTTTTTTCTTTAAATGTGTTTTTGCTTTTCTTCCCTGCATGATTCCTGCTTATGTTAATATTAATTATCATTTAGTTTCTAGATAGGATGTTGCTTTATCTGTGATCTTTTGTTTTTGTATTTTGCATATCTTTCCAGCATGACTCAAGCTAGCTGTTAAATGAGTTCAACTGTTGACTTACATGTATGATCCCTTCTGTCTTTGTGTATTTGTCTGATAACCCATATTCTTTCATATTTAAATTATATATATATAAAAAATGTACGTTTTTTTAGTATTTTTATTTATTTATTTAACTATTCATTAAATTTTTAATTGTTTAATCGGTTTATTATTGAACTTTAAGTAAAATTTTTAGAAACTAGACATTGTAAGCATAGTTTTATATACAAGCTAGTGATGTAGAATTGGGTAAACTATCATTTTAGTTTTTAGCATCTGATTCATTTTTATAAAAATATCTAAAAAAGTCTATTTTATGTATACATCATGTCTAATCAATTTTTATTGTAGCTGTTTTATCTTTGTTGATCTTATACTTTATGTTATATACAGTCGGTTATAAAAGCTCCTAGAGCTTATGTTGTACTGTTGATAACTTGACGACTTGAAATAAAACTTATCTGATCTTATCTTTTTTTATAATTATAGCTGTAATAAATGAATAATATCACAATAATTATTATAACCTGGTGAATATACTGTATTCGAGCTGAAATGCCACAAAATATCATAGGTACCACGATAAATGTAATTTATAAGTTATAACAGAAGTAATAGATTATACCACAGGTACCCTAGTGAATGTACTGTATAAATGCAGGGACCATATCACAGACAATGTGGCAAATGTATTTCATATAAGCTGAAACCAAAGGTACCCTAGTATATATGAATTATGCTTCATTACATCTGTGATACATGAAAAATGCCACAGGTAACCTGGTGAATGTATAATTATAGCTGTAATAAGTGAATAATACCACAGCTATCTTTGCAATGGTGTTTAATATCAAAGCCTTAATGCAGGAGTATAACACCTCAGATACCCTGATAAATGTTCTTTATTGGAGCTGAAATTCAGAAATAATACCACAAGTAATTAAGCTGGTGAATATACATAATTATAGCTGTAATAGATGAATAATACCCGGTAAATGTAAAAAAAAAAACAACTTTTTCTCTCGGAAGTACACGTTATGTCTAATATTCCAAATAAATTATATAATTATGTTAAATTCTTAAAAGTCAACAACTCATTGTAAAGATTCAATTTAAGGATATACGTGTAACACCAATTGTTGAATCGCAGTAATCTTTGGCATTTAACTGCACAAAAATGAGCAAATTCAAACATTATTGGCAGTCGTAGGTCTTTGTCATGACTGGACCAGATTAAGTAATAATATTGTATCATATCAAGGGATCTTAAAGAGTCAATTTGCATTGTACATTGTATTTATCGAGTTAAACAAATGTGATGACAAACAATATGTATCATATTTTGAAATAAATTTGTTCTGATTCATTTTTTATTGTGTTTCGGGTAGAATTTGGAGGAATTTACATGTGTAAAATGCAACACAAGACTTCTAGAAAGTAATTTATTGTTTAAAACATAAAAATTAAATAAATACTTATCGAGAAATAAAAATGAATCTAATTCAAGCCTTCAAAGGCTTTCAAAATCTTTTCACACCAATTTGAAAATTGCTCCAAATAAGATGACAATACGGTTAAAATATATAAGCCTAGTAAATACATCAACCATTAAAGTAAATGCCAAAGTAGGCGAAAGCTATGCAGATATTTAAACACAGTATTGTGCAGTCGAAAAACAGAAAAAAAATATGAAAAAAAAAATGATTGGACAAAAATGCATGGTATTTATTTTTAAACACAGAAAATTATAAATTTTCCCGTACCACAGATTTTTTTTCTTAGCCCGTAAGATGGATTTTCCCGTACATTCTGCAAAACAATTATTTTATATAACATTTGATGTGTGTTGAGAAGTAAGTATTTTAACAAAATTATGCGAATAATACGAAAATTAAATCATCTGACCTGAATTACTATTTCTTTGTCTATATACTAATCTCCTGGTAAATTGCTGAAATATTGAAATTATTTTTATCCGCGCAGTCTGATCAGGATCCATGTCTATTACAAGTGGAGAAACTGACAGCGAACAGCATGGATCCTGATCAGACTGCGAGGAAGCGCAGGCTGGTCTGGATCCAAGCTGGTCGCAAACCCATTATGTTGGTTTTGTCATGACACGGCTCATATGGCAATAATGCAGAATCTGGAGCAACATTTTTGTATACTTCTGGGAGAAATGCTGGCTTTGCGAGGCGATGTTCTTGAGTCGGACATCTTTAAATAACCACTTTATGTCATCCGCGCATATAGGAAATTAACTGTGCATGGTGTATTGGGCATGACCACGCTCCCAAAAGTGAAGGACACCACAGAGAATTTCTCTACAGCTAATGGGTTTAACTTTGCAAAGTAGCCAGAGGACTATGCTAGGATTGTCGATAGATTTTGTGAAAAGAATTTTAACATGTTTAACAGCACTCAATGAAGTTTTTAAGAAATATATTGTCATCTCAATGATACATGTATATAATTAGAAAATATTACTTACAGAAAAGTTTTTGATTTTATCATTGCTGTGACGTTGGCGGCTTAGCGGCCTGAACGTTTTAAATAAAGAAAATAATTTATATAAAAAATGGATATTTATGTAATTCTTGCGATAGTTCTTGTTATTTAACAGAACTTTTTGGATTTTATCACTTTTGTGAAGTTGGCGGCCCAGCGTTTAAGCAGAGACATAGATAGCATCAACATCTCTGGTTAAAGTTTTTGAAATTGTGTATAAACAATCTCAACTGCTCTTAAATAAGTTCTCAAGACTTATCTTTCATTTAAAAGATATATAAGCAGAAAAATCAATCACTTTCAGAATTTTTTTTGGTTTTAGTCAGACCCTGATATACGAGAGGTTGCCGTTCAAACTCTTATTATATTACTTTATGCTTTATTTATTTAGTATTTAATCAAGTCAATTTAAAAGGAATTAATAGTTCGTGGTGTTTAAAAATATCATGATGCTATTCAAAATGTTCTGTTTATTTACTTTGAAGGTATTCATTGATTGTTTTATATGCATGAAAAAGGTTCAGTTATACATGTATATTAAACACTCAAAACATTTGCATTTTTTGTATTTTCTGATCGCAGATCAGGAAATACAATGCTGACATTCAATCTCTGGCACAGCGTTTCCCGACAAACCTAACAACAAAAAGTAGTTCTCAAAACAGCTTAAAACTAGCGATGTAAAAGAAAGAAATATTTTTATTTTGTTACAAGTATCCAACAAACTACAACGCATTCAAAGTTTAAAAGTAGCTTTGGCTTATAGAATTGTCAATAAATGCACAATCACAAATTACGCGGATGGATATTCTTTTAATCAATGAAAATTGCTCGGCTATTTCCATAAAGCTTCGGATTATTGTGACCGCTTAAATTAGACTTTCTGAAAAATAAAGAAATAAGGATGTTGACCATAATCTGAATGAATCAAATCTAGCTATTTATTACAAATTTATGGCCAATTTTAGAAAAGTATAAAATAAAGATCAGAAATGTCGAGGTCATATAGGACTAACTTATTTATTGTTATATTAGTATCTGTTAAATCTAAGTACATGTATGCATACAACTCGTGCATCCTTAAATTACAAGATTGTTGCCAATATAGCAAATTTCAGCAAAATTTAAAGAATTAAACTTTGTAAGGCTCAATTATCGTGTCAACGTCCTAACACGGTAATCAAAATCATTCCTGTCAAGTTTTCAATAGGTTAAGCGGTTAATAAGAAGTAGCGCGCACAGCCAGCTGATCATACGGACGGACTGATGGGCAGCCTCAAACCAGCACACACCCTTACAACTTTCTTGTGCAGGAGTATAATAACACTGAAAGAAATTCTTGCTAAATTTAAAACAAAAACAACGCAAAAATCATTTACATTTCGTATTTCATCATTTATATACAAGAATCAAAACAACTTACATTAATTTATTTGATTATAGATTTATAAACATGTGAAATTGATACTCGATGTGTGATTTTATTACTTTTTACATTTTATTGTTTCTGGGCGATTTTTGATGAAAGAGAAATTTGATATCGAAATCTCAAAGTCGTACCACATTCTAGCCAAATCCCAGGGGATGGTGGGGTCATGGACACTACGTTATATTGTATGCACCTTCACTTCAGATTTGAAAAGAGTATAGGATTATATAAGAATGTATCTTTGGTAAAAGTCAAACTGGACCAATATCTCAACTCTAATTCGAAACAGGACTTAAATGTGCTTTCCACATTTTAACAATGAACCCCAATAGGAGTAAAACTTGACCCCTGGAGTATGATGTATATAACCTCGTGGTTATGCTTTATGCTAAATATCTATCATTTGGGAAAATTCTGAGATTTTAGTCCATTTTTCGTTCCTGTGACCTTCTTTATGCATCAAACTTGAACCATTTGTAAAACATTATTGAGGACCATGCTTTGATCATTGCTGTACAATTTTGTCAATATCCACCATTATGTAGTTATGTATAAGATATTGTTTAATGGGTATAAAGCTATATTGTATCTTCTGAAAGAGCTTAGTAAAAATTTAAACAGTTAAATATATGTTGTTGGTTGATTTCGAAAGAGTTGTTACAAAGAATGTCATTGTTATATAACAGATATGAATATTGCACATAAACAGAATGAAATGTACAGTATTATGGGTGATGTTTTAGTAGTGTTTTTCCATTAAACATTATTAGCATATCTTAGTATATTTCCTTTATACAGGTATTTTAGAAGTATTCTTAGCAGTTATGTAGCTTATACACTTTGAAGGAATTGCGTATAGTGATGGACGACAAACGACCCCAGCGGGAGACGGCTATTTTATAAGTAATTCAATATAACACAAACGGACTTCAATAATATAACATTTGAATCATTTCCTTATTAAAACACACATTAATGCCACGAACTTTTAAAATCTTGAATATAAGTATGGACATAATATAAACGTTTCTTAAAAACATTTTAATTTACAAATTTAAAAATGGATTATTTAAAATATTTAATTACTGACGGACAACGCTACTTCAAAACCCACTTCCAATTTTAATCGACAGGCAATAACGAAAGAATTATTTCTTGTTCCATTATCAAATGTGTAAAATAAATGAAAATATGTGTTCATTTCTTGACTTGAGAGAGAACGTCATCAAAGCGTTCCATAAATAGGTCAACATGTTTATTCTGGAATAGCAATGTAGGTCTGAATCGGAGTGTTGCTTCACCACATGCACCAGTATGAACACCTGAAATATGAAAACTCGAATTACATTTTCATAAATTTTTGTTAAAAAGTATTGAACAGAAAAAAAATCTACAGAATGTCTCTTTTAGAAAAAAAATGTTATAACCAACAGATTCAATTGAAATGAAAGCAGTAGATTCTGTCTGTTATATAATGAAAATCACCTTTTGCACGAAGATATCCAATAACTTTATCTCTAGTAGCGGCATCGGGAAAATCCACAGCACAAAGCGTTCCAAGTCCCCTTGCTTTTGACAATATTCCGGGGTATTTTGTCTAAATACAACCAAATATATAGCGAATTAAATCAAGTCAACATATTTTGTTAGAAAATAATATAGCGACACGGAGAGAAGTAGGATAGCAACAATATTCTTGAGCTATAAGTGAACTCAGAAGTTCATCAGTCACAAGTGACATGACACCTTGTAATATTGCAATAATTGTATTTGTTCCCTTTTTCGTCACACATGAACCTTTTTATAAGTAATATTTTCCTAAAGAATCAGGGTCATTTAGCTCAAAAAGAAAGGATATTTAAAATAAATGTGGCCGGGCAATCTTCACATATGCAGACTATAAAATAATGTTTAGAACAGTCAGGTGAAATAACAAGTAACAAAAAGGGAGAATAGTCGGACTATCCTATTATCACACTAGTCTGTTAAATAGCACAAAAAAAAGAGAAAAACAACAACAACAACAACAACATAAGAATAAATTTTCAATTCAATTTTATTTCGCCATTGAAATGTTTTTACTCGGGATTTTTAAGAAAATAGTCTTTAAGTCATGGCTTATTTAGAGCATATGGCATACATGTATAAAATTAAGAAACCCTTTCTATCAGATTTGTACAAAATACAATGATACATTACACCTACATGCGACAGCCAACACCCATTAAAGAGTACGCTAAATAACGAAAGGGGTCCGGCAAATACTTATTTAGGCAATACATAACCTGACACTTGACACGTTTGATAATATTCATTGAATGATATATAAATATCTCTTTCAACCCTACCTGCATCTGTTCCAGGTTAGACAGAAGATAGTTTCCAGTTACTTTAACATTGTCCAGTAGATTTTCTTCCTTTATAACCTTCACGACTTCTTCTAACAAAGCAATCTTGCCAGGATCACCTACCCATGTGTTGAATATCCTATATCCCTATAAAGTAATAATAAAAGAAAAAGACTAAAATTTATCAAATGTCTCCTTTTTCAATACATCATAACCATACTATGTCAAACATGATATACATTAAACACAGGGAACCAAGCTAATCAACACCATATAGCTAAATGGTGTTATGTCATCAGTTTTATTATAAAAAAAAGCGTGGCACGTGAGGATTCAACGTTTTTTATGTTTCATATTAGATGGTTTTTAACGTGTTACGTGTATTTTTTAGAAACATAAAGATAAAAATATCAGAACCTTAATAACAAGATCTAACTGGAGAAAGTCAGACTTACTTCTTTCGGAATGAAAGATTCTTTTTGATAGAATCCACCAGTCAACATTTTCTTACTAAATGTTACAACATCGGGAGTATCTGTGAGATTAAAATGCTCATGTGCCCAAAACTTCCCTGTTACCCCACATCCGGTTTGTACTTCATCTACAAGGAATCCTATTTTTCTCTTAAAGATAAAAACATAAATAATTAACAATACACGAACATTTTTCTTGATTAAGTCAAAATGAGGCATTATTTATAAAAGTGACAAAAGTATAAATCATGTGTTTTGTAACATTTATTAAAACTGCAATATCTACTCTAATTAATATTTTATATATCTTAGTAGCTTAAGGAGAAGCGAACAAATGCATCAGACGGGACTAAATGAAACACTATATCATAACAACGTATTATAAATGTTCTATGATTTTAATCCGCACCTTGTTTGTTATATCTCTGAGACCTTGGAAAAATTCTTTAGATGCAAAGTTGTCTCCACCTTCACATTGTACAGGTTCTATTATTATACCAGCAACTGGTAGTCCTTTCTTGTTATACTCTTCTATCTTATCTTCAACCTAAACAAATTCAGTTAATAACAAAGACGTTCAACAAATGTCTCCTGTCAAGATTCTTGTAACTTACAATTGTTCAAGAAAAGTTTACCCATTCACTCAGTTATGGACAGGAAAATTGCCCCGAAAATGTAATAAATAATAAATAAGAAAGACATATGTCAATTAGGAGAAATGTAAGATAAATCCTACTTGACCATACAAGGCCTAATTTTCAGCGATAAAAAGGGAAATAACTGGGAAAAATAGATGGCATAGTTATATTACTTGGAAAAGTTTTGCACTTTGTATTGATAAGTACGTGTGGAAATTACGAAGCCATTGATATAGATAGAATCTAAGATATATCCAACTTGCAAGTTTAGGTTAACTATATCAATTTTCAGTGCTGACAGGGGCAATATCTCATAGTTATGTTACTTGCCCAGATCATATACTTTGTATTGATAAGTAAATGTGTAAATTGTGAAGCCATTGGTACGGGTAGAACTGAAGATAAATCAAACTTTCTGGTTTAAGTTAACCTCTACGGACAGATAGAGAGACGGACGGGCGGTTCAATTACTATATGTTTGGAGGCACAATAAAAAAGAATCATGCATGCCAATATTTACGTTTCTGGACGACAAAACGCATGATTATAGCAATTGATCGATTTTATTTTTTGAAAAAGCCGAACAAACGTGAAAAATGGGGAACAACTAGACCGTTTTCGAGTTATCAGCCCCGAATTTAAAAATTCAACATATTTTAAGATCTTTCTAATAAAAAAAACACTACAGTGCTTTTTTTAAGTAAGGGTGTTAAAAGAAAGTGACATTATATACACATTTTTTTGTTGTCGAAATGAGCTGAATTAGCTACATATTTTAAAAGATTGACTATTGTAAAGGTCATTGACCAATTAAAGATACTTAAAAATGTTTAGGATAAAATATAAAAACTGTCTCAAATATCAAAAGACTGCCCAACTCTCTTTATTGAACGTTAACAATATATTCCGAAGGATTTTTATAGACTTTTCGTGGGTTATTGATGATACACATGAACTAGAAACAAAATTACATTTGTGAAAAAATGCTATGCCACTGCATTAAATCAACACTAAATAGTAGGAACAGAGGTAGATTTTGTTTTGTTTCTATTCAATTGAACTTTGACAAAATGCAGTAGTGTCCAAGTGAATTTGGGGGTCAAGGTCACATCTCATATGAAGGACAATGTGCAAATGTGACTAATGTTCAGATACAAAATGTGCTCCGATCATTACATGAATTTCCCTGCAAAGCAAACACTCTTGCCAGATGTCATATCTCAAATTATTTCATAAGATTCTCTAGAACATAAACATCTCAATTTTTCTTGCTAGATGTCATGACCTTTAGACAAACTCTAGACAAAATCTAGACAAATATCAAGCTATTAAATCCTTTTTTTCTTTCAAAAAAAAAAAAAAGAAAATAGATTGGATAGCATGTACACTTGTATAAAAAAACTTTTCAATATGAGTTGTTTCCCTTTCATTTTTAAGTTTATGAGCTGGAATATTTTATAGCAAGAGTGATGATTTGAAGAAAAACCTTGACCTCCTATAATTTGAATAATATTTCAATAGAGGTTAACTAGAAATATCTGAGCTCTAGCTCTAGTAGTTTTGAAGAAAAAGTTTTGTTTTTTTAACTGTATACATCTCCGGAAAACACATTACCCCTGTGGCGGAAAATACCTGAGTAAAAGTATTTTTACGATGAATGGTATTTTTGCTGTTACTCACAAACATATGGGAAATCAACATTACAAAAATAGTGATGGGTAATTAATACACACGGTTTTCTTCAAACATGACTTATTTTAAAATTCCTTTATCTTAATAACAAAGTTATTTGGTATCAAACAATGACGTTTCAACGAACCTCTTCCAGCACTTTGCTTTCTTCAGCCTTGTTTTCAGCTGTATTGCATTCCAGTGGATATTTCAAGTCTGGGAATCTAACAACTGGCCAATCAGGTTGTGGTAAATCCAGTTTGTGGAGCCATTTAGAATGAGTACAAGCTAACGCTCCTATTTTATACGAAATAAATCAATTAAACCAAACCAAATATTTAAAGTACATGAGGTGTCTCACAACTTAAATACGTTTAATAACAAGAGAATTGCAAGAAATCGTCTAGCTTTATCAACCAAAAGTTGTGTCATCCATTAGTGACCGCATTTGCATACATATTTGTGTGAAGCCACAACACAAAAATATTGTACTGTCCACCACTGAATGTGTGTTTTATTCTTTAAGGGAATGGTTGATTAAATACGAAAATGTTGATACGATATAATAGATATATCATTTAGAAATTATAGACCGATAAAGCTCATGTTAATTACTCTCATTATCGAAACAATCCGTTTTAATGTGTTACGAGTTGAGTGAGCTTAACAAAAACATGTATGCAAACTCGTTTACTTATTTGATGATGAAAATTGCTCACTAAATTTGCAGCTTTAAAGAAACGTGCATGGTTAATAAAAAGAGCTGGACGATTATGTCTGAGAGCATAATTATGTTACACTAATTCTTTAAAAGGTGGAAAGAAGCCGCTCGACCCTTTGTCGTTTATCAAGAAACAAAACGATACTATCGAATGATTGTTCATTGACTTTGAAAGGCTGAATTTGGTATACATTGTATACTTTTTAGGAAACTGTAATCAGAGACGCGAGTTATAATTAAATTGAATTTCGGTTTGACTTTTATTACATTGTTTACCCCAAGAAGATAAGCTATTTTCAGTACCGCTGTCCGACCACGACTTTCACCTTTACTTATCTTGTTTCATGAGAGCAATATATTAATCGATCGGAAACCATTGGAAGGTTAACTTACCACTGGTATCCTAGTATAAATGTTTTCCAAAAGAAGTCTACCAAAGAGGCCTAAGGTGAAGTTTCATGTCAATTATTTTAGGTCTTGGCTTTGTAGTTTCTGAGAAGAAATTATATTTAGGCCATGTTACTTTACAAAACTTTTTGTTAACTACGTGACCCCCAGGGCGAGATCACTTTTTAATTATAAAAGTTATGATTAAAATAGCTTTTGTAGAAGTATTGTAGGCAACACTACATTTCAAAAATTGAATTTTCACAAAAGAAGACTTACATGTATTTGCCGATATATGTCTATGTAAAGTAGGTGAACCCAGGACCGGGGCCAATTTTGACTCTACGGGGAATAATTTTATGTAATTTTATGTAGAGAATCCCAAAGTGATGATGCTACATGTCAATGATCTAAACATTGCGTAGGTTTAAATTTTAAGATTATTTTTAGTTCCTTTATATGAATCAGGCTGGAAACATTATTAAAATGTTTGAAGAGGGAGAACGGTGAAAAACAGACGACGGCGGACGGACAGAAAGTCACCACAAAGGCAACAAAACAACTCTGGGCACTTTGTGTTCAGATGAGTTACAACATAATGCAAATAGTAAAAGGAATTATACCCATAGTTCTGCCGTGGAAACCGTTGTCAAATGAGAGGATGGTGAGGGGTGGAGATCCTGGCGCTTTATTTACACGACACGAGTCCATTTCTTCCATACTGGGTGCTTCCCCGCTTCTCTGATCATTCTAAAACACATCAATGCACTGGCGTCAAGATGCCAACATCGAATAAGTCGTATGAAAAATCAACAAATAGAAATTTATATCAGAACACACCGGATGTACATAACCAGTGTTATTGAAATATTTATTATTATAGACCTAATGTGTACAATATGTACAAATTTGAAACACTTATATTTTTGCAATAACTATTTAAATATGGTGTTAAGAATTCATTTACACTTTGATTATAATTTTCAGGAATTTAATGAGTGGATAAATGGATGAGGTGAGGTTAGTTTGACCCGTAGGCCCATTATTTGAAGATCCATTAGAGAAAGCTTAATGCAAACTAAAAAAGGTCTAGGACTTGCAGTTCAGAAAAAAGTGTTGTTTTTTTAAATTTCATTTATCAACTAAAATTTCCCTATGTACATTTGTTTAACAAAGTAATCCTTCACATACCATATACTTTATAAAGATAGCTTTTAAACCATGTTCCACTGAACAAGCACCACATGCCATTGTCTGTACTTTTGTCATTCCAGGGGGACATACCTGAAACATGGTTTTACATTACACACTATCATTCTCTAAAGAGAGCTTATGTAACAAGCAGTTAGTATACAGTCACATAAGTAATTATATAGCAGAGTCTCTTCTTTAAAGTGATGCTCTACTGTAGTTTTTATTGAAATCTGCTTTTTGTACACTGACCAGTGGTTAAGTTTATAAACATATTAGTAAAAATTGTCACCAGCCTGTAAAAGATTGAAATCTATTGAAAAGAGTATGCATAATAAATGCTTTCAAAATCTTAAAGAAAATGTTACTGCTTAATAGAAGCAAACATAAACTGGCAACAATTAAAATACGTACTGAGAGCAGAGCGTTCTGTAACCTTGATACCCAGTCAGCTGGTGGATATACACCTAGAGCAGGACGATTCACAAATGTTGACTGAAATATATCATTATACAACAACATTCCTTTTTAAGTACATTTACAAATCGTAACAACAGAAAAGGGCGTTATAAAACTGAAAAGTTTAATATCAAGTTGCACTTCAGCCTACGTATCGTGAAAGAAATTCAGAAACTATAAAGTTCAGTTACTGGTATAACATCTGGTTCCTGCTTATTATACCTGACCAACATATTAAAATACCAAATCAAAACATGAAAAATCAAATCAGTTATCTTACAAAAGATATATCTCCCATGTGTGTATGTATGTGTGTCGGCGCGCGCGTGTGTGCGTGCGTGTGTGTGTGTGTGTGTACATTAATATTAAAACACGTTTTTATCAATAAAGGTAAAATAAAACGGCATTAGTTTGGTATCAAAGAAAGTAACAGTTTACCAGATTTTCAGGTTTAGACACAGCATTGATAATAGCAGGATGATTGTATCCTGAAAAACACAATTTTTTATCAATCAGTGGAATTAGAAGTTTGAACGTGAGACAACAAATTTATCAAACAATCGACATTGTATATTATTCAACATGTCAGTTTGGAAGGTCTTGTCTAAAATGTTGTTTCGGCCAAGTATGAAGATAATTCATTAATTAATTACAAAGTTTCAGTCAATTATAGCAAAAATCAGTGAAAAACAATAGCCAAGATCATAAATGAGTCAAAGTAAATTTGAGTTTGATATACATCAAAATCTCATTCTAAATGATGTTGTGTTTAAATATTAAGTTAATCCATTTACAAAATGTATAAATAAAAAAAACAAGTTATAGCCAGTCATAGGGAAAAAAACAAGAGAATTTCATTAATTTGACCTTGATGGTCAAGGTCAATTTAAGACCAAGGTTACATCTAAATTATTCAATATATTTGTTTGGTCGCAAGTCTTGTTTTGTAGAAGAATAAATCAAATATGTACATAAATAACAAAATAATGAAAATTTAAGCAAGCTTCAATAATTTGACCTTGACGGTCAAGGTCATTTAAAACTCAAGGTCAAGGTCAGTTTAACATTTTAGATGGTCTTGACCAAACAATTGTTCTGTCTGGTTATATTCTAAATAAGTTATAGCTACTTGTAGCAAAAATCATCAAAGATAAGCAACATTCAGACATATGACCTTGAAGGTCAAGGTCATTTATGAATGAAGATCATGGTTAGTCTAATGTTTTTAAATGGTTGTTGTGGCCAAGTGTGAAGACAATACACAAAGAAATAAAAAAAGTTATTATAAATGTTAAAGTTTGCGATGTCAGCGGCACCGTGTGGGGCAACGGTAACGGGTACTGGGACGAAGACATGACTATAACAAAAACTCTTTGTTTTTTCTTTAAAAAATGTCGAGCTAAAAAACCAATCTGCATACAAACCTATCCATTGATAAATCCTTACTCTGACCTTTCATTTAAATAACAATAAAATAACACACAAACATTGACATGTGCTCTTTTGTTAACAAATATGTTGTGGTGAAATTCTTATTGTATCCACTAATCTGAAAATTAGAATTGGACAGGTCTGGGATCTATGCATTATTATGAGTTTGTGTTAAGACTGTTTATTGTACGATATGGGGATAAAAGATATAACTGCAATATTCGCCCTTGACCTCCTTCGTTACTGTGGACTACAGTATTTTGACCAAGCAATACGGGTTCTCATTGACAACAATTTGCTCGATAAAAACGTGCCTGCGTCCAAGAAATAATCAAGTATTTATGTGCAAAGTTTTCTTTTAAAAAATAATTAAATAAATAAATACGTAAAATAAGCTGAGAGTAAAATGTTTACCAAGAGGTAGAGATGATATCTGCGTATATAAATCTAACATCACGTTACCGTCTACGTCAGCAAGGTAGTTGCCATGGCTGTTATCATAGTCACAGAAAAAATGCACTGCACCAACATTCTGGAATAAAAAAAAACAATTGAATAGAAGTCAATTGGATGTAAGTATTTACTCGAACACATGTATCAAGCTTGAATAGGTAACAGAAACTTCATTTTAATGTTGAAGTAACAGTTTAAAACATTCTCTTTGATTTGAATTTTCTAAAGCATTTATTGTCAAGCATCTTATAGCATCTCAGTTAAATCACTTACAACTTATATTGCAAGTTCTGAGCCACGGCAGACCAGACCTTTGTATAGCTACTACCTCTTTACAGCAACAGTAATATTATATCCTACAAGAAGAATGTACCCTCGAGCAACACCTCACAGCAACGACCAATATCTTTGTCTCCCAGAAACAAGTACAAATGTGAAATGAAGATGGTTTGAAAAGTTTCATTTCTACTTAAATTATTTCTTGCATAGCGTTAATTATGAGCTGACTTGATTTTAATCAGATTGGCTAACCACTACACCACAGTGGCTGATGCGTTTTCCCCGTTCTAATTGACCATTTATTTGTAAGTTATTTTTTTTAACTTTATTGTGACATCAGCACTTTTATTTCCATAGCTGCGAGCTATTTATAGCTACTTTTATCTCAGTCACAGTATAAATATATCACCCCGCTTGAAAATTATACAATTTATAAAAAGGCTTCTATAGAAAAAAGTGACCCTTGATGTGAGTTGATATAGACATAGTGTCTAATTGCCATGAATGATTGTTATTTAAATATTAATATAATGTTACAAATAGGTTTTTAAATATTATATACTTGTATCTGTGCTAATTCCTTTATTAGTTGTTTGGACTTTGGTCCTGGAATGTCAGTAACCATCTTTGGTACATCTGGCTCGTTCGCAACATCCATGCTCAATAGAGACGAGCCTGTTGATACATGTCTGTCATCTGAAAATAAAACAAATGACCAAGGCTTAAACCTGTATTCATGCGATTAAATATTGTTTCATATACACACACACGCACGCATGCACGCGTACGCGCACACAGACAACAAACTCAGAAAGTGTCGGAATACAATTATATTTTAGATAATTGTATACCGTCTGTAAAGTCTGCTTCATTCTTGCTGAATTTTCCTCATTATGGCGACGTTATGTCGCAACGCCAACAATCATCAAAAATCACAGCCGTCTTACCGATTTAAATTTAAAAGATACTGCTATTGATTGCTATTTTATTCAGAAATCTGATTTAAATATCAAAAGGTATTTAGGTTCGAAGCCCCCTTGGTCAATTATTCATTTTTCGGGCCGACTATCATTTGCCGGCCCTATTCTGCCGTGTATTAATCTCTTATTTATTGATGGTAAATTAAATTTGTCAAAATATATATGTTGGAAAATGTTCTGTTATTTTAATCTGATTCAATAAATGTTCTTATGGATCGAGTGTTATCAAATATTTATACAATTACTTAACACTTATATATTGTATTGTATTGTAATGTAAAGTACGTGTGTTGCGCATGACACGTCGTCTTATTTTTGTGAACATTTGTGCCAAGTAATTTCAAAATCCCTTGATTAATAAAAAATTATGGATCGGACACAAACTATACCCTATAACAGATCATGTTAAGCTTTGACCTCCAAGAGTGACCTCGACCTTTCAGGTTGGTGTCCGGGTGTTGCGCATGACACGTCGTCCTATTATTGTGAACATTTCTGCCAAGTAACTTCAAAATCCTACCATGTTAAGCTTTGACCTCAAGTGTGACCTGACCTTGAAGGTAGGGGTCAGGGTGTTCCGCATGACACGTCGTCCCATTAAATTGTGAACAATTGTGCCAAGTAATTCAAAATCTCTTGATCTTTAAAAAGTTATGAACCGGACATAAAATATATCCTGTAACAGACCATGTTAAGCTTTGACCTCTAATTGTGACCTTCACCTTGGATAAAGACGTGCGGGTGTTGCGCACGATACATCGTCTCATTATGATTATAACTTGTGCCAAGTTTTTTTTCAAAATCGCTTGAATGATGAGAAAATTATGGACAGGACACGACACATACCATCCACACACAATATTGACCTTCTATCACAGCGTGATCTTGACCTTGGAGGTAGGGGTATGAGTGTTGCGCAAGACACATCGTCTTATTATGATAAACATTTGTGCCAAACTATTTCAAATTCCTTCGATGAATGGCTTAGTAATGAACTGGACATGGAATTGTGACGGACGGAGCCCATTTCTATATCACCTTTTTCTTCGAAATGGAGCGCGTCCAATATCATATTATAGTATGACTGTATATACATGTATAATCAAAGGTTTGAAAAAAAATAAAATTGGTAAAATAATAGGCAGGCGTAAAGGCAGGTTCGTGTCTGATTTCCTCATTAATTTTATGATTTCAGCGTTATCTTCCTTCAATTGCAAAAAAAAATGTGTAAGTAATATATGATATGACCGGAAGTAACAGAACTTGTTATATACATTGAATAAGAAGGCTTTCATTAATGTACCTTACAAAGTGAGAGTATTTTATCCTATCTATTTAAACTAAAACGTACATATAATGTGTACATTATAGAGGTAAAGTTAATCTTTTCCATACTGTGTAGTATATCTAAACAGTACGTACATTAGTGATATCATTTATACAAAATTAACACTATTAGTAAAACAAAAATTATAGTCTTATAAAATATGTTGACAAGCTAATGACGATACAATAAGATACTTACAATTTTTGACAGTTTTCTCTATATTTCTAAACAGTGGGTTGATTCTCCTTGCTGCCAACATTTTACTATTATTATAAATATGAAATCCAGAGAACACACACTTTGCATGTAAATAACCTCATATCTCTATAAACATAGCCTTCTACATGACCCGTTTACATACATATCGGCTAAAGTTAAAATTCATTCAGATAGTAGTACTTCAGTCCCGGCAGTTCACTCATGTTTTTATTGATTTTAGCTGTTTTCACGACAAATCTCACCAAGACAGAGATAACATGTAAATTGCTGTAAATACCTAATCGTAGCATCTATTACAATTTTATTAAAATGTCATTAACTTACGAGAGCTATTTCTTAACAACTGCAGTTAAGTGACATATATACATACATTGTATGTATGAATATATGTATGCACATGTACTGTTTCTTATTGTTTCTGTAACAATTCATTCCGATATTTTAATATTCGATATTGAATGTGACAAGTAGTTAACAGCTTTTTAGATCCTTTTTGTTTCTTATTTTGTTTTGCAAATCACAGTTTCCGAAAAAGATAGTATAATATTGCATGGAAAAATTAAGAGCAGACTTCAATGTGCAAATTCCTCCCCAACTATTCAAGTGCTTTTTGCCAGTGTTGTTTAAGAATTGCCCTGTATTAGAATGAATTAATTGCTCCAATTTTATATGTATATGAAAGATGTTTAATAGTAGAAAGTACAGAGATTTAAAAATATAACTTTTCCGACTCTATGGTAGTAGAAGGTACAGCAAATCATAATCAAACACCTGGCATTTCACAGTCAGCACTGGTCCCAGGCTGCAATGTATGTAAAATGTAATATCAGACACTTAAAATGATAAATTATTGAATTATTTGAAATTTAAGATGCGTTACTTGAACAATAAAAATAAACTGCTTTGTTAAACAAAATTTTCAAAATCTTTCTGTCCAGAAGCGACTGTGCTTGATGTAATTTGAATGCAATTATAATTTCATATAATGCTCATTGGCAAGAAGTGGTGCTTGTTTATATGACTAGTTTCAGATATAAGTGTATATATACTTATTTAAATATTACATGTTGTAAACATATACATATACAGTTTCGGCATGCAGACTTAAAAGTATGCATATGAATTATTATATATATGCGTTCGTACATGCGCGCGTGTGTGTGTGCGTGCATAAATATGTGTGTGTGTGGGGGGGGGTAGTTAATACGTTCTTGTAAAACAGTATGTACTTGCATGTTTGTTGATAATTTGTTTACCACAACTTGTGATATATTTAACCAGCTTGAAACTTTTGTACTCTTAAGCAGTCCTACTACATCACGAGAATGACTTGTTGCTTCACATTTTACATTATTTTCATATTCTTGTTTCTTTGCCTCTCCATTTCCCTATGATCCAACGTCAGAATAAGCATCATATATTCAGCACGTAACAATGCAGCCTAATAAAAAATAAGTAGCTCCTGAAACAAACAAATCTGTATTAAGGTTTCGACACATTTAGTATCATCTAAAGCTGTATTGTTCATAACGCGACATGCGTCAAATACATTGTTGTGTTCACTTGAACATTATAACGTTAGATTTTATCGTTTATTTTCGTTGCATTTTTAATCAAGTGTGAAATATTTTATGTGGTGCAAAGTTTTACTTATGACACGCTTTCAACTGAGGTATCTATTCACTTAATTTGTGTCTCTTTTTATAGACATAATTTTCTATAATACATTGTTGCAGGATAAAAAAAAACTTACAAGCGCATAATTGTTCTATCCGCAACCAACTGATCTACATGCAACCAGTCAACGGGTGTGTTTATAATTAGATATTTACAAAATAAAACGTTGCAACGGTTTTAAAATCACAGCAGGTAAACATTGCAAATATTTCACTAAGATGTTTGATGACATTTTATTTGAAGACATTTTAAACGTCCAACCTACAATGTGTGGATAAGTAGCTTTTTATTTGATAACTTCACAGTAAATAATTATATATATATTTCCCATGATGTTTATAAACCATGAACGGTCGACATATCAGCGACGTCCATGCACAGAAAGCCTCCAACAATTTCCTTCACACTGAACTGCACACGCAGGCACCAAACAAACACAGAAGTCACAAAAAGGCGGACCATGGAGTGGGCGTTCCAATTAATGATAGCGTTTAACAACAAAATAAGGAAACCCCTAAACATAGCCATGTCAAAGCCTTATGGAAATAACATTTATAAAGAGATAAACGGTTGTAGCAGTGCTCAATGTCACCAGTAAGTTGGCATTTTATGAGCTAACATTCTTCATTTTTAGGCCTATTCATTCTAACACATAATATTATAATCGTATGATTTCATTCCATATTATTTGAATGAATCAAATAAAAGAAAATGTAGCAAAGCATATGTTATACATTTATTTATTCTTCAATATATCCCGAGATTCATTACAGGTACAATTAAGTTTTATATTTACATAAGGTTGGATATATCATTAAACATTTATCTATTTCTTCAATATATCCCGAGATTCATTACAGGTACAAGTTTTATATATACATTAGGGTGGACATATCATTAAAGAATATAATATAAGATACAACATCATTATTAATACAGATATGACAATAAAGACTAAATATCAAGATACAAAACATATGGCTGTTTGTAACAAATATTGAACCCTGGAACTATAATACATGTAGGTAAGTATTTTATAATACACTATATAGGTTGATTGCACTAGCATCTTCTGTTGAGCTGGATCAATGACATTGATCAAATTACTATCACAAAGATATAAACTTTGAATACCATTGTTATTTGTCTAGACAATATTTTAAATACATTGCTAGTGTAGTGTCTCAGCTGGCTTCATGTTTGGCCACATACACCGTTCTCCTGTTTAATCTTGTATCTAAACTCAATAGTTAATAATTATATAATACCCATCTGTGACTAATCACCGTAGTAAAATATATACATTCGTTAGTTTTCCGAACAAGTCAAATCTAAATAATACACATGCAGAAAACAAATCACCTCCCCACATTTGTAGTGAATTCAATTAAAGTCGAAAATTTCTATCAGTTTTATGTTCTAATCATTCCCGAAAGATATTCACAACCCAGTAATATCCACCATGTCTCTTTGAAGCAGGGCGAATTTTGATTGTTCAATTCCTGTGTTTGGACATGTTAGTTGTTTCACTTGTTGAGCTGTGAGAGGACATCATCAAAACGTTCCATAAACACGTCAACATGCTTCGTCTTAAACAACAAGGTTGTTCTAAACCTCAGTGATGTAGGTCCACATGCACCCGTGTGAACGCCTTAAATTACAACACATTACAAACTTAGTTGATGAAATATATAACATAATCACCCAGCTCTTGTAATTTTGTATGTTTTCCTCTTTGATTTTTTAGCATTTTAAGATTTGCAAAATTTAAGGTATAAAGTGAAGTATGTATTTACGTTTTGTAATTCATATAAAGGTAAGGAATTATAAATTGTTTTTAGCTAAACCTCAAAATAATGGAGAGCAAAGCAATAAACAAACAACAAGGAAGGATATTATAGTACTCCTACAAAAATATTTCTTTTAATAAAAATAAAACAAAACATAAGTGCATAACTATATAATATCATATACTTGTCGTTTACCTTTTTTACGGAGATCGGCCATTGCTTTATCCCTGTTATCCGTGGTGTTGAAATCAATGGCACATAATGTTCCAAGTCCTCTAGTATTTGATAATATTCCAGGGTACTTGGACTGGAAAGAAAAAAATATTCAGGCTCATTAATTATGTTTCAGAAAAATTGGAATTATTAAACTCCGGAGAGAATACCAGCACACCGTTAAAGTGTTTGTTTAAATTTTGATATAAACGTTTTATATAATTGTTAGACATGCACTGATTTTATCTTTTAGTTCTCACACGACGAATCATTTCTCGAATCATTTCTAGATGATATATAAATTATTTTTTCAATCATTTTTATTGACGCTATTCAAATAAAAAATTCTCGATTCTACATTTCATCTCCATTCCTCACACTGTCTACATAATGCTACGTTATTATATTTATCAGTGTAAAGCAACGGCTTAAACGGAATTGAACTATTTTGTTACTGTTAACAGTTATTGCTGTTGTTGTTGTTTAGGACGTGTACGATCTATCGAAAAATGGACCAATAAATGAGATATTTTTTACAAAGAAAAGTGTGACCGTACCCCTAGCAGTAATTGAATTATAAAATACATGCAGAAGAAGATTGCCTAAGTGTAACTTCTGTGAATTCCTTGAGAATTTGCACCCACGCAACTTTCTCTATATAGACTAGGATCGGAAGTGACCAACCATAAACGAAACTGCATATTTAAACAATAAAAGATACTAGTAGTATCAGGTGACTGAATAGTTATTTTACTGACATGAAAGTGGATTGGTCTACTATGAGCACATTTTCCATAAGTAACGTTATTTCAAATATTGAAGATAAATATAAGAAATGTATTATTTGGATATTCTCTTATAGGCATCTGGGCATATTGCGCTCTGTTAAATATAAACGCCATTTTTTATTGTTTTAAGAACATCCTGTATGTGACACACTATTAGAGGACATTAAATGATTACCTGCATATTGAATAGCCCTGACATGAGGTACTCTCCCGTGACCTTCACACTATCCAGTAAATTGTCTTCCCTTATCACCTTGACGACTTCTTCCAGAAGGGCAATCTTACTGGGGTCTCCAACCCATGTGTTAAAGATCCTGTGACCCTATAGAAAATGCAAGACAAATTAAATGCACAGTGGTTATCTTCCGTACATGCGGACATATATTTATCAATTTAGCCAGCACAATTTTTGCTGTTGAGTGTTAAGTTTTATCGAGCTCCTTTTTGTCTATTCATATAAACAAGCTCAAATAGCAGGCCCGAAAGATGTGCTCGCATTGCAGGCATGACAGTGAAAACGCAAGTTAGTACAAAAGTATGTTTGTTTTGAACGGTTTGCCTTTATGTACTTTACTCGAATTGGGCATTAATATGGGATATAACATTACATTCTGTTCATTTAATGGTGTAAAAAATCAATGTACTTCTGGTTAATACATCTTTCTTGAAAAAAAGGTTCTTTGCTCAAGATGAGACTCGTAGTGAATTTCAAATCTTGAAAGGTTTTTAATTTAATAAATTCTGTCTGAAGGCGTTGTCTCATTTTTCAACCATTGGGCAGAGGGGGGGGGGGGGGGGCACTTTCGGCTCTTAATTTCGAAATGCAACCACAACGAAAAAAGAACACTGACGTAAAATGTTCTCTATGAAAACATTATTTTTCGCACAAAATGGAATAAAAATAATATTTGAGCATGACAGCCAAAAACATGTCGCTGTTGCATAAATGTTTGTTTTGTTCCAGTATGATTCAAATTTGTCCAATTTAAGGTACGTTGTAAACATTGACCATTACAGTCAATGCCATTTTGAGGTGCCATAAAATGTAAATAAATAAGTTATAACATAAGCTAACATCTGTGTATATTCTCATGTGAGATAAAATAAATCAGTCATGTATATAAAAGATGTACCTCTTTCGGTTTGAAGGTCACCTTCTTGTAGAATCCACCTGTTAACATTTTCTTGCTAAATGAAACAATATCTGGAGAATCAGTCAAGTTGAAGTGTTCATGCGCCCAGAACTTGCCTGTTGCTCCACATCCTGTCTGTACTTCATCGATGATGAAACCCATACCCCTCTAAACAAAGCAATATAATGGTTGAAACTCTAATAATTCTTCCTCACAAAATGCCATTTGCAAATTCTTCTATTGACATATAATCAATTTCTATACATTAACATTTACTGAAAAAATATTCGTTAAAATAATCTGAAAATAAATTAATTATTAAGATAAGACCCTGATTAATTGAATTGCAGGTTTCAATACTCGTATAGTTGTAAAGAAAGTAAATTCCTTCATAGTCTCATGTCGATATTTGGACTACAGAACAAAAGTTTCTTAATTTAGTAATTAAAGATTTTAAATATTTACTAACAGTAGACTATAGCCGACGTTATATGTACCTTATTAGTTATATCTCGAAGACCCTGGAAGAAATATGGTGTTGCAAATTTATCTCCCCCTTCACATTGTACCGGCTCGACAATGATACCAGCAACTGTTTGGCCTTTCTTATTGTATTCATCTATCTTATCTTCCACCTGAAACCAACACTCAAATATAATGTAGTTTATACAAGTGTGGAGTTTGTGAACGTTTCTAGACCGGATCCACTCGTTTCATTGGTTACATTTTAAAGTTAAAGATTGAACGTTTCACCAATTGTGTAGGAATAGTTTTATCAACATCCAATGGCAATGATAATTCGTCAGGAGGTTTTGTAAAGTAGAGAAATTATGGATATCCACGAATGACCGACGACGGACACACTGCCATCACAAAAGCTCACCTCTAAGCACTTTGTGCTCAGGTGAGACTAAAATTGAATATTGCAAATTGCAAATATAGATGTCAAGAACATTACAAAGCTTCAAAAATGCCATATTTTTAGAAAATTTGAAAAGTAGTTCCGAGAAAAAGCACTGAAATAATATTTATGATATAACACTCTCAATACGATTATCTACATGCAGGTTGAAATTATGTAGCTATTATTATAACTTTGTGATTGATCACATACCTCCTCTAGGATCTTGCTTTCCTCTGTTCTGTTCTCAACAACATTCTCTTCCAGTGGATATTTTAAGTTCGGGAATCTTACAATGGGCCAGTCAGGTACTGGGAAGTCAAGCTTGTGAAGCCATTTAGAATGCGAGCAAGCAAGAGCTCCTGTTAAGTACAAATTGTATACATATATTTGCATTTGATATTTTAAAATCGCATTTCTAATGCCGGCAATAACACAGATATTGTTTAACATTTCATCTTTAATTCAGCTGCTCCTTAGATGTTTCAATGTTAGATCAGACTATTTTACTAGGATCATATTGTAACTGTCATCACAAGAATCTCTCACTTTGCATTATTTGAGACAGAATGTGATCTTCTTAAGATTGGATACCTATCTGGATACTTTGTAAGTTCCATAGCAAAAAATGTTTTTGTTGTTCTTACATTAATTAATTTTGCATGTTTGGTTTTATTTAACATCGCCATGCTTTAATATATACGAGGTTTGTCCCAAAAGTTTGCATACTACGTCTATGCAAGGGGATCATTCGCCGTTGGTTGCTATGAGAAGTCACTGGTTGGTAGTCTATTAGATGTTGCATGTCAAACACCAAGGCTTTAACTTCATGCTTTTAAAGATTTAGAATTTTTAAAGTTTTTACAGTAAGGAAAATTCATGACCCCCTAGGGTGAGGCTAATATAGACCCCATGTGTATAATTTGAACAAACTTGGTAGATTTTCACTACACAATGTTTCATGCTAAATATCTAAACTTTAGTCTTCATTGTTTTAGAGAAGGAATTTTCTTTTAAAGTTTTAAATATATATACAAAGGAAAAATCTATGACTTTCATCCCCACCTGCACCCCGGGCGGGCCAATTTTGACTGGAGGGCTATAATTTGAACATTGTTGGTTAACGTTCACCACACGATGTTTTATGTTAAATATCTAAGATATAGGTCTTGCAGTTTTCAAGAAGAAGATTTTTGAAGTATTTACTATGTAATGAAGATTGACGCCATTAACGAAGCATGACTGACCCAGAGGGTAAAAGCTTACTTTGTGCTTTGGTGGGCTAAATAAAACAATAACAATTTGAAACAGCGTCTGTAACATAACGGGAATGACACAGTAAGTGAGCTAAAATAATTAAGTATTATAATGTATTTCCCTGTGGTTAGACACATTGAAAGTAAAAACAAATGATTTCTCAAAACTACATAAGTGCCTTGAAACTTTTTTGAGATTTCTGGGAAAATCCTCGTATATATTTTCCAGCAACAATAAAAAAACCGTTGAAATATGCATTGTTCTCTTTTCGTCATTTTTCTTCCAATTGAGACAGGATATGGATGAAGTACTGTTGAACTGATTCTAAATCAAACTCATGAGACAATGCTGACTTTAGACATGCTCACTTACTGGAAAAATTCATGTGAACAAATCGAATAGTTTAGTTTATGAAATACATATTACTATTATACATTACCATCCAATGCTTATTCCTATTTAGCATCACTAACTCACACTCAGCGGTTTTAATGTTTTGTATTTTAGTCGTCAATGGACATGAATATGGCTAGTTTAATGCAGCATTAAGTTAATTTCCCTCTGGAAAGTTATATAAAAGAACAAATATTATAGTCGAGTTGTTAAAATAAAATTCTTACCCATTGTCCTGCCGTGGAAGGAGTTGTTAAATGAAAGGAATGAGAGGGAAGGTGACCCTGGTGCCTTATTGATGATGCAGGATTCCAGTGCTTCCTGACTTGGCGGCATACCTCCTCTAGCATCACTCTGAAATGTTTAGTTATTACATGAATATTCAAATATCACTCTTGCCTGAAATATAACAACATAATATAACAACACTGCTACAACTATCAGTACATTAATGTTGATATAAGACGGAATTGTTGAAGACAAATAGAGAGCATGATATGGTTCTACTATATGGATCATGCAAAAATGGTGGTATTTAATACTAAGATGGCGCATTTAATAGAGTTTCGAACTTACCATAAATTTCATAAACACCGCTTTCATTCCATGCTCAACAGAACATGTTCCGCATGCCATAGTCTGTACGTGGTTCATTCCTGGAGGTGCCACCTAAAACGGAAAATCAAAATATTGAATGATATGTTTAAAACAAATGTATACAACTTACTTCACATGAAAAATAAAAACCCTGGTTTATTCAATTACATCGGTTAATGTTATTATTATATTCATATTCTCAAGAAAACATCACCTTATAGATTGAGTCCTGAATGTAGGAAGGTCCGGTATTAAAGAATTATAGCTATACCTACTGAGACAAGGGTGTTCTGTAACCTTGATACCCAATCTGCTGGTGGGTATACACCCAGAGCTGGGCGATTCACAAATGTTGACTGAAAAATGCATAGATAAATAGATTCATAGATTAATTTGATTTATAAAACACAATTTCTTGGTTATATTATATATCTATTCACAACGTTATATTTATAAGATTACATGAACTATATATATACTTAGTAATTGTAACAACTTTATGTTGACAAAGCTATTTTTACTATTAGAATAGCAAAATGACAAATAATCAATTAATTAAATGAAGACTGATTAAATTGAATGTGACTAATCTGTAGATCTGTATGCACGGTATCGTGATTTTATTTTACCAGATTTTCCGGTTTTGACACAGCATTGATCAAGGCAGGGTGGTTGTAACCTAGAAACAACAGAAAATCACCATGAAGCACAAAATATCACATCATGTTTTTTTTTTCATTTCCAAATGTCATCATTTTGTATACGAGTTCTTCAAACATGCACATAGTGGACTGCTTTTATCAAATTTCAGTCTTTCCTACGTTTAAAAAGTTATTTTAAAGGTTAGATACCATCATAAAGATACACATTTAAAAGCGTGGATTATTGGTTACAGAAAAAAATCGCGATGATATCGACCTTTCTTGATAACTTATAAACAGGAGAATATTTAGATTTGTATCATTTTTCGTCGAAATTTCAATATAAACTGTCAAACAAAAATATAACAAATACGTTGCAGATTATATATATTTACCAAGAGGCACTGATGATATCTGGGTAAACAAATCTAACATGACGTTACCGTCTACGTCAGCGAGGTAGTTGCCATGGCTGTTATCATAGTCACAGAAAAAATGCACTGCACCAACATTCTGGAATATAAAAAAACAACAATTGAACAAAAGTCAGTTGGAGGTAAATAAACTCGAACACATGTATCAACCTTGAATAAGCGTCACTTAAGATTCAGTCAAGGTCAAGGTCATTTAAGAGTCAAACTTTGATCTTCTTTCAAATAATTTCCTACAGGCAGTTGTTGTCAAGTATGAAGATAATCCATCAATAAACAACAAAATAATAGCCTATTAAAGCAAAAATCAAGCAAAATTCAACAACTTGACCATCAATGTCATTGATAAGTTATGGTAACCGTCAAAAGAGGGTTGTTTTTATGTATATAAGACAAATTAAAGCAAAAAGCACACAAAATTAAAAAAAAAATAACTTGAATGTCAAGGTCATTCATAAGTCAATATCAAGTTTAGTCTGGTATATTTGAAGGTCCTTTCAAAGAAGGAAGATATTCCATTTAGAAATAAAAAAGAAATTTAGAATTTGCGGACGAAAAAGTCGATCACATAATTAAAGATATATTGTTATTAAATTACAGAAGACAGACAAAGGCTGATAGTAAAAACTCAGTATCAACTAAGCACATAGCACAGTAAGCGTGAAGTAAATTCAAACATGTTTTTTAACACAAATTGGTTTCTTGTGTTGAGTGGGTTATTCAATAAACGGTGCGCATTACGCAGGACTTAACCTAGCAAACCCCAGGTCTACAGAAAACCAAGTTTCTTTACGAATTCCATGTCTGCAGAAAACCATTTGCATCCATGGTCTACTAGAAACCATGTTCCTCTCCCAGAACTAAAACTCGTTATATCTAACGCTCTTAAATATCTTGTGATTGTTAAACAACTGACCATAACATTTTAATCACGTGGGGCTTTTGTTAATTCTTGAACGAGTGCTTTTTACGAGGACTTACCTGTATCTGATCAAGTTGTTCTATCAGCTGTTTTGATCTCGGCCCGGGGATATCAGTAACCACCCTTGGACCATTTGGTTCAAAGTCATTCACATTCGGTTGATAGGCTAATGCGAGCACTTGCCTCTCAGCTGAAAATTTTAGTTTGAAGTTTTATTCTCTTTTTTTATCACATTTGAAACAGCATAGTTTAACAACAATTCGAAAGTACGCATTTTATGCAGGAACACTAAACCACACACACTCTTTCTTAATAAAACATACAGATTCCAGGTATTCTGTAATCATTTTAATCACAATATAGACAGTAATTTTGCAACCCACAAACGGCAAATTCATAGCTTTACACACTATAATGGTTACTTGAAAACATGGTTTTCAAAATTTTTCTAAATGGTACTTGCTTCTAAAATCAATCATATAAATTCCACCTTCTTCAATTATTGAGTTCGACTTAAACAAGTGAATGATTAGATAAAGGTTATACCTGTAAACATCTATTTTTGGAACTGGTGACCTTGACACCAGTGACCCTTAACTAAACCCGAAAGAAGAGGACCTTCCTAGGCGTCCGTATTAAACATGAAATACATCATAATGAAAAATAAAGGCTGTATGATAACAAATGTATTTTTTTTTAACTACATCAGTTACCTTGATCACGACCCTAGTCCCCCCCCCCCCACACTCCAAAAAAAAGATGGAGGACCATTAAATAAATGAAGTAATTAGGAGAAATACCAGATAAATCAGTTAACCATAACCGGCTGATAAAAAGGGTAACTGGGAAAATTAATGACACAGTTTTATAACATTGCAATATCATAATTAGATTTAGCCAACTTTCATGTCGGTTTAGGTTAACCACATCCATTCTCAAAGTGTTGAAAAGGACAATAAATTGGTATCTATTTATCTATTGATATAAAACAGTTTTCGTTGATTGGTTCAAATTCTTTGTCATTCTTGTTGACCCTTTCAATTTTTGGGTCATTGATTTTGGTGTAATCCCTCTGCGTTACTATAAATTCAGTGGTCTTCAAAGACAATTACTATATGCCTGTGGGCATAAATTGAAAGGAATATAAGCAAAATACAATACATCTGGGACATACGATAAGTTATCGTATATCCCAGAATACATGTAGAAAGTTAGTAAAATTCAAATTTAAACACGCCCTAAGGCTATCAGACAGATAGTCCTGACTATAATTGATGCTGGTTGATTAATGCATGTTTTTTCTACGTTAATGAGCACCTTCGCGGGCAGTTTTTATGCAAGAATACCCTGGTTAATTACAGTGAAGTGTTTCCGTTGTATATATCATATAGACATTGCACGATTTTCTCGCATCACTTTGAAAATTGATCAGGAATAAGGTCTGTTAAAAATTAGCCATAGGTAACGGATTCAAAATTTGATGGTTCACCGGAACAGTTATTGAAATAGATCTTAAAAAACACCAACAAAAAAAAAACAAAAACAAAAAAACTGCAAAATCAAAATTTAGATTTTGCTTCTAAAATATTGCAAATAGGGAAGAATTTGTTCAAATTTTAAAATTGCTTGTTTCTGGAGGAAGTGCGACCAGAATGAATCGTTTTCTTAGTAATAACAACAAGATGCGCTATAAGTAAGTATTTGTTAGTCTTCATTATGATACGTTTAGATATAGTTTAAGTACTGCATATATAGATCTATATTTAAAAAAAACAACAAAAAACAAATTATATCAATTATTGTACAAAAGCTACTTACATATGTTAACAGATTTCTTTACATTCCTTAGCAAGCGATTGATTCCCCTGGTAACCGACATTTTACTAACCGACTGAATGAATTCTCAATGTTTACAACGTGAAGAGCCGTTTACAACTGTGTTTATAAAAGTCGTTGTTTATATACAAACAGAAGTCGGTCAATATTCTCACAGTCATAACCGCTATATTGCTTAACATTAAATACGGCTCTTATAGACCTTGAACTAATGAACTACTACATTATCGGTAATCATAAATACAAGTTGAAAAAAAAAAGTTTAAAATCATTTATATATAATTATACCTGTTGAAAAAAGGTTTAAAAACGTTCTAGTATGGCACAGATTTCACTGAGTATCAGTTGAAATGCGATTCTAATTTTCTTTTGGTAAATCATAGTTTTAATTATAATTAACGTACAGTACTGTATAAATACAACTAGCTGATATTTCTACTGTCAGTATTTAGTTAACGTTTTTATGCATAGAATAATATAAACATAATTATAGGCATAGAAAATATAAGAATCTTGGATGCCTAAAATTGAACATTTTTTTTTACTTTTTCAAAAGTAAGCAGCCTTTTTAGATATAAATTTAACATGCATATAAATATATGGAGAGGATTCGATTACTTGAACGAATAGTATAGGGGATAGCTGCGCCATGTTTTTCAAAACATTTCACTACTTCTGTTATATACTTATATTTTCGCGTGTTTTAAGATTTTTTATGCGCAGTATAGCTAGGCAAAAGAATAACAAACAATATTATGCGGTCGATTCCGCCTCAAACAAGTTAGAAGTAGATGTATCTGGTTAATATCAGTCAGTAATGGGTAAAATATCGTTTCTTGTTTTCAATAAGTCTACTTTTGAAATGTATTCTGATTATTCTGATCTTTATTATGTCTATATTGCACCATAATAGAACAATTTCCATCACTGATTGCATTTACAAATACGGCACTATTTTCACTATTTTACTTATTAGGCTACTATATCTATTGTTGAAAATAACATCTATTGTTGAATATAGCACACACAATATATAATGTCACTTTTTAAAAAAAAATTAAAAATGCGTTCTTTTTTTTGGGGGGGGGGGGGGGGGGAAGGGTCCAGGACGCTTCTTGGTGCATTATTTTAGGAACAAACCATAAGTTAACCGTATAAATTTCTCACATGACAAAATCCGAAAACTCTGGGGCAGCTCGAACCTGCAAGAGGCAAGTATTTGAAATCACTCGTCCACGGACACTCTCCTACATAAAAAATTGGCGCATTATAACACTGCGTGATGACAAGCATTATTTTATCGGCACAAGTCGGATCATTTTTCTCTCGACCGACTGCAATTATATTATGGCCACCGTCGGAAGAACCTTATCCGAAAGTAAAGTTAAGACAATGACAAACCACATGATATATCCACAGACATTTTTTCCATACAGATGCCCTTGATAACATTTACTAAAAAGGGACTTAAAGGGTTGCTTAAATTTTGTCGTTATCTGTAAATTGTAAATGCATTAGAAAGACATATCTGAACAACTTAATTAAGATGGATATTTTTATAAACATCCATTTGAACTTATTTCAAGAGATATTTTTTTTATAAACATCTATCTGAATTTATTTCAAAGGATATTTTTTAACATCCATTTGAACTTATTTCTTCAAAGGCTACTTTGGTAATATAGTTTAAATCGGAGTGCAGTCAATTAATCCGTAAATATTGTTAGCATGCATCTTTTTAGCCATTTTTTTTTTCAAGAAAGAATGTGGAGAAATCGTAAATATATCGTGTTTCGTCTTTGCATAATCTACTGTACCTGCATAATCTACTGCGTTACTGTGAAGAAGCCAGATAATTATTCAACATGGCTACGTGTCACAGCAGTGGTTTCGGAAAAATCCCGGGATCCCGTATGCCCGGGGTCGTATATCAATGTTCGTTAATAAGTAGACCCTAATCATATTTCAAGCTTAAGTTTAAATAGATATACTGGTCATCATGTAATACCCTTTCATCTAAGACCACATCCTGATCAACATATTCCTGTAAAGTCTCATGACTCTAGTCAAAATACTTTTTTAACTATGTGCAACTCAAGTTCAAAATTGCAAATTTTTACTAAGTCAAGGGCAATAACTTTGACAAAACAGAATAAATCCACAAGCGAAACCTCAGGTGCACAACTTCACATGCTGAGCAACATTCCTGTAAAGTTTCATGACTCTTGTTCAAATACTTATGAGCTATGTTCAACACAAGTTGAAAATTGCAAGTTTTTACTAAGTCAAGGGCAATTACTTTGACAAAACAGAATAAATACACAAGCAAACCTAGGTGCACAACTTCACGTGCTGAGCAACATTCCTGTAAAGTTTCATGACTCTTGGTGAAATACTTTTTGAGCTATGTGCGACACAAATTGAAAATTGCAAATTTTTACTAAGTCAAGGGCAATAACTCTGACAAACAAGAGCCACCGCCGGGCGGGGGCAACGCTTGACTTTTTACTTTTTCTAAAAGCAAACAAAGAAAGGTTTGAACAAATCGTTTCCTTTTTATAAATTTAATCGGTCTGTCTTGTCACATTAGTTTTGTCTATATATTTTGAATATATAAATATACTCAATTATATATATATATATATATATATATATATATATATAGAAACACACAATTCTATAAATAGAAACACGCAATTCTATAAATAAAAACACGCAATTCTGTAAATAGAAACAGGCAATTCTGTAAATAGAAACAGGCAATTCTGTAAATAGATTCACGCAATTCTATAAATAGAAACACGCAATTCTAAAAATAGAAGCAAGCAATTCTAAAAATAGAAACACGCAATTCTATAAATAGAAACACGCAATTCTAAAAAAAGAAACACGCAATTCTATAAATAGTTACACGCATTTCTATAATAGTTGTTGTTGTTGATGATGATGATTGATCCCTTCAATAATAGCAAAGTTACAGCCAGTTACAGCCAAAACAATGAAAATTTCAATAATTTGACCTTCAAAGTCAAGGTCATTATTGAGTGAAGGTCAAGGTCTGTCTGGTTATTTTTAAGGGTTATCCTTGAAAGTTTGAAGACAATCAATTCAAAAATAACAAAGTTACAATCAATAATAGCAAAAAAAATGAAAATTTCAATAATTTGACCTTCAAAGTCAAGGTCATTTATGAGTGAAGGTCAAGGTCTGTCTGGTTATTTTTAAGGGATATCCTTGAAGATTATTATGTTCAAGTTTGAAGACAATCCATTCAAAAATAACAAAGTTACAGCCAATAATAGTAAAACAAGCAAAATTTGGACTTTTAACCTTGAAGGTCAAGGTCATTTATGGATGAAGGTCAAGGTTAGTGTAGTCTACTGAAAGGTCTTGTCCCAAGGGTTGTTGTGGCCAAGAATGAAGACAATACACCAAGAACTAAACAAGAGCCCGGTTTGAGCCGGGTGATGCTCCCCGAATAGGTTTTGGACACAGGAAAGTACACCTCTTGTAGTTTCAGAGTTATGTCCCTGGAAAAAGTTCAAAGTGCAATAATTCCAAAATTAGGAAAGGCAGAGTTACTGTTCTTTGCACTGCACTTCTAATCACTGTTATCTATCAACTTACAAAGTTTCTTGTTGATATCTCTTATGGTTTCCGAGTTATGTTCCGGACAACTTCAAAAAGTAAAAATAAACAAATGGCAATAACTCCAGAATTAGGCAAGGCAGAGTTATGATTCTCGTGCACTGCACATCTACCCATTGAGATACATCTACCTACAAAGTTTCATGTTGATATCTCTTATAGTTTTATAGCTATGTCCAGTACAAGATTTTTCTAAAAGGGGAGATAATTCAAAAATGAGGCTTAACAGAGTTATGGTTTTTTTGCACTGCACTTCTACTCAATGAGATCTATCTACCTACAATGTTTCATCTTGATATCTCCTATAATTTTAGAGTTATGTTACGGACAAAGTTCAGTGTTAAAATTAACAAAGGGCAAAAACTCCAAAATTAGGACAAAAAGAGTTATTGTTCTTATGCACTGCACATCTGCCCATTGAGATCTATTCACCTACAAAGTTTCATGTTGATATCTCTTATAGTTTTAGAGTTATGCCCCGGACAAGATTTTTCTATAAGGGGAGATAATTCAAAAATGAGGCTTAACAGAGTTCAAGTTCTTTTGCACTGCACTTCTACTCAAGGAGATCTATCTACCTACAATGTTTCATCTTGATATCTCTTATAGTTTTAGAGTTATGTTTCGCACAAAGTTCAAAGTGTTAGTTTAACAAAGGGCAATAACTCCAAAATTAGGACAAAAAGAGTTATTGTTCTTATGCACTGCACATCTACCCACTGAGATCTATTCACCTACAAAGTTTCATGTTGATATCTCTTATAGTTTTAGAGTTATGCCCCGGACAAGATTTTTCTATAAGGGGAGATAATTAAAAAATGAGGCTTAACAGAGTTATGGTTCTTTTGCACTGCACTTCTACTCAATGTGATCTATCTACCTACAATGTTTCATCTTGATATCTCTTATAGTTTTAGAGTTATGTTCCGGACAAAGTTCAAAGTGTTGAAATTAACAAAGGGCAAAAACTCCAAAATTAGGACAAAAAGAGTTATTGTTCTTATGCACTGCACATCTGCCCATTGAGATCTATTCACCTACAAAGTTTCATGTTGATATCTCTTATAGTTTTAGAGTTATGCCCCGGACAAGATTTTTCTATAAGGGGAGATAATTCAAAAACGGGGCAAAATAGAGTTATGGTTCTTTGACACTGCACTCCCCCTCAATGCCCTCTACCACTGTATGAAGTTTAAACAAATTATCTCCAAGGGTTTTCAAGTTATGCTCCGGACAAGAAACCGGACGGACAGACGGACAAGGCGCCGACTATATGCTCCCCCCGAAATTTTTCAGGGAGCATAAAAAGTTATGATCCAGGTACAAGTTTGCGGACGGCAATGGCAACGCCGCCGTGACTATCACAATACCTCTACTTTTTGTTTCAAAAAAAAAAAAAAAGCCGAGCTAAAAACAATAAATCCATAAGTGAAACCCCAGGTGTATATATTCACATGCAACATTCCTTTTAAGTTTCATGACTCTAAGTAAAGTA